AGTGTGGGACTCAGCTCGAGCTCAGCTCAGGCGTTTAAATCCTGTGCTTCCCGTTTTGTTTGCTGGAGAGGGAGGGAGGGAGGGAGGGGGGGGAGGGAGGGGGGAGGGAGGGAGGGGGGAGACTATTGCACTGTGCACCCCCTCGCTCTGTCTGCAGCCCCCCCCCCCCCCCCCTCTTTTTTTCTCTCTTTGTTCCTGAAGGATGATGTTACCATAGGGATGGAGGTTGGCGGCTCAGCGCGGCTTTGATTGACAGCGGCTCAGTGGGTGCGCTCTGGGGGCTGCGGAGAGCTCAGCGCAAAAAAGAGGAGCGCCCGCAGGCACTGTCAGCCCGCAAACCCTCCACTGTCAGCCCGCAAACCCCCCACTGTCAGCCCGCAAACCCCCCACTGTCAGCCCGCAAACCCCCCACTGTCAGCCCGCAAACCCTGCACTGTCACCCTGCAAACCCTGCACTGTCAGCCCGCAAACCCTGCACTGTCAACCCGCAAACCCTCCACTGTCAGCCCGCAAACCCTCCACTGTCACCCCGCAAACCCTCCACTGTCACCCCGCAAACCCCCCACTGTCAGCCCGCAAACCCTGCACTGTCACCCTGCAAACCCCCCACTGTCAGCCCGCAAACCCTGCACTGTCTCCCTGCAAACCCTGCACTGTCAGCCCGCAAACTCCCCACTGTCAGCCCGCAAACTCCCCACTGTCAGCCCGCAAACCCCCCACTGTCAGCCCGCAAACCCTCCACTGTCAGCCCGCAAACCCTCCACTGTCAGCCCGCAAACTCCCCACTGTCAGCCCGCAAACCCCCACTGTCAGCCCGCAAACCCCCCACTGTCAGCCCGCAAACCCTGCACTGTCAGCCCGCAAACCCCCCACTGTCAGCCCGCAAACCCTCCACTGTCAGCCCGCAAACCCCCCACTGTCAGCCCGCAAACCCTCCACTGTCAGCCCGCAAACCCTGCACTGTCAGCCCGCAAACCCTGCACTGTCAGCCCGCAAACCCCCCACTGTCAGCCCGCAAACCCTGCACTGTCAGCCCGCAAACCCCCACTGTCAGCCCGCAAACCCCCCACTGTCAGCCCGCAAACCCCCCACTGTCAGCCCGCAAACCCTGCACTGTCAGCCCGCAAACCCCCCACTGTCAGCCCGCAAACCCCCCACTGTCAGCCCGCAAACCCCCCACTGTCAGCCCGCAAACCCCACTGTCAGCCCGCAAAACCCCCACTGTCAGCCCGCAAACCCTGCACTGTCAGCCCGCAAACCCTCCACTGTCAGCCCGCAAACCCCCCACTGTCAGCCCGCAAACCCTCCACTGTCAGCCCGCAAACCCCCCACTGTCAGCCCGCAAACCCCCCACTGTCACCCTGCAAACCCCCCACTGTCAACCCGCAAACCCTCCACTGTCACCCTGCAAACCCTCCACTGTCAGCCCGCAAACCCCCCACTGTCAGCCCGCAAAACCTCCACTGTCACCCTGCAAAACCCTCCACTGTCACCCTGCAAAACCCTCCACTGTCACCCTGCAAAACCCTCCACTGTCACCCTGCAAAACCCTCCACTGTCAGCCCGCAAACTCTCCACTGTCAGCCCGCAAACCCTCCACTGTCAGCCCGCAAACCCTCCACTGTCAGCCCGCAAACCCTGCACTGTCACCCTGCAAAACCCTCCAATGTCAGCCCGCAAACCCTCCACTGTCACCCTGCAAACCCCCCACTGTCACCCTGCAAACCCTCCACTGTCAACCCGCAAACCCTCCACTGTCACCCTGCAAACCCCCCACTGTCACCCTGCAAACCCCCCACTGTCACCCTGCAAACCCCCCACTGTCACCCTGCAAACCCCCCACTGTCACCCTGCAAACCCCCCACTGTCACCCTGCAAACCCCCCACTGTCACCCTGCAAACCCTGCACTGTCAGTCCGCAAACCCTCCACTGTCAGCCCGCAAACTCTCCACTGTCAGCCCGCAAACTCTCCACTGTCAGCCCGCAAACTCTCCACTGTCAGCTTGCAAGACCCTCAACTGCAGTGGAAAATGGACATAACAACAGCTCCAAGGGCAATGCTCATTCATTTAATCCTGATTTACTGTTCCCACAATTTTAATGCATGTTCTTAATCCTATTCATATTGGACTGGAAATTATTTACCATTAGTTGTTAAGACATTCAATTTGCATACATTGGGTGTTGTATTCTATGACACATTTAGTGATGATAATAATAATAAACACCCACACCAGTGTATCAGTTGCTCTCTAAATGTTTCTGCAATGACCAGGTTTGCAGTAAGGAGGTTCTTTTGGCTGATGTACAAAGGCAGCAGTGAAATGGAACAATAAACTAGCACAATGTGATTTTTTTTCGCTTTCTTGTACTTTTCTCTCTTTTACATCTGAAGGTATTGTCATCGATTAGTACAAGAGTGTGGCACTAAACTGTTAAAATTTTCAGGGACGAGGATCAAACAAGCTTGTTCTGTGTGGTTGACCTGAATAATATTGCTGAATAATATTGTGAATGAGAATGGGGTGGGATGATTCAGGGGTAAGATGTATAACCTCCAGTCACAGCCCATCACAAGAGATTAGCTGGAGGCTTAGCCTCCCCCAAATTTTGTAAAATAAAAACTGTAACTTTAAAATATTAAAAAATATATAAATAACACAAAATGGGCATCATCATAATAATAATCCTTGTATTTGTATAGCACCTATCATATCATTAATATGTCCCAAAACACTTGACTAGAATTGCAGTAGCATGTTGTCACTGTGTATTTGTAAGCGAAAGTGCTTACGTCTAGGAAAATACTGAAATTTTCATTTAATAAGGAGGATGTAGGAGTCTATTTCATTTAGTTTAGTTGTATATTATGTTTACTTACAATTATCTTTGTGTGGAAGGAGGCATGTAAAGTATAACGCCACCACCCCCGGAATTCTTTCCTCAACGTTGAAAAGAGTTTTAATGGTATGGTTTACAGCTGTTTGTGTGATTTCATTTTAGCTTTGTTTTAAAACAAATGCTGGCATTTTATTTTAAATGGTTAAAATTGTTCCTTGTCAATTGTATGTTTTTTCTAGTATGTCCTTTGGATAATAATTTTCAAAAATTAGAAGAACATCAATGAAATTAGGATCTTGGAATATCCATAGTGTAGCCATAAGTTCCCAAAGAATTAAATCTACTTTGTTGCCTTTTGCATACTCTCATTATGAATGCCAGTCCTGGAAAAGTCACATACAGTAAACTTCTGATAACTCATTACTACATGGGAATAAGGACTTGGTAATGAGTTACCTGGAGTGGCAAGTTAGGCATATGTATCAATACATAAATAAATGCAGCCAGAATATAACATTAATAATAATCCTTGCATTTGGTATAGCATCTTATCATGTCTTTGAGACATCTCAAAGCGTTTCACAGAATATACTGTGAAGTGAATTGACTGTATTTTGTGGGTGAAATGCGGCAGCCAATTGCGCACAGCAGTGTCCCACAAGTAAACTTGCCCAACATTTCGCCCTGCCAGGAATCGAACTCAGGTCCCTCGCTTGCAAAGTGAGTGCTCTCATCACTGAGTTACAGGACTCCGCATAGGACTTCTGTAGTAAGCTACAGGACTTCACATCATATTCACATCATTATTACTTAAGTGGTAGTGACAAGTTAAGCCAGGGTTGAGTTATCAAGAGTTTACTGTAATTCCAATTTAGCTCCAAGTTTCTGAATTAGAATTACAGTAAACTCTTGATAATTCAATCCTGTTTAACCCCCACCCCACCCCCAAATATTTAAATAGGGCTGCTGTTGTGTGTATACAAAATGTGTATTCAATTAAGATAGGGTTAATGGAAGTCTTAAAACTAGATTCTTATGCTCCACTGTATTGCATTCTATTTAAAAGGATGATGGATACTTTAAAATGTATTCCTTCTGACAATGTAAGGTTTTCAATGAGAAATATCATCATGGGTTTGTGCACTGATCATCTTGGCAGTTTCTATGAACCAGCAGTTGAGGAAAGGGTGGAAATATCTGGCAAGGGTACCTGACTGGCTGAGAACTGCTAAATAATACAATACCCCGCAGTTATCCATGTCTACATTCCTGTTGTTTTTGTTGAACACCACTCCAGGTGACAGAGAGACTGGAGTCTAAAGTATATTAATATATGCAAGTAGCATTCCTGAGGTCATCTTATTAATCATTTGTACTGTATTTACTGCATCACCAATAATTTCAAACATCCACGTTAACTATTTAGTATTTATTTTGACCTTGAACTTTATGTACAGTAGTCACGCTCAGTCATTTGGTATCCAAAGTGCCTTCATGTTATTCTGGGGTACAAAACACTGTTAAGCGAATAAAGGTTCTGTATAAATGCTAAAGAAATGTTTCAAATACATGTAATGGAGAGTGGATATTGCAGAAGCCACAGTAATTTACTGCAACAATATTTTTTGCAGATTCCGGGAAGCAATGGTAATCGTTTGAATATGGGTTCGGAATATAACTTGTGCCGCAATACAGTTTGAAATGCATAATGTCAGCAATTCTTTGAACATTTTACACTCCTTTACATGTTAGCTGATGGCCCCAAATGACAGGAAAGAAAAAAAAACATTTCAACTACAGGTACTTATGAAATGTATAGGAATTGTATTCAAAACAAATTAAGAAACACATACTTGAGTATATAAAGTAAAGGTTTCAGCCATGTTTGTATTTCAAAACAGGAATAGTTATCACTCAAACAAATTAAACAGTGTTTAAAATAAGTACAATGTATAATTTTCACTATGTATCCAAATAAACTTGATCCAACACTAACCTTGGCAAAATAGTGTAACCACTCACATCAATGCAACTGTTGACAAAGTAACATAATTCTATAGTTAATTTACAAGTGTTTATTATTAAACAAAAACAAGGTTTGATGCTGCTCAGAAATGCACTTTAAAAGAGCTGTAGACTAGAAGGAAGATTAACATATTTAATTCCATCTACAGGAACAGTCTGTTGGCTCTTGAAATATAAAGTCTATCCAAGTTGAATTTCCTGTGCAGAAAAGTGGTACAATCCGATCGCTTAGCCCACCTTCTCTGCAGCATTTGCAGAATTTTGCATAGCCGTTGATATTGGAGTTGAAAATCACAGCAGATGGGCATTTGCCATCACAGGAAGCCACGTTTACCTGGCAAGAGGAAGAATAACTTGTTCAATCATCCTGGTTTACAAACTAGGATTGTGCTATAAAATCTATCTACTAACTACAGATAATCTGTTAATGTTTTGCTTGATTCTCAAGGACATACTTTTTCTAAAGCAAATCATTCCGTTTTCTATTATTTAACGTGCCTTTATGCAAAATGCCCGAGATAGATTGTATGAATGGAATGGGCACTCCGTCTCTGTGGAGGGATGCATCCTGCTTACCTAATTTCAAAAGTATTAGGCACATGTTGGCAAGGCTTGGGGTCCCTAGAGTGTGTGTTGGAGTGCTGCTGGAGTCTAACCAGTTAAAACTGCATAGCGTGCCATTGATAATAATACTTTCATTTGATATACCGCCTTATCACGTCGTTGAGACATCTCACAGCACTTCACAGAATATACTGTAAAACAAATTGACTGTGCAATTTCTGAGTGAAATGTGGCAGCCAATTATGCACAGCTGTGTCCCACAAATAGTCGTGGATTGAGTGACCAAATTGTTTTTATATGAGGGGCTTATTACCCCCTTGATATTGCTGTCTTGGAAGCTTCTCCGCTGCTTTCCAGCTAGGACCACCCTACCCATTATGGCTTTGTTTTGTAGGGTTAACAGGAGCTGAGTGGGATGACTCCCTGCCTCCAATGACTGGTCTGCCCCTCCAGGTCCTGCAATGAATCAGGTTATCTGTGCTATTATCAGCAGTGTCCTGAAATACTGCGGACCCGTTTGGCTCAGGAACTGGATTACCGAGACTGCCACAGAGAGCTGGCGCGATTCCGATATTCCTTTGCCAAATATGTCACCTTGGAGCCAGTTCAGCTGAGCTGGTTGCTGAGAAAACTGGAAATTAAACAGCACTTCTAATATTGTTTTGATCCACAAACATAAATGAAATTTGAGTTGTACATACAGAACTAGTGGTGCGGCAGTCATCTTTTCTGATGATCATTCTGACAGCTAATTTCTGGCAAGGCTTTCCATCTTCTTTGCCTAGTAACAAATGAATACATTATGAAATTTTAAACATTGGAATACATTGTTATTATGCCGTTGCAAAAACAATCATTAATATTAATCTCAAATTGTGCCCTTATCTGTTTCATAAATAGGATGAAGTCATTAAGAGCTTGAATTGTCTTAAATTATTGCACAGTAAAGTACAGATTCAAGTCTTGAGCATTAAGTCCAACCTCATCTTAGTATTTTCAGATCAATGACTTTCTATTCCAATTTCTATAAAGTGATAGCAGCTACAATAAAACTTGTACACGATCTTAAATCAATTGACTGAAGGAAATGTTAATCATAACTTCTCCTCATCTCTGCATAGTATTAAATTATATCCAATAGAAAACTTTGATTTTACTAATACAGTGAAACACCACCAATCCTTGCAATTAATTTAGTGCCTCTAAATGCCAGGATGTCTCAAAGTACTTCACAGAATTTACTGTAAAGTGTAATGACTGTAATTTGTAGGCGAATCTGTTCATTTGGAAATAATTTCATATTATAATCTCAGAACAACACTCAGTAGCACTTAAAATGACACGTCTGAGAATAACACAAAAAGGTAATGGAAAAATATTTCACAAAAAAGAAATTTACCACATGGCAGAGCCCCAGCCTTTGCAAAAAAAGAGATTAATTGACAAGAACTCGGAACATTGAGTCAGAGCACAATCTCACACAACATTAAGCAACATAACATTAAGAAACCATTAGCAATAAGAACATTTCCCATTAAGAGCACGTGGCTATTTAACATGAGAACATTCTTGGTAGATTTCACTATACTCTCCTTAACCATGGAACCGACAGAAGGATTTCTAGGAAAAAAGTTTGAAAGAAGAGCCATATTTTATCTCATTAACTACCGACCAACATTTCATTTTAAACCTAACTTCTTGTCACGTTTGCAATTGATACTGATAATTGAGTGTCACATATGTAATAAATACTGCCGGTGTCTGAAATATTGTATCACCTGCCTTATGAGTTTAGAATCAGCTTCTTGAACTGGCAAAAGGGAGAAAAAACAGTCACAAAGGAAGCTAGGTCAAAATGGAAGGCACATTGGAATGGGATCTCAGAAGGTATCTGCTGGGATTCTCCTGTTCCTAGTATTACAATATAATAACAATCTTTGCATCTGATAATGCGCTGTACATATTGAGACGTCTCAAAGCACTTTGCAGGATTTTACAGTGAGATGTAGTGACTGTACATCTTCTATTTCCTACCTCTTTGCCCTCCCTCACCCCAACCCTGCCCCCACCATGCTCGGATCCTGATCCCCGACTGATCAGCACTTTGAGTTGTCCTCCCGACATGAAAGGCCCTTTACAAATGTAATTTTGTTGTTGTTGTATTTTGTAGGCAAACTACAAAATATGTACATAAATTATCTGAATTTGTGGAATCATTGCAAAGTAGTTGCATTTCCAGGTGACAATAAGCTAAAGTTGGAGGGGAACGGGATAAGGACCATGGAATCACAGGGGGCAGCAAAGATCTAACAAAGAAAACAAATTGAACTGAATTTCAATACAATTAAATAACAAGTTACTACATGTAGGATGACCCCCATAAAGAGAAAGGGTTGAGTTATGTGCAATAATTAGGTAAGAAAGTTCCAGGTGGAATTTCATCTTCAGTGTGCCTTAACCTCAACTTTGCTCAGTTTCGTCTAGTAGAAATCTTCCCATTTCCTACTGATTCTGACACGGTTTGAGTGAGATTCGCAATTGAATGACAAATTACACATCAGCACATTTCAGTGACAAACTAGCAAACGTGGCTTGTAAAAATAGGGTGGGAATCAACTCCTGTGAGTTGGAAGATGGCACTTAAAAATAATTAACAGCAAATAACATGGTTACAAAAAACAACTAGCACATCATCTCCATCTACCACCCTCAAAAAACAAGTAAAATTTATTCTATGAATAATGTTTTAAACATCATGCATTTCACATAAAATTGGCTTATGGTAACATTTTTGTCGTCGAAAAAGACACTGAAATTTAAAAAATATATACAGTAATGGGAATAGTACCTGTGTCACAATTAGTACTACCAGTAGGGACTACTGGGCTAATGGTAAAAGGTAATAAACCCAATCCAGAACCTGGCAGAATTATCAATATCAGTTTATTGTAAATAACAGTGTAAATTACATTGAAATATGACAATTTCTGGCATGCATTAGATTAAGCTGGTACGTAAGAATATGTTGCTGTTTTAAATGGGTTAAGTATAAACACAAGCTGGTGTTTGAACTTGGAAGGCCATTCAAGTGCACATGCTTTTAGTCTGTGATGGCATGTTTATAAATCAACACTAAAGAATCACAGGTAAGCAGGTGATTTGGTGCAATCTCTGCAGTCACATCAATTTATGATGATGTACAATTCTGAAGTATAACAGTTTTTTTGTGTTTGTGCAAACTGCTTTCCCTTGCAATGGATTTTCTTTGGAAAAATACACACACTATAATGGATGTAGAAAGAGTTAAAAGGTTAAACAGCAATATTTACTTTGAATTGTTAGTTCCCCCCACACCCCCATTCAGTTGCATATGCTTGCAGTTTGCAGCAATGAAAAACAAATAATATGAATGAAAAAAAGCAAACCTAAAGGAAAGAACATTTAAAAAAAATTAGAAAGAAAGGGGTTTACATGGAATGATACATGATAAGGCAGAGGAACAGGCCATCGGCCCAACTAATCTGTATCTCTGTATAAGTTCATTCGAGCTCCCACCCATCCTATTCCCCTCACCTGTTGTTCCTCCATTGAGGTTTGTGGAGAAGTTAATATATTCAAATCATTCAGAAAGTAAGTTATTCTAAGAAAATAAGCAAAGCAAAGCAGTGTTGCCCTCCCCAGCTAACAGAGGTTAAAGGTTTTGAATAAGGTTCATTGAAAATTAAAGAAGTGAGCTTCAGGCTGATAACTGCATGAGTTATTATTGTCTCTGTTCCACACTTATATCTATTGAAGGGAAAAATAATCTAAAGTTGCAATTACAGTTTTGCTTCAATGTTATTACAGTATGTTATTCCAGAATTCTGCCAGACATTAAGGTACTTCCAAACTGAATGGAAGGGGTGTTAATTCCTAATTATATTCCTAATTTACATTTCCAAAGAGGAAATAAGGTGGCATCTATTTCTTGTTTACTTAACAGTTATACTCCAGAATAATAAGGTCGAGATCAACCGTGCCAGCAGCCCGCATGGTTTAGACTGCAGCCCCAGAGAAGCAGTGCAATAAGACGGACACGACTTTTTATAAAATGTTATCTTAGCACCGTTCACCCAGATTCAAATACTACATGCTTTCCTCCTTCATTCTCCCAGTAATTCAGTTTTATACCACAGCACTCCGAAACCAAAGCCAAACAAGCACAATATGCAGCCTTGCTCACTTACAAGTCTTGCAGCAGCCATCCACGTAGGTCTTTACGATTCCCCCATTCTGCAAAAATGTTAACATTTTAACACAAGTACCATTAAAACGGCCTAACGCCTTTTGTTAGTGATCACAGGAATGCATTGCGTTAAGTTTCCTGCAGTGGCATGGTGGCAATTACTAATTTCCAATATTGTAGCTTCACTCAGATTCTCTCTTTCCATTTGGGTGGCAGTACATGCCAGGTTACGATTCCATAGCAAGATTGAGTTCTCTGGTCCTCATACCACATAGCCTTTTTTTATGTCTGACACTGGATAGTGGCTATTGACTGACATCTACCACAATTATACATTGCTGGCTCGTACACACACTTCCACATGCAGGATAATGTATTCTCAGCTTTCTGTCAATGTAGAACTGTTTGCCTGACAAGCCAGTTGTATATGTGCAGGAGAACTGCAACGTATCAATAATTCTATGATATTGCACACTAGAGGCAGCAGCACCAGAACAATTTAATTTAAGTGCTAGTTTGAATCGCTTATATTTTCTTCAACTAAATACAGACCCTCACAGTGGTGCAAATAATTATTAAAGAGGCACACGGAAAGCTAAACTTAACTTTATTATAGGAACACAGGTCCAAAAAAAAAGACTATTATACTCTGATTGCTCTCACATCAAATACCATGTCTTGTCATCTCACATAACTCTCTAACTATTTCTTTAAAGATAAATCATTCGAGTAAGCATAGCATTCCAATACATTATACATCCCAATGTGATATGCAGAAGGGATATCTAGTGCTCCAGTGTGAAGAATACAAACCTGTATACATTCAGTGTCATTAAACGGTGGGCAGACAACTCCAGAGCCAAGTATCGCAACCCCAACAGCAGTCTCCAGACATTCATATCTGATGCAGTTTGAAACCCAAGATGTTCCTGCCTGGAGTGAGAGACAGTCAGCATAAAGAGAGTTACAGTATCATTGCTTCAGCTGCTATTATTTTACTGAATTTAATTTGAATGTAGAATAATGCTCCGTTCATTCTGTACCTTTACCCAGGGAAGATGAGTAACCTATTCAGCTGGCTCCAACAATTTATTCGTTCACAGCATTGCTTCTTTAAAATCTGATCCCTGGTCTAATTTGAGCAAATAGGTAAGAGACATTTGTCCTGCAGCCCAATAGTTGCTCTATAACAAAAGGACAGTTGGGCTATCTATCTAATCTGGAGGACTATAGGTGAATCTTGGCTGTTTGAGAACAGGAAATGGGCAACATCTACAACAGCTGCTTGTGGGTTAGGAAGAAGGGGGCTGAGATACACAAACAGCATAGACTGGGATTTAAAAAGTCTGATCTATACAGCCATCACTTAGTCTTTTGCATAGACATGTGGATACACTGAGTTCAAACCTTAGATTTTGCTTGTGATACAATTAAAGGAAAGTGGATTAGAGGTAAGAACTGTTCTAATGGTCAAACATACCTTGTTTAAAATGGTTTCTCCACTCTCATTCTCAGATGGGCATGAAATATTCTTACAAGAACCACAGCAAAAGTGAGGGTCAGATGAAGGAATGTAGACTTGATGCTATTGATAAGTAAAATAATACAATAAATCCACAACATTTCCAAAATGTTGTATATTTTGGGCAATTATCTTGACAGTATATTCCGTGAAAGCACCCAACATAAGGTGCTAAATCAAATGCAAGAATTATTACTATTAAAATTGCAGGGTCTCTGATAAAAGTCGTCAGTGAAATCAGTTTAGCTTTGGGGTAAATCAATACCAATAAGGTACACTACCAACCCAAGCTAACTGTGAATTAGATAAAGAGAAAATGTAGATCAAAACTGTACAGGCGTGTTTAATTGTGTAGTTATTATTATTAGTTTACCACCAACGAAAAGCATTAAAGGTAATTATTTTCATTGATGAATTATTATACAATAAGACTTCTGGATAGACCTAGACAGCCTTCAAAAGAGGATACAGTCAAGTTCTCACTAGTGGCAGTAAATGTTTATATATACTTACAGGTTCACATTTTTCTGAACAGGCAACTATGTTAATCTCCATTGAATGGAACTCAGTAACAGGATCTATCGAGTGCAAACAATTGACTGTGTGACACAGTTCACCTTCAAAAGACTGGATCATTGACTGGCCAGGTTTCAAGACAGTCACACCTTGGAACAGGCACACTTTATCCTTTTCTGAAACAAATAATAAATCTTAATGTGTATAGCGCGACTTACAATTACACTTGATTTATAACCAAAATTATTCAGCTAAAATAGTCAGCATTATTACTTTTTAGCATTTATCCCCATTTTTAATACAATGCTTCTTAACGCTCAATCTAGTAACATTTCATAGTCTGAATAAAGCTATCAGGGTACAGTAACAACTGCCTACAATCATCAACAAGCAATTGTAAAGAATTTACAAAGGTGTGGTAAGTGCATTTAATGCTTCATAACCTTAATTTTTCTGCACAATCCAATAAGGACCAGTAACAATGATCAAAACACAGGCTTTGATACAACTTACTGCAGATATAGCGAATGCAGCCACAGACATTGTGAAAGTCAGGATCCTCTTTGAGAACTTCTCCCTGAGTTTATTAATAAATCAGAAACTTGAATTATTCATCAAATTTTTAAAAAGTACTATTATAAAGCAACATACAGCAACAATGCAATACAAAGTTAGCAGACAGTGTACTGAATCCTTGTTTTACTATTGGATGCAAAAGAAAGTATTAATGTAGAGTCAAATCACTCGGTCTGACGATAAGGCCAATTATTATCTCAGCATTTGTGAGTCATCTACTAGTGATTATATTGAATGTTTCAATGTGTTTTATGCTGACTTGTGGGTACATTAAAGCACTTCTCAGTGCCTTATGCATTAACAGTCCAGAATAATGAACAACTGTATGTTCATCATGACCATAAGATTGTGTTGTAATTGAGAATATGTACATAGATGCATTAGCTTCACTTCGTTCTTATACAATGTACCACATTACACCAGTATAAGAAAGCAACTAGGTGATCTAAAAGAGAACTTAGGAGGAATTTCTTCCCACAGATGGCCCTGATGTAATGTGGACGGGCTGTTTACAATCAGGTTTCCTGCTCCAATAGTGGAAATTAAACTGCTTTGTTTCCAGCAGTGTAAACACAGCGATAACAAACCAAATGGAGAATATTCTCACTAAAAATACTTAAACGCACCACTTTACATGATGTAACATCCGAAATTTCACAGTTGCATTCTGGAAAACAAGAATGGAAGAGGTTTGAATATTTCAAACGTCCCCCGACCCACCCACTCCACCATTGGCAGGAGAGCCTTCAGCCACTCTGCCCCCAACCTCTGGAATTCCATCCCCCAATTACTCCACGTCGCCCCTTCCCTAGCCTCCTTCAAGACCCGCCTCAAAACCCTCCTCTTTGACCATGCCATCGGTCCCCCCCCTTTCCCCTCCCCTCCCTTCTGCCTCCCTGACCCCACTCGGGTCTGAAATGCTGTATACTGTCCAAAGCCTTGGGACGTCCTCCTGACGTGAAAGGCGTTATACAAATATAATCTTGTTGCTGTTGTTCAAAGCAATCTTAATTCATTTGAAACTTTCTGCTTAAACATAACTTAAGTGGTCGTTACCGCATTGCCATTCAGGGCAGCAGATCTCTGGAACATCTTTCTTTACCAACTTTGTTCCAGATTCACAACTCTTGTCAGGCGGAGGACACATATTGGCATCACAGACTGAAGGAAAAGGGGAAATGGAGGCAAAAGAAGAATCACTTCAGAGTATTTATTTCAGTAAGGATTTAAATGCTTCATATTTGCATAGGTTAACAATACCATCGTTTTTTCAAGCTTGACTCTAAGGTGCTCAGTCAATAGTTCATGTTCCAGTGTGAGACACAGACACGGTTGAAACACAAGATGCAATTTGCAATGCAAAAACAAAAATATTGTTGACTCGAGATTACTTATTTTGTGATGCTAATGCACCAGGAATAAGTGCTTTTGGCACAGGGTGCTTGCTGAAATTATCAACCCCTTTCGTGGAAGCATTTAGCAGAGAAACAAGAGAGCAACATAAAGGAGGAACAGGAGGTGATTTAAGAAACAAATATGAAGCTCAGAGAGAAAGAGGTAGTAGATGCAGGCAAGCAAAAGATGGCGGGAGGGAACAGAGAGGAGTATGGAAAGGAGACACCAAAGAGACAGAGAAGCAGAGACTCAGAAAGGATTAAAACATTTAGATAATCCATCTCCTCACATTCATTCTTATCCCATAGACTTCACTTACATATATGCAACATACATAAACTACTATTCTCCATCACACATTGAACAAAGAAGAAGTGAGAGAGTGAGGTGACCATAGATGCGATCGAAGAGGTAGGTCCAGATGTGATTTAAAGATGGATAAAGAGGTTTACTTTGAAATGGTCACAGAATGTTGTAACAGCAAAGGTAGTGGTTGACTCACCACAGTGGTACAGCGGACAGCACCGGTTTGTGCTGTTGAGATCTACTGCAAGGATTTCTCCTTCACTGCATATGGGAATTGGGTCAATGCAAGATTCACACACTGGAAAATTAAAAAGGAATTAAAGAATGAGAAACTATTCTCATTATGTAAATGCTAAATATTTTTAAAAGCAAACATGGCATTTATTTGCAGTAAACACCTGATCAACCTTTTTTTATAAGGAAATTAAGGTACTAATGCTTGATGATAATAATTATCAATCTTGCATTTGATTTAACAGATTATTGTGTCATTGAAACATCTCAAAGCACTTCACAGGAATTATTGTAACATGTAATGACTGCAGGCAACTCTTGTAGCACAAGTTTTAAGTCTAACTTTTAATTGTGATGGCCATACAATCTAGTTGATAAGAGCAAATGCTTTTGGTAATCAGAAACTTCTGACGTTATCCATTGTCAATATCCATATCTATTTATCCTCTTAATTTTTTTTACATTGGGATTTCTGTTATATACTCGCTATATACACATTGAGACTCATGAACATCAACCATCATACTACATGTAGAAAACAGACACCATTTTTTCGAGTCTCACAAGGATATGGGTGAATAGCAAAAACAATTGGAAACTTTTAATGAAAAAATATTTTACATACAGTAGATTTTCTAGTATGTTGCAGTCATGGCTTGGCATGCCATATTCTTACCACATTGAAAGGAGAAACAGCAGGAGTAATCCTTGCGCACTTCGACAAGAAACTGATCCTCCCTACATTCAGGGGGTGAACTAGTTGGGCAGGGCAGTGGGTCACATTCTGTGCAGGAAAAGGAAATAGACAACATTACGGGGGGCTTGTACTCAGTGCAGCAGCTTCACAAACACTAAAAATAATAATCACCATTTCATATTTTGTATTGTTCCAGCATTTAAAACAATTAAATATTTTCAATGTTCTTCATTATCCCAACTTTCACATTTGATAAACTTACTTCAATATACTTTTCTGATCTACACAGGAACATTTTGAGTAGAATTTTGCTTGTGATAACCAAAATCTTTTTACAAATAGACGTATCCATTATGGAAATTGGCCACAGCTACTTCTGCTAAAGTAGTTCCCTCCAGCCTATATTGTAAGATCTTCATAATTTCCAAAATTTGTTTATTCTTCTATTATTATTACCTCTCACAATATTATCAAAATAATGAACATGCAAATGAAAAGATGCAAGTAAGGCTATATGAATATCTAGATTAATCCAGACATAAAAATATGCAATTCAGTCCTTTCCCTGAACACAGGACTTGAATCTCAGATTCTCACAGTGCTTATTCCTGTTAAATCAATCTCTGACAACTTACCACATCTGTAATCAGGACAACATGAAATGCTGCTGTAGCCTATTACCAATTTATTTCCATTCTCACACGCTGGAACTTCATTGCCACATATTGTCAGATTGCATTCTGAAAATATAAGTGATCAGAGGATTTAAATTTTTCATGACAATATTAACTTTTGCTGCTTTAAAGACACAGTGCACTTTTCATTGTGATACATTCAAAATTATGCTTTATATATAGAAAAGTACCCATCATTATTTTACAGCACAGTAGTTTATTTTGACATAAGATCTCTCTCTCTCTCGTTTGCCTTTGTCACACTGCGCGGTGAGCTCAGAACTTTACATTCAAAAAAACATGTTCTGAATATTATGAAGTAGGATTATAAACCAAAGATCTTTGATCATATTGAAATGGAAACATAAATTTGAATTCAATTCACTTTCAAATACCTCTAATAATGTATTTTTTAAACAAGGGTACAGTACTTCTTATTAAAAAAGTTTCTGCCATCTTTAATGAAGTTTATTGTATTGCTCGATACTAATTAATTTAACACATACCACAAATCTTCTTTGGGCAACAGACTCCCTCCTCAATGACATTGATAACCACTTCTCCCTCCCGTTCACAGATTGGTGATGATACTTCACTGCAAGTGGGTTTCACTGCAATAATTGTTCCATTGTCCAAGCATTTCTGCATACAGCATCCTCTTTGTGATCCATTCCAAGTCTCACTCGCTGACCTTGGCCTGCCTTCATTGTCCGTGCAAGCTGGGGAGATAAAATACACAAACAAGCAACTAAGCAGCAAGAATTAACTGTCCAGTCTCAGGTTGACAGTAATTTTGCACTGTGAAATAATGTTTATGTCTCTGTCCCTCAGTGTCTATAAAACAAATCAAACACTGTACAGATCCAAACTCCTCACTTCTCCTCACTACTCATGTGATCTTTAAAATAGTCCACCTTCACCAAAAGAGAACAACAATAACAACTAACAAGATTACTTACTGTTAAGGTTGTAATACGGGAATAAGAATGACAAAAATGGATAAAAGTATAAGCAATTTCATTGAACCCAACATCTGAGAAGCTGTATATATATAGTAGCAATTGTAGCAGTTGTTACCAATAGGCAATTGCCAATGGCTCTGGATACTAACCGCACTGTTGCTCTGTAACACAGTAGTTAGAGTCCGGTTGATGAAGTACAGTTCCGTAGGGACAGACACAACTCTCGCTGATGAACAAACAGGTTGAATCATTCTCCAAATAGAAGTCCTTATTCTGGCATGTTTTACTCTCACAAGCTGGTACACAAGGTTGGTATTCCATACCCATTGGGCAGCTAAGTGCTGTATGTACCGAAGTAAAATAATTATTAGATTATTGAACATTTTTTTTCAAATGTAGACTGTAGAGTTTACTTAAAACAAAATATGTTAAGATTAAATTTTTTTATGATATAAAACTGACAATATAATATCGCATAGCAAATCGAATTCTGTTATTGAAACTTCTGGATCACAATTATATTCATCATCATTTATTGCCCTTTGGGATGTCCTCCCAATGTGAAAGGTACTATATAAATGCAATTTGTTGTTGTACTACAGAAATCCAAATACTGGGTGTACCACTGAAAAAGACACATCTGAATCTTCTATGTCAAATGTCTCTGCAGTTCCCACTTACGCCCGCTAAGTGATTGCTATTCTGTTTAAACAGCTAAACTGATTACTGTTGCATTGTGTCCTTAATATTAATATTGAAATCTGGTTCTCCACATTATTTGAGAGGCCCTATGCATATAAAAAGAGTGTAGATAATTGGTCATCAAGCAAAATACAAATTGGCTACAATATTAATCAAAATGGTATAACTTTCAGCATAAGTTATACTGTCACATTGTGTCAGCCCTTGCGTGTCTGCCTATCTGTAACTCTATCTTTAACTCAACATCGTACATAAACAGATTTCTAAATAAACACTTGCCTTCACTCTGCAGGTTCGTAATCACCCTGTGCAGGAAAATTGAATTCCGACTAATTTATACACATGTGCATAACTACATTTTCCCCCCAGTATTGAGGCCTTGAGTTCAATTCCAAATTGTAACCCATTGTGAATAAATTGACCTGAGGAAAGTTGTCATTGCAAATACCCAAAGATGTACTATACTTTGTTTCAAAGAACTATGAAAAGTCTCAATTTTAAGAAAGTCTTACAACTTACGACAAAAGTTTGGAGTTCTCCACTGAATACAAATGTTGTATTTGTTGCAAGCAGCTGCATATACAGCCAGAGCATCGCACTGATGGGTCGTGTAGTGAAAATCCCGAATCCACAGCTCACAAAATATCTCTGGAGTAACCTTAGGGTGAAAAGGAACATCAGATACAACATGAAACAATCCATGCAGCACCTTTCAAACTTGGTTAGAAATCAGCCTCTACTATTCTAATCGTGTTTCATATACCCAGCATTTTCTGACCTGGTTTACTATTTCATTGCTTTTGCTACAAATCTTTGAAACTGAGCCTGAAATGAAACAGAACTTACTTACCTGAATATTTCACAACAGTATCAAATTATACATATTGTAAACTCTAAAATATATATTGCCAGTGTATTGTAGTGGGTTAGGGTTACATTTTAATTAATAAAGCTGTTCCTAATGTTTGAGAATTTTTAATACTGTAGTATTAGTGGGGGGAGGAGGGATAAAACACTGGACAATGTGCATTACAGGTCAACACCCACAGTCTCTATTGTAGAGACTGGGGTTATTGCTGGGGTTTAGTTTGTTGTGTAGTTCATGTTACCTGGCGAGGCCTTTATATTTGTAATTCATCTGTCAGATATCAGTGAATCTAACCTACATAATATTGAAATCTGTTCCACTGATATATTTCACCACGGAGCTGTACTGACTGGTACATTTAACAGCAAATATTGGCTACACTTACAAATGGATTCCGTTCCAGTCAGTAATTGCTTATTAATGTTTGATGTATTCCACTACCAGAATCACAAGATCATAATAGAGGTTTGAATGAAGAAAGCCCTTCAACCCATTTCATCTACTCATTCCAGAATACCTTACCATTACTGCATCTAACTTTTTAAATAAGCCCAATGTCCAGTTCTCTCTGCTTCATGTTAAACTAATCCAGCTGCTGATACACTTGCAAAGAATTTAATTCCTTGTGTCTGCGCTAAACTTGCTCTTCACAACCCTAAACCCATAAATGAACCCATGTCCTGCTGCCTTGGCATATCTGAAAGTGTCATTATGGATTTATTTTCTTTCTCCCTTTTAACATTATATAATAACCCTTGTGCTTGATATAGTTTGATATATCTTGCCAAAATGTCTCAAAGTGCTTCTCAGGATTTACTCTAAAGTGGTGTGACTGTACGTGTTGTGGGCAAGCCTTAACCACTCTTAATCAGGTCCCTTTGTGCAACTATTTTAGTAACCCATGACTTACATTTGGGGTTACATTCTCTTCTCAATTCTAAATTCTCTTCTTACCTGCTGGTGACACTGTGTCCAGGGGCTTTGGTTCAGCATTTCAAAACAAGCAGTGCAGTTGGCAGTGGTGCAGTTCTGCTTTCGGCATCTAAAACAATCAGTCTCTCGTCCAGATGTTTCAACCATCCAACTCTCAAGGAAAAGACCAATATTTTCCACTTCTGTAATGAAGGTCCCATTTGGCAGCTTGAGGTCATCAGCAGGGCTGCCATTACAACAGCCTAAAACCAAAAGAAATTCATTGGCCTGAGAGTTAGTGGTAGGATTACTATTGCAACTGATCCTGCTGATGAGTTAGACCAACGGCAATCAGGCCTATGCATTAAGTTAACTTTATTCACATACAGTGGGATGTACAAGTAAAATGTTCTGAATTAAATATAAACTGTGTAAGATCATTGTGATAATTCAGCAAACAATTCCTCTATTGCAAGTATTGCAGGTACTTTATTTTTCACTGGCATTATGTATTACTTAGCACCATCCAAAGCATTTTTGTTCAAACTTATATTTATTTGTTCCAATGAAAGATTAACACAAGTCTCACACTATGCCATTTGTTATTATTATAATATTTTCCCAATAGGGAATTAGTATCTAGAGTTTACTCACCACACAGCCCTTTAGTGCTTATGGTTCTGTTGGAAGGCAAACCAAACTCTAAGACAATAATGCCTGTGCTGCGATACCACTGAATAGTAACCCCAGCTGGGGTATGAATCAGGTACATTGTTCCTGTGTCCACTATATGGAAGCCAAGCTTTGTGAATGGGAGCCGAGCATGTCTAGAGTTCACCGTTGTCTGGAAACCAAAAGCACAATCAGTAAATCTCCTTATAAAATGTTCAGCGCAAGCTCTACAATTACACATTTTTAACTATTCATGATCACAGATTGATGTACAGTGATCACAGATTGATATACAGTGACTTTATTAAGTGGAGTTTATTAAGTCACTGTCAGTCAATCTGCACGTCAATAAATAGCCTTTCTGCACACGATTTGCTAACCTTTGGACAGAGGGTATGATCTCAAGAAAAATACTCAGTGTTTACTTATAAATCTTCAAGCTTATTTCAAAATATAGGTACCATTTACTGCCCTCTTAAGACCTTTTGTTGGGGACTGTGGCTCTAGGCTCTTAGTTGAGATTAATGCTTTTCACATAGATCTTGGCAGTCAGCAAAAAAGAAGAGGGTTTCAATTTAGTCTGTATGGATTTATCTCAGAGTCCCTCCGTCTCACCCCCACTATAAACCCTGCCTTAAGGCTACCTCTTCAACTGCACTTTTAGCCATCCTTTCTGTCTCTCCACCCCCCAACTGTGTGAAGCATTTTGAGATGTCCTCCTGACCTAAAATGAGCTATTATAAATGTAAACTGCCAGTTGTGTATTTCTTTATATGAAATGATACTGTTAATACTTTCTAATGTGTTCTTATTTATTAATTTGAGTATTGGCCAGATAATTGTGGGTGTTTGACCAAAAATCGCATGGTCACTCCACTTTAAAGCGCTGTGAAGCACTTTCGGTTATTCTCCCAATGCAAAACGTGCTATATCAAATGCAAGGATTATTATTGTTAAAATGAGTTAATTGTGGTACCAAAGATTATTGGGAATAGAATAGCACTGACTGCTCCCTCACTTAATAGAATCACTCTTAAAAGTGCAACTCACCGTCCTTTCCAGTCGATTGATCAGAACTTTGTGGGTCCTTGAAGTGATGTTCAGTTTTTTAAAGCACAATCCAGAATTTCCTCCAGGCACCTCAACAGCAAAAGCAGGGATAGTAAATAAACTAATTTCACCCAAACATCACCTTAGCTTAACTAAAGTTTTCAAACAAACAAAAATGAAATCAATGTGTACTTACAGGGCGCCTTATGGAATTTGCACTCTGTAATTACAAAAAATGTTTTGGGCATGTCAATAATCCAGCAATATTGTTATTTTTCAGATATAATAAAATGTACTTTAAAATACCATTCTTTAATAGTTATCTTTAAACATTTTCCATAATAAGATGTCAATGCAGTACAGCATTCATATTGCTGAAAACAGTATATATTAATGTATGCAATAATATATTAATATTTATTCATTCTTAACCGGTGAGACAGATGTCATTTAATTTCTGTGCTTTGAAGAAATTACCAAAATTTCACTTTGTCATCAGTTTTTTCTTTCTTTATCTCTTTCTCGTTTTATGGAAAAGCCATAACTTACCTCACGAGTGGAGCACTGTTCAATATGAGCAACGATAGTTTCTTGTGGTAGCAGGGTCAGTACGTAGGCTTCAGCATCATACACTCCCACATCATTGCCATCAAATGTGATTATGTGTAGGTCAGAAAACATTGAACAGCGACCTGAGATGTAAAATTATAATAAAGATTGTATCAGATTGTATTATATAACACATTGAAATTATTGGAAATATTTCACACTATTTTCACAATATTTTCCCCAAATCACGAAAATCTTTCCAACTAACGGATAAAAACAATGTGTGTGCATCTCATCGCCTGCATATACTATCAAGTTAAATATCTGAATAATACTACTATTAAACTAGGTATGTTGCAACAGTATTAAGGTGCCATAGTAAAAAATATTTACTTTATTTAGTACTTTATATTGTCAGAGAAGAAAAACATTATTGTGCTCACTAGCGACAAGTTTGTGAGGATATGTGCTTTCCAAACACTTCACATTGTCATACAGAAACTACAGGTGTAAAGCAAGGACAGGGGAGACTGTTAAAGACAGAGTCAGGGGCGAAAGAGCAATGAAGAAACACAAAAGACAAAGTTACAAGATTGAGAAATAAAGTGAAAAATCAGACTGTAAAGAGATCAGAGGCTGTACAACAAGACAGTGAATTGAGAAGGAAACAGCACTCAAGAGAAGTACACAAGTGAAAAACTCAAATTATCAGGAAGAGGTTTGTCCATGTCTATCATTGGTGCTCTGCTATTTCAAAGTAGGTATCACATTTTAGAACAATGGTACAATAGTATTAACTATTCGCTTGTTGTGAAGTAGTATGAGAATGTAAATCTAACACCCAAACTCACATGGGCATTCCCACTGAGGACAGCACTTATCACTGTTTACTTGGAGAGGCATCCCCAGAAAGCCACAGCTTGGCTGTGTCACGTTAAAAGTACACTGCAAAGAAATTATACAAAACAAAACAAATGCATCAGAACAGGTAAACACGCAGTACTACACTTACTCGTAAAACTGATCATTCACTTTATGACTATTTGTGGGTCATTGTTGCATGCAAATTTGCCTACAAATACGCAATCACTACACTCTACAGTCAAATCGTGTGAAGTGCTTTGAGATGTTTTGATGACAAAAGACCGTCTACAATATACAATAAATATTTTTATTATTAACATTATCCACCAACTACAAACAATGAAATTGTGAAAGAAATTATTGGACTATATATTCTTCAAGCCTGTCTTAGAATCTGGTCAAAGAGTGAGTGACATTGCAGGAACATTGGAATAATCTGCAGTCCAGAGTCTCATCCTTTTGGTAGACACCAAGGGTATGATGATAGATAATAATAATCTTTGAATTTGCATTTGATATGGTGCTTTCGCATTTGGCAGACATCTCAAAACGCTTCACAGGATATACTGTAAAGTGTAATGACGGTGTATTTTGTGGGGAAACACAGCAACCAACCTGAATACAGCAATGTCGCACAGACAGCCAATTAAATGAAATGCCAAGTTTATTTAGGGAATGTTGGCTGGGATACTGGGAGAAAGTCTCTTCTTTTTAAATAGTGGCAGGAGATTTTTAACATGGGGCTTGAACCCACAACCTTCTGATTTAGAGGTACCAGTGCTACCAACTGAGCCAGGTTGACACAGACTAATGATAGATAGCAATAATGACATCAAGGAGGATATATGAAATACAACTTCTTTTCAAAAGATCTATTGCTGTCAATAGCTATAATGTGCACTTTTTTTAAGTTTTAAAATAAATTACGGCCAAATGTTGTTAACGAAGTTACGCATTCTTTCTAATTAAGAAACTGCTCGTACTGTGCACTGCGGGGCAGAGGGTGTTGCTGATGGTGCTACAGTTTGAGAATCAGAGAGTGTAACTGAGCTGTCAAACGGAATTGCACTTTCTGGATGAGGAGCTGTTGCAGCCTCGGATGTGAGAGAAGTCAGGGTGGGAGGAAAAGATGAAGGCAGCTCGGAGACAACTGTTCTATAAGATGAGGAAGTAAAATTAGCTGGAACAGAGGATGTTGACGTGGAGGTTGCTGCTGGTGTGGCTTTCTCCTCAAAATCTGTGGCTGAAATCGAGCTGACTGTGAGTGGTACAGGATACATGGGGGGTTCTGGTGTAGGTGTTGCAGGTTTGGTTGGCTTCACTATCCCATCAGTGCCACTTATCTGGGGAGTCAAAACAGCACTGGTTGATGTAAGGATGAGTGTAGGTGAAGATTTGAATGGTGCTCTGGTGTGCCAAGTGTCCTGTATCTCTTTGGTTCCTGCTGCAGTTGCAATTGCCGGCTCTGTTGTTTTAGTTAGCGTTGTCCTCAGCTCGGTGAATAGCATTGCAGACATGGTTGTTGCCACAGTTGTCCGTTTTGTTGTTGTGGATTCCACGCTTCTAGGGGATGTGTAATACCTTGTCTGTAGGACCTGTGCTGTAGTTACCAAATGAGTGTCAGTGAAAGGTTGTCCAATAGTCACTGATACGGTTTTGTGTGGACTAGCAGATGATGCGGCAACATGGGTGCTCTGTGTGGAATAGCCAGTGGCTTCAGATCTTTTGGTAAAAGCACTGTGTGAAGCAGTAACTGAGGGAGAGAGTGTTTCTTGAGTCGCAGAAATGGGAGTTTTAGACTGGCTTGTAACAGCTGCTGTTGAAAAGTTACTTGTAGCTCCAGTAATCCCGACAGAAGTGGTGGTGAGCAGAGGCACAGTGGGTGTTGTCAGAGTTGAGGTTACATTAGCCGTTGCGGGAACTGTAGTGGAGCCTGTGACCTCTGTTGTTAAAGCACTTGAAGGTAACTGGCGGGAACTTGTGACAGCTGAACTTGTAGTGGTCCTGGCTGAAGATGCTGTCAATGCCAGAGGAGTAGTCAGTTGGGATAACAAAGTTGTTCCAGGTGGCATTATTGTTGTGGATTTTTCTGTCAAGCCTGTTGTCACCCGTAATGTTGTTGGAGTCACTGACCTAGCAGGAGGACTGTATGCTGCTTCTGTTGCAGTGGATGTTTTACCAGGTGTTGGAAGATAAGGTAATTCTGTAGCAGTTATATTGATACCTGCAATAAAATATGCAGTCAATGAATGATTCATTTTGCTTAAAAATTATCAGTATTATCTTTTTTTCTGTTAACTCCACTAAAGGGACAACTATTGATTCTCTTTCTAATTTTATTAAGATGTTTCCCTCTAATGATTCTACTGGTGCCACTCACCCTATGTTTACTCACACAGGTGGCCATTTTACATGTGTAAGCCTTGACAATGCAATTCACAGGTAAATCAAATCACATCCTCCCCATTAGGAGTCGCTCGGTTGTGATGAGGAGCAGGAGCCATATCATATTTTTACCCCTTAATCAGAAGCACGAAGCTCAGTTGTATTGCTGGGCTTGAGATCAGCAATCTCATCACTGACCAGGAACAAACCTGGAACCTCCTGACCTGCAGGTTAATATAACATCTACACATTGTTAAATCAAAAAGCTGAGAATTATTGTTCTTTTGTAAATAAGGATTAGAATTCTAACAGTTTATTCCCTTACTGTAGCCTCCCTGTTCCTTGTTAACTATAGTATTGTTTTCAAGGGTTCGCTTTAGGTATGGAACAAGACTGTAATTACTCTAATTTAAGCATATCTTAATTCTGTCCAATATTTCTTTTATATTATTTCACAGACCAGAATACCCATCATTTCCTATTAAATAAAAGCAGCTGGCATCTTCTTCAGCAATTCAGCCTCTGCGAAAACTGAATGGAAATATAATAACCTTGATAAATGAGAGTGCAGTAGTTGTCATTTTGTGGCTCAAAGATAAGGGGAAACTGAAATGAAAGCATAATTTTTCTGACCAGCAGGATAACAGGCTGAGCAATGTTAGGTACTTACACTGGAAGCTACTCTCCGACCCACCCTTCCCTCATGTTAGTCAGCAACAGACAATGCAAAAGGGGTTAAAGAAAAAGACACTCACAGTCCTCTAGATAAACACATCTACGAGTGACTTCATCAAGAAGCATAAGCTTTGGACAATGTGCCATACAGCCCTCTACTCTGCATGAGAGAAAAAAAAGATAAGATAAGGTTTGTTTTTCCCCTGGAGTTCACATCCTTCCATCTTCTCTGAAGATCTCCCTGATCCAGTGGTCAACTGCAACTGAGAGGACAGGGGCCTGTCTGCTCCCAGCCAATGCTGGCGGTGCTATGAACCAGTCAAAAGGAGAATAATAAACAATAACCATCTTTGCCTTTGATATTGTGCCTTTCACATTGGGAGGATGCTTTAAAGTCTATTCCAATATTTTCTGTAAAGTGTAGTGACTACGTATTTGTAGGTGAACACAGCAGCCAATTTGTGCACAGCAAAAACATGAAGTGAGTGACCAATTTTACCTGGGGGATTGTTTGCAAGGACACTTGGGAGAAACTCCCTTCACTAACTGGCTCTGGGACAACTCTCTTGGTGATTTTCCTTCTCTCCTTGCCATGGTCAGGCACTGCTTCTCAACATTTCCTCCACAGAAGTGAGACTTATTGGGAACTCATTAGAATAGGAGGTCAGAGCGGGAAAAAAATCTACAGCCCATTATTTCACATAACTGTGTATTGGTGGGGTTTGAATCCGCAATCTTCTGACTCAAAGGCAAAAGTGCCTCCAACTGAGCGAGGCTGACACAAGGTAATATTTGCTAGAACTATCAGTAGAAGAATGGGCCAGAGTCATAAACTGAATCCCAGCTTTAACTATCGCTCAAACTTCACCACTAACGTGAAGAAATAAGCTTAACTGTCAGTCGAACTACTTCGTGGTAATAAAGGGTGGCACCCAGTGGGTCCAAGGGGAATGACATGTTAGCAAGGCCAGTCATGTAGAATGAGGCTACATTTCTGCTGACCCACATTGACAGCAACTGTGCAGAGATCCACAGACCACGTTTTTTGCTCTCCAGAGTCACCTTAAAGGAGCTGAAAAGAATGATTTGGGGCAGAAATACAATTCACTATCAAATTCGAAAGCAAACATGCTCGATAGGCACTGAAAGCCAGCAAATCCTATTTTTAGCTTCCAACCTTTCTTTGGATTTTTTTAAGGGCTTTTTTTGGCCAAAAAATGGCTCAGTAGCAAAACGTGGTTAGAGGTGCCATCCTTTGGATTAGACATTAATTTAAGGTCCTGTCTGCCTGTTCAGATGATCCAATAGCAATGTTCAAAAAGAGGAGTGTCCAGGCCAACAATCTCCAAATAAAATTGTTTTTTCAATTCATGACTATTTATAGGATTTTAATGTAAGTGAATTGGCTGCCATGTTTGCCCTCAAATTACACAGTCACTTCATTTCATAACTTATTGTAGAGTCCTGTAGCTCAGTGGTTAGAGCACTCGTCTCGCAATTGAGAGACCTGGGTTCGATTCCCGGCAGGGCAAAATGTTGGGCAAGTTTCCTTACTCCACACACCTCTGTTTACCTAGCAGGAAGTAGAAACCTAGTGTTAGTTGATTGGTGGATCACTTTTCCAGGGATAATAATCCTTCAAAAAAAACAATAATTTGGTCACTCAATCCACGACTGTTTGTGGGACACTGTGTTGCACAATTGGCTGCCACGTTTTGCCCACAAATATACAGTCAATTCACTTTACAGTATATTTTGTGAAGCGCTTTGAGACGTCTAGATTATATCCTGTGAGGCACTTGTTCTCATATTTTGTCCTCCTGTTGTGAAAGGTGCTCTATGAAATGTAAGGATCATTATTATTAAGTCATACAAACAGCCATATAAATTAGTTCATCATATGTCACATCTGTGTCCTGCCTATTCAGCTTTCCTCCACTTCTGCAACTTTGCCTACCTCTGCCACTATTCTCCCCTCGGGCTGCGAAGACCCTTATTGATTCTTTTAGCAATTCTTTTTATACCAAGCTTTCCAACCTTTCCATCTACAAGATCATCCAGATCTCTGCATCTTATGTTCTCTCCTGCACTAGGCTCCATGAGCCTATAACCCCTTGCCCGTCTCCACTGGCTCCCATTCCCCAGAGCATTGAATTCAAGATCTTCTTCCTAACTTTCAAATCCTTCCACTGTCATGCTCCACCCTACTTCTGAGACCTTCTAAAACCTTACCAACCTACCCACTCCCTCCACTCGGCAGGCACTGGACTGCTTCACATCTCCCGCCCTGCCTGCCGCACCATCAGCGGTCTGGCTTTTAACTCCACCCTACTTCTGAGACCTTCTAAAACCTTACCAACCTACCCACTCCCTCCACTCGGCAGGCACTGGACTGCTTCACATCTCCCGCCCTGCCTGCCGCACCATCAGCGGTCTGGCTTTTAACTTTTCTGCCCCTATGCTATGGAACTCCATCATTCAAGGTCTGTCTCCAGACTTTCCTCTTCGACTGCCTTCGGTTCTCTTTCCCTACCACTCCCACTGCTCTTGGCCCCCAGCTCCCACCAAATCCAACCCCAGCTCAGGTACAAACCCTCAACTGTCCAGCAGCTTGGGACATCTTCCCGGCGTGAAAGGTGTTATGTAAATTCAAATTGTTGCTGCTGTTGACATTAATACACGCAGACACTTACAGGGGTAGAAACTTGCACGCTGTACCGTGGGGATCACTGCAGGTTTTGATGCATGGACTGGCACAGACCTTGTGTCTAAATTCACACATTGTTCTGTATGGAATAACTGTGCTGCTTTCTGAAAGGAAAGAAATGGTTAAATGTCCTGTGTCCTCATGTAATGCTAAAAGAAAATAAAGACGCCTCTAAGGCAATGATAACTACTCAGCTTACCTTTATGAATCAATTGTACGTTTTTACATTCCTATCCGGTTAAGACAGCCGTTCCAGTTTGGGCCTTCGCTCACAGGGTATATCTATGTCTCATTGATAAACCAGACAGGCTGGTTAACCATCAACAGTGCCTTCCATTATTGTAGGCATTACCAGCCATGTTGCACATTGGACCTCATCCCTCCAGAATACCAACCCCTTTGTTTTTCCATTGCAACATTAAATCAACACGATTTCATTTATAGAGCGCCTTTCACGTCGGGAGGATGTCCCAAGGCACTGGACAGTTGGGTCGGGACCCGAGCAGGGGGGAAATGGTCAGGGTGAGGGGAGGGAAGGGAGGAAGCGAGGATGGGGTAGAGAGTCGAGAGGGGAGCTGAAGGCACGGTCGAAGAGAAAGGTCTTGAGACCGGCCTTGAAGGAGGAAAGGGAGGAAGCAAGGCAAAGGCACTGGGGGATGGAGTTCCAGAGCCTAGAGGCTCAGAGGCTGAAGGCCTGGCCATCGATGGTAGGGTGGTTAGGGCAAGGGATGTGGAGCAGACCGGAGCCAGAGGAACAGAGGGTACGGGCAGGTAAGTAGGGGGATAGTAGGTCGGAGAGGTAGAGGAAGCAAAGCCATGAATGGCCTTGTAGGTGAGGATGAGGATCTTGAATTCAATCCTCTGGGGGATGGAACAGAGGGAGGTTGTGGGAGGGTCAAGTGGGGATAGAAGGCGAGGGGGACGGAGAGAGGGGGAGGAGCGAGAGAAGAAGAGTATGGGAGGTGATGGGGGCAAGAGTGTCAAGTGTGGAGGAGAGGGTGTTGTGGAGGAGGGTGAGAGCAGAAGAGGGGTCAGTGAGGGTTGAAGGCCAGAGGGAGAGGAGTTCAGAGGACTCCAAGGCAGTGGTTAGGGATTGTGGGGGTAACTTCTTCCAGGGGCGGTAGAAGATGGTGGTGGGTCTGGTGGAGGTGGGGAGGGGGGTGGAGGTGGTGAAGGAGATGAAGTGGTGATCGGAGACGGCCTTGTCGGTAATGGTGACATCCGAGACACTGAGGCCCCGGGTGATCACCAAATCGAGTGGGTGGCCGTGACTGTGAGTGGCGGAGTTGATGTGGAGGGAGAGGTTGAGCGAGGAGAGCAGGGAGGAGAAGTCCGAGGAGATGGAGCAGGAGGGGGTGAAGTGTAGGTTGAAGTCGCCCAGGATGATGAGGCAATCAGAGCAGAGACGAGAGATGTTAGTAAGGTAGAAATATCGGAGATGAAGGTCGGAGAGGTTTTAAGGGGCCGGTAGAGGAGGAGTATTTTTAGTGAGAGAAAGGAGGGTTGGGAGAGGTTGAGGTGCTCAAAAGAAGGGAAAGAGCCAGAGGAGTAGGGGGATAGGGCAAGTGGTTTCCTTGCGATAAGGGCTAAACCACTGCCACGGCAGCTGGGGCGAGGGATGTGATGGGAGGTGTAGCCGGGTGGTTTGGCCTCCGTGAGAGGGAAGGTGTCGCCTGGGGTGTGCCAGGTTTCCGTTAAGGCCATGATGTCAACGCTCTCATCAAGGATGAGATCGTTGATGACCAGGGCCTTGTTACAGAGGGAGCGGACGTTTTGTAGTCCGATGTGGAGGGAGCGGTTGACAGAAGGGTGTGTGGGGAGGGAGGGGGTCCAGGTTGTGAGGCAGAGGTGGGGGGAATGGGGATGAGGGAGGAGAGGTTGGCTCCCCGGGTCTGTGTCCGGGGTGGCTGGCGAGTGTGGTGGGGAATGGGGCAGTCGGTGTGGCTGCTGCTGGACAGCCAACGCCGAGTGCCACGGTGAGCCCGGCGGAGGATTCCCAGGCTGGAACAGAGGGAGGTTGTGGGAGGGTCAAGTGGGGATAGAAGGCGAGGGGGACGGAGAGAGAGGAGGACAGAGTGGGAGAGATGCAGAGGGGGGAGGGTTTGGGGGGGAGGGAGGAGGGGGGAGGGAGGGAGGAAGGGGGAGGGAGGGAGGGTGTGAGGGGGCTCGGGTCAGAGCGGCAGCCATAGTGCGCACGCGGGGACCGGGAGCGAGCAGTCAGGTGGATGGCATTAGCCCATAGGCTGGGCTGGGGCAGCCAACCCAATAGGACCATGGTGGTCCCTGATGCGAGCCCTGGGCGGGCGCAGAGGGTTTTTTTTGCATTTGCATTGTGTAATAGGCTGACAATGGCTAATGTCTGTCGGAGCTGCAGCATTCATTATTTCACCCTTTTGGAGACAGCAATGGTTGTCCTCCAACAAAAGGGTGAGGAGGTGCAATATCCTTTCTGGCAAAGATCTTGAGTACATGAGTAACACATTACGATAAGATTATCTAGCGACAAGAACAATAGCAACTTGCATTTATATAGAGCAATTCACACCTTGGAGTCCTTGTGATATCTTTTTTTTTGTAACTTTATATCGCGATTCCAAATTTCTGCTAACAATTACCCCTCAACAAAAATCAAAGCCATTCAGCACTGCCAACAAATTCTGTCTGCTCTGGTAGTACTTTGTAGACATCATACTGTATGACTGGTAATGTTACACGTTTAAATCAATCATTTACAAGTGCCTAGAGTCTGAGGAACTGATCCCTGTCTGTATCTCGCCTGTATCAAATTGGCTGGGATTTGCCACTGGTTCGAATGATCCACAAAAATGGGTCAAGAAATATTGTACATTAACGCCAAAGAAATTTTACCTGATCGTACTTCAGTTTTTCAGATGTCGTGGTACATTCTGTAAAATTACTTAAATTTACCTGAATTACCCGATATGGTTCTGTTAAAACTCAAATTGAATAAACAATAATATTAAAAAAATGCCCCTACAGGATGAAGAATGTTGGAGCCATTACAAGACATTCAGATAATATCAAAACAACAACAATGATTTCCATTTATACAGCGTTTTTCATGTTGGGAAGATGTCTCAAAGCACTTCACACGTTTGACTTGGCACCCAAGCTGCGGGCGGGGGAAGTTGAGGAGTTTGGGGGTCGGGGGGGGGCATGGGAGTTGAGGAGTTTGGGTGGGGTTGGGGCGGGTATAAAGATGACTGAAAGTGTGGTCAATGAAACTGCAATACTACACGAGCAAAATAGGATGATCACATTTGATGATCACATCAAATTATATCATAGTTTGGGATTTACTTCCAGGGAAGGGTTCTGTGCTGTTTCAATTGTGCATACATAATTCCAGTTTTTGTTCCAGTAACAGCTGTCAGCGAACTTCATGACCCTGATGATGTTTTCTCGAGGGGGTTGATATTTCTTGATGAATTTACTGCATTCTAGCGGAAAATACTTGCAGCTGATTATTGGAAGCTTCCACATCCAGAGTTTATAACATGGAAAATACATTGTTTGGTTTCTATACTTCTATCCGTGACATGGATTTGCCACATAATGCACTATCCAGAGGCTTTCACTGGAATGGGCGACACCAAAATAAACCAGAGGAAAAAAAGGAAAAGGAGAATTCACTTGTTATATTTTTTGCTACAGTTCATGAATGTTGCTGCAAATCACAAAGGTTTAATTTATCAGTCCACAGCACAAAGCAAGGAAGAGCAAACTTAAGAATCTATATTTGTTTTGTTCTTTCAGCTGTTCACTTGTCGGAATTAAATCTGTCCATCGATGACCTCCAGCACAGTATGCACTGCCAATATAGTCCAGCAAAAGGGCAGAGGTAACCCAACACCATGGAAATGTCGCAAGGCTCTTTGTTCGCCACATTATTGTTACTCCACACAGGAATTCATGTATAATCTATGAGCCCAGCAGGTGAGAATCTGACTACATCTGATGGTGGTAAAACGTTACAGCTTCTTGCTAATGTAATACTATTTTAGTATTTGGCCATTTATGGGACACTTGCTGTGTGCAAATTGACTGCCATGTTAACCTACAAAATAAAGTCACTACACTTTACAGTATATCCTGTGAAGCTCTTTGATATGTCCTCATGACATGAAAGACGCTATATCAAATACAAGGATTATTAATAATAGGGTTCATCATTAAGGATTATTATGAATAAGGATTTTAATATTAATAAGGATTATTATTACAATTAATTATTATTGCTTCTATGGGATGAAAATAAATCTACAACAATAGGATTATGTGAGATTCTGCATTTTAAAAACTATTCTCTCCTTAATATATTAAAGCAGTTTAAAAATGGAACACACTAAAAGGTGGTATTTCAACCAGCTACAGCATAGTTACATAATTTGCCGACATCTTTTGATTAGGTAAATGAGGGACCTTTTCCACTGATCAAGGGGTCAGTAACAAGGGCTTAAACTGAAGATTATCACCAAAAGTTTTTTTTATACACACACGGAGGGTTGTTGCAATGGAATGCATCAGGACAGATACACTGAACCAAATAACCTCCTTCTGTGCTACAACTACAATGTGGATCAGTGCACTGGCATGATTGATTGAAATTCGTTTTTTGGAAAATGCAACAGTATACATAGCAGTCAAGCCCACTGCTGTTAAGATCTACAACATTGCGTGGCACAGTATCATTTGCATTAGCATGTGTGCAGCTTATTTTCCTTCCTATAAAATATGAACTTTCAGAAACGGAGGCCGAAATATTTTTCTTATCCCAATATGTAGGCAGCTGTACCAGTTAGCAGATACGGTTACAAGCAACTTCCGTGAACAGAGCAACCTTTTCCCCTTTGGAGTATTAGCTGACTTTTGCTATGCAGAGTGTCATGAGTAAAATTCAAGGGCTGAGCCTACACAGTAGAGCCGCCTTGAAGAGAGAGCATTGTTCAGGCAAATTCTGGCTGCCCTCGGTTTGAATAGCTTTAGTTTCACCTCAATCCTTCTTACTCTCCTTTTACATTCCAGCACTTCAGGATTATGTAGTTACTATTGTACCATGGAAAATAACCTAACTCGGCAGCTAATCAAAGCTTGGCACTTGCATAAGGGAGCACAGGAGCCCAGTGCTGTCCTTTATACGGCAATATTTAATTACCATATGCTGAAGCCAACACTTTGGAGTCTTCATTACACTCCATGTGGAAATAACTGCTACAAGTGCAGTTTGGCCAGAGAAAAATCATGGGTAACAAATTATCTATCACACAGTTTCTGCAGGCCTGCATGTTTCCCACAGAGATGGAATGAAATGGGAATCCGAAGTGGTTTTGCTCTTGGCAACAGTATTCAAGCGCTTCAGCTGGAGCAGCAAGCATACTATTTATTGTTATTTTTACATATTGAAAATCCCAATTAAAACACATACTGTTCCTCGCTGCTCTTGCCAGACCCTTTTTTATTAGAATTTTATTTTATCAGAATGTTAGGAATCTCCAAGGCATCTAAAGCCAAGTAAAAGAAATGGCATGGCATGGACTTTAACCTTTACTTCCAGTTAAATCCCAATGACAACCATCTCATGTCATTTTCTGTTTCTGATCTCACTGACGTGGCATTTATTATTGTAAAGGAGAAATTCTATCTAAGTAACACTTCATAGTAAAACAGATTTTTAAATATAAAATGACTTGTTAAGTCCTCCATTTAGATACTAAAAAGCAGCATAAATATTACCTGTAAATTATATTTTCAGATATTTGCCATTAAAATAAATGAAAATTAACAATAACCTTGCCGTCTCTGGAACTGATTTTAACCTTGCAATAATAAACTTCTATTGATTGCCAACATTTGTAGCAAGGTGGCATAGTATAATATCCTGCTCTATTGTTTGAAATTAAAGGAATATGCAAGTAATAGAAAAAAGGACAAGTTAATATAAGGAATGCAAGTTGTGTTGCAAGGCAGACAGGATGGTTTTATGTTACAACTTCATAAACTGTCATTGGAATGTGCTTGTAGCATTTCTGTACAAGTACTATTCCAGATGTCATTCCCACAAATGTACAAAACTGAGGGACTGCTAGAATCCATTTCAAATTATTTCTAAACATTATGGGTTGTGCTAATTGGAATTATTGCACACTTCTAGCTATGTTCACCTCCAATATAGTGCCAGTAGTTTGAACAATGAAGAATCAGTTGCCATATGTGATATGATAACCATTTTGCCCCACGATGTGAGACAAAGTTGTATTTTACTAAATTGTGTTTGAATTGTTTATCTATTGATTGAAGCTGCGTTTTTTGCCATTGAAGGTTCTCTCCAACAGCCTCAGTGGGTAAATGCGCCAAGCTGTTCAGCTCAAAAGGAATGCAGACTTCATCCCCGATGTGTGCTGAGAAAGCTGATATCTGCCAGAATGGCCCCAGAGTTGGGAGACCAGAGAGGAGAATCGAATCAGCCAGATTCCCTTCTTTCAGTACTGAATAACACCCTATTGGAATGTGTGCAGGTGTGGACCATTGGTCTAACATGCTTTTTGGTAGCAAACACTATCAGCGTGAAACAAAATGTTTGCCAACTTTAGTAAACTGTAGATTATACCCCTTGGCAAGAAGACAGCATTTGTTCACAGATAAATGTACAAGATAGGAGGAGACCACTATCGTGATTCCAGCTAAGACTGAATATGCTGTCCTAATATGACATGGTCGCTCAATTTAATTTCAGTTTAATTTCTACTATAGCTAAGAGTATTTTGGCCCTGCAACTTTCTGTAGCTTATGAAAAATTGGGAACTATATTCCTAAACTCTCGCAATTTCCACCTTTTATCGCCATATGTATCAAGTAAAGACGACAGGCTGGTTGTCGGTTGCCTATGTTTCATAGTTAGTCTCCTGTACTAATCAATAATGATTTTCAATATATCAAAAAGATCCTTTATTATTATCCACGCTCCAAATGTCTCTTCTCCTATTTTGAAAGGACTGTCATTTCATGCCACTCCCTAGTACTTCAACTAAATGACTATTCTTTACATTTGAGCACAGACAATAGAGGGGGCAAGGGTACAACAGCCAAGCCTGTGCTCACCTGACATACACATGTCTATCTATTAAAAGCTATCATAAGGAGTGCTGGCTGAGATCAGCAAACTCAACCAATACTAGGAACACAACCTCAAACCTTCGTGGATTACATCATGATAATAAACTTTGCATTTGATAATAGTGCCTTATCACGTCTTTGAGATGTCTCAATGTGCTTCACAGAATATACTGTAAAGTGAATTGACTGTATTTTGTGGGCTACAGAATGTTACAGGGGCAAAATTTTCTAAGCTATAGAGGAAATTAAAATGAGTGACCATCTCATATTAGGACAGCATATTCAGTGAGGAATTGAGCCATGTAATTTCACCCACAAATCACATGGCTCAATACCTCACTGCACACTAAACTAAGAAATCAGGAAAGTTCAAACTCCCATTGTTTTATTTTCAATGTTTATGTCAAACTTAGTAATAAATAAGGGGATCAGTCATATTTGGAGAACACCAAACTGCAAGACCATGAGGATCCTTATTCCAAATGCCAGACATCTTCAAATTCCTCAGTTAAAAAATTATCCCTCAAACAAGCATATTTTTTGCCACAATCCAAAGAATCAGATACATCTTACACCACATACCTTCAATAGCAAAGCTGCTTGAGAGTTTAAATTTATCGGAGTAATCGTAATGAACTGCTGTCACAAATGATGGTGTGACTCTGACAAAAGCTCCTTTCCTATTGTATAATTCAAAGGTACTGTAGCCAGAGATCCATTTATTATGATGTTGGATGAATGAAGATTCTTTCCAGAAAGTTCACTGTCTCTCCATTTCTCCAAACGAAGGGAACCATTTACCCCAGCGTGTAAAAAATAATTTGGTCTTTCAGCAGATTCGAAGGAAACAATTGGCAGATCTGCAACAAGATATAATACTCAATCACTGTCTTGCTTTTATTATCATCAATAAGAGAATTCCCTCATTTTATAATTAAAACAAAATTTTAAAATCTACATCCAAAATAAAAAACGATTCCAAATGTAAAATGCCTTTGCCAAACTGTAATCTACACAATCGTCATTGTTATGATGAACTCAAAGTTAATCTGAAACTCAATTAGCTAAATGTCATCCGTTATCATCAGTTTTCATTTGCAAATGTCAGGCCAGGCAGATGAAAACTGAAAATAAAATACAAAACTGAAGTTATGGAACATTGCAGAAATGTTAAAGTTAAATAAAACTTACTGAATTGCCTTCCTTTGTATAGTCCAGGTGCAATCATGAAATTTATCAAAATATTCCCTCCAGCACAGTTTCTTTGACAAGGGAAGACATCCCCAGTTGTCATGTTGGCTCCGATAACAGTGTTATTGTACAAATAGCTGAGGAACACATATGGCCCTTCGCCAAGATCTGAAATATTAAACAAGATGCAATGAGGTTAGGATACAACAACAACAACTTGGATTTATATAGCGCCCTCCAAGCCGGATGGCGTCTCAGAGCACTTTACAGTAAGGGATCCCGGGCCCGAGCCAGGGGGAAGGGGAGGAAGGTGACTAAAGGCACGGTCGAAAAGAAAGGTCCATAAAAGGAAAGAAAAGAAAGTAATGTCTGTGAAATGTCTCAACAACATGATAAGATGCTATATCAAATGCAAGGATTATTATTATTATTAAACATAGAACTGTAGTAACCTATAAGACAAGCAAGAGTCCATTCAACCCTTTATTTTAGTGTTGGTGTTTGCTTCTCCAATGAAGCAGTCTATCCTAATCAGTTTTTCTGAATAAATATGCTATAGCAATAACTAATTGATATAGTTATAAAATGGACCAAATAATTCTGTAAAGGCAAACTTTCCATAAGGTATAATTACAGTAGCTAACATTTTTATTAAAAGTTTATAAAATTAGAGAATTAATTATTAATTAATATTATTAAAACTTGTATAAATACATGAACATTACATACCTCGGTTGTAGAATTCACAGTCAAAAGCTGAAAGATTAAAAACAATTAAAACTTAGTTGTGTTTAAATATTTGTTATTTTTTGATGAAATGTTCTGTGGGTCTTAGTTTACTCAGAATTAAAGTGATAATCAACAGGTGCCATTAATGTATGATTCGGGAGAAAATTCCACTCAGGTCTAGATTTACTAACGGAGCATTTTAGAGAGTTCAGAATTTGGCAAATTGCTGATTCAGTCTTTACTCTGAAGTCTGTTTGCTGTCATTCTTAAAAGAGCTTAAGAGAAAAACAACTTCAAAATTAAAGCTGTATTTAAGAATTTGCCAAATTCTTAAATGGTATATAAATAAGAGCAAATCTAGACCAGGCATTTCTGTTCAGATGTCCATCAAAGCTCAATGTCATCTTTACCCATTACCAATTTTCTTCAATGTCATATGTCAAAACCCACAAACTTAAGGCTTCAAAGAATATGCCATGCAGTCATTAATAAGAATTTAATTTCACCAGTTTCCCTTAAAATTTTGTCAAAGGGACTGTAATACATTAGCTTTATTTTAAAATGCACATGTAAATGATTTAACAGCATTAAACACAATCAATTCCTATATGCCCAAGTTTATGTACAACAGAACAGCTCATTGTATCAGAAAAAAATTGAAAGAAGCGTTCCTAAACTAACCAAATGAATTTCTACGTATTATGATAAATTAAATCATAACCCACACTATTTTGCAATACATTATTGGCCAAGAATGTCAGTGTGGATCATGTCCAGACACATTGTATTCAAATGTTCTATATTTACAGACGGAATATTTTGTGTTAAGTCAGTTTTTTAGAAGCAAATCTTATAGCGGATAAACAAACTATTACTATTTATTGTATACATTTTCCAATAGGAAAGTAAGGAACACGAAGACTATTCATCCCATTCAGTCAATTCCTTCCACCAAATCATGTACAATTTGTGTTGTCGTCATAAGCTGTCTCTACCACAAGAAATAAAACTAGCTAGGAATAAATAGGAAGGCATAGTGGTGCCAGATATATATAAGCAAAAAACATTTAACCTGATTGAATGAATTTCACAAATGACATTCCTATGTTGAAAACTGGACTGGAATGGAATCACAGAACATTCGATCATCCATGCCTGTAAGTCATCGTCAGTCATGATCAGAATAAGATATTCTTTCAGCAGCTTTTTAAACAAGTTAATTTCTTTAAAGGGTGGAATAAATTGGACATACTTTTAAAGGCTGTTTAAGAAGTAAATCCATTACAACAACAACTTGCATTTATTGCAAGACAGACACCATACTCTTTGGCTCCTGTCAACGTCTTCTCTCCTGAGAGTCTGAACTCCTCAACCACCCTGGGCTCTCCCTCAGACTCACCAACCCGCGTGCAACTTATGCGTGAGGTTCAATCCCCAGCTTTCGTTTCTACCTCATATCTATTCCCTGACTGCTTTTTTCTACCTCTGTTATGTTGCCCACCTCTGTCCGTACCTCACAGCCAATGCAGCCGAAACCCTCATCCATGCCTTCATCACTTCCCGGCTGGACAATTCCAATGCCCTCCTTACTGGTCTCCCCAGCTCCACCATACCCAAAATTCAACTAATGCAAAACTCTGCCACCCGGATACTCACACGCACGAAACTCTGTACCCTCATCACACCAGTGCTTGCCAGGCTCCACTAGTTCCCAATTACTGAACCTATCGATTTCAAGATCCTCTCACTCGTTTACAAAATCCCTTCATGCTCTTGCATCTCCCTACGTATCCGATCTGCTTAGCCCCTGCTCCTCTACTCAGCTGACTCTACCATCGGTGGCCATGCCTTCAGCCTCTACGCCCCAAAACTCTGAAAGTCTCTCCCATAATCCCTCCGTCTTGCCCCTTCCCTCCCCACTTTCAAATCCTGCCTAAAGATTTTCCTTTTTGATTGTGTTTAAAATCACCTCCCCCCTCCCTCTCCCCCTGGCTCATTGTCAGACTCTTGCCACTGTCAAGCGCTCCAAGACGCTACCCTGAGTGAAGGGTGCTATGTAAATGCAAGTTGTTGTTGTTGAAATGCATTAATTTGCTAAGTGAATGGAATTCCAGTAAAGTAAGGAATGTATTATATAATTATACTGCACAAGACCCACCAGAGCGCGAAGATTTCCCCCAGATTAACCTTATCTATTGTACTACTGAATGTTTCAAAAAGCTGAATGTAAATACCTTGCAATTGGGATTATGAACACATTATTTGAAGTGTGACACCAACCTGCGTCGGAGTGAGCCAATAAGCATCTGTGGGTAGGCTGCAATACTGGTACAGAAACATTCACAGTCCCCACCACAGTTACAGTTACATGTGTCTGTCAGGCAAGGGACTAATCAGCATGTTCGAGGAGATGCAGTAAGCGAACACTCTAGGTAGAAAGTGAATCGTCTTTGGGAATGTGAAGATAATTAATGCATTGGGAAAGGAGAGAATTGTAAATCAGGGAAAGGAGAGAGGAAGATCAGCATTAGATTCAGGAGGATGTCAGTCACAGATCTACAGGCACGTTCATCGATCCAAAGAAGCAAGTGTCACCAAGGAAGCCTTGGGTCTGGGAAACAAAACCCAATATCACGTCAGGAAAGAAGAGTGACCCTGATGTCAGGTTGGAGAAGAATAGGGAGCCTAATGGCCAAATTCCATTTGGTCCTTTTTCCGTCACAAACCCTAATGGCAATGAAACTTTAATAATTAGCTCCATTGATTCTCACAAAAGCTACCATATGTTAACTTATCAGACCATAGAAAACGATGTTATCCTGGCCTTTATTGTCAGCCTGACCCACCCCTCCCACACTCCCACCCCCACACACCCTTTTCAGTTATGAAGAAAGAAGTGTCAGTGCTTTTGAAGAATGTGCTGTTCTTTATGTACAAAACCACTCTCCATGATGTGGAAACTGAAATTTATTCCTGTTTCAATGCATCACTTTGAAACACATTTTGGCTAAATAGCTTCATCCATCGGTGCATCAAATTGAGAACAAAGTTGGTTTATTTAAAGAACGTGTCTCTGGTAATACTTACGACAAACACTGGGTGATCGCCAGTTCACTGATATTCCTTTCTGACAGCACTTGTGAGCATAGGCTGCAACACTGGTACAGAAACATTCACAGTCCCCACCACGGTTACAGTTACATGTGTCTGTCAGGCAATTCTTATAAAACCAGGTAACGTCGACCTGTGAACAACCAGATTTGTGGAGTAAACTACAAAAATACACAGTCGCTACACTTTACAGTGAAACACATTGAGATCTCCTCCTGATAGCCGCTGAATCAAATACAATTATTTTTACTCTTATTATGTGGTAAGGCACTGCCACCTGGAGGTATGTTACATTATTGCTGTTCTGACCAGGACCTCAAACTGTTCTCAGATGCTGAAACAACAATGCCTAAAATGAAAAACAAATCACCCCCCAAAAAAGTTTGCTTAAGTAAATAATAAAAGGCATAAAACCTAATTGATCTCAAAGACTCAAGGGTCTTCTGTTGTGTCAAATTGTCCTGAAAAAGCAAACTTTGAAAATGTTTCTTAATCTGTTACTGTTTATGAATTTAGGCAGGTAGCAGTGTGAATATGAAACAACTATGTATTTTCTGATTCAGCTGCACTTCAAGCCAGACCATCTAAGGAGAGGATTTGTTTTTGAGGGGAGGGGGGAGTTCCTTTATACTTGAACTCCCAGGCTTGCAATCTGAACAAGCCTCTGAGGAGGTGGCTTAAAGCAGTGTCACTTTAATATAGCAATCAGAACTACCATAACTCTCCCAAAACCAAAGTGCAAGCTGTCAATACTAAATGCATTATCAAACTGTCCTGTCCTCCAAAGAGCCCAACCTCTTGACTGCCTGATTGCTATTATTAAATAGATTTTAAGTGTCTATAACTGAACAAAGTGGGATATATAAGTGCTCAAGACGCTGCCGGTGTGAAGGATGCTATATAAATGCAAGTTGTTGTACAAATTGGTTGCTCCAGTTTCCTTCAAAGCACAGTGCGCCACAGTACTTGTACTGATTTAGATCCCTAAATACATATGTACAACTTTCAGAAGAAAACAGCCTTGCTGATCAGGGAAACTACAACAATGATATTGAAAATCACTCGATTTTACTTAATGTAAGTTACTGATCCCAGTGTCCTTCAAATAGCAAGAGTATCAGCAATTGTCTTCAAATAGTTTAGTAAATTGCTTGCAGACGGAATTAAAGTTAATTAGCTGAAGTATTAGTTACGTGCTTGGCTATGAAATAATTATGAACTTTTGACCCTCATGCCTTGACGGATTCACAAGTAATAATAATGAAATAAACATTCCAATGCATTCAGCAAATAATGAATGACGCAAGTAGCCTCTCCAGAAAGGCTAAATATGCCATAATTATTTAATTATATCAATGCAGTAAATGGGTATGGGAACATTTTCGATTAAGATTCGTGCTAAATAATGTAAACTTACCACATTGTGACAAGGAGCAAATACTTCGCTGAACAGAATGGCACATTCTCTCTTAGCAAATGGCTGCCGAATTAGATCTGCTTCACATGGCCTGGTGATATCGTCCCTACTGACACACTGAAAGAAAAAAGTATTGGAGACAACTGTAAATTAATCCATGTATTTGTCAACATCTTATTTGCAATGGTGATCTGCTGCATTCTCTCACAGTTACATAATTACATACATGTTGGAGGAACACAGGAAAACAGGAACAGGAGCAAGGCACTCAGCCCATCAAGCCTGTTGCACTAGTTGGTAACATTCTGACTTGGAAGTGAGAGCGTCAACAACTGAACTAGGCTGACAACTGCACAATGCAGGTTTTGTCAAATTGACCAATTAATAAGCTTCATCAAATTGAAAGTTTCATAGGAAGTTATTTGGAAGAATCAATTGGAATAATCAATAGTAGTATCTAGTAAATTACACATAATCATAATAATTCTTGTATTTGATATAGCACCTCATCAAGCGAATTAACTGTATATTTTGTGGACGAAACGCAGAAGTGAATTGCTCATAGTAATGTCCCATGGATTGTCATGAATTGAGTGACCAAATTATCATTTTTATTTGAAAACCCCAAATTAGGAGGGTGTCGATCTATCTCACAGCTTTGTCTTCCCTCGACACAACAAATACACATTATTTGCTGCCGTTACAACTGTCTGTACATGACTAGGGAAAAAAAAGTAATCTTACATTTATATATTTATATGCAAGGAGCAGACTTGAGAACCAAGTTAGCTTTTTTTGTTCCATACAATCTTATAACTATTTTAAATGCAATATTAATTCTTACCTGGCCAAGAGCCCAGCTGTCTCCAAACGCCTGAGTATTGCTCACTTCCATGTTGTTTGAAGTGGTCATGTCATTTGCTGTACTTTTGTCAAAATTTCCACACATGCCCATCAGTTTACCCTGGCAAATGGTATAAATTATAATCACAACTATAATTTAGCTGTGTATTTACCCAGTGAAAATGGTAGAAATGTATTTTGCTAATACAGAGGAAATTTTTATTCATAGAACTGTTTGTCACTCAAAGCCTGGAGGAGACTGGATAATTAAAAACGTCTACTAATTTTATCCTATTTTGTCTTCATGAGGAAAAGCCACTTGCAGCCAATATTGCAAAATATACGAGGCACAACGTCGAGCAGAATTTCAACCCACATGTGCGTTTTTTTTTGCATGTGCTCACTATCTATTCTGTCTGGAAACGAACCCCAAAATTCCAGCGCATCTTAACCTATAAATCCATTCTGTCTTTAAAACACTTCACGGGATTTATTGTAAAGTGTAATGACCATCTATTTTGTAGGTAGGTGAATGCATATTTTCTGCAGCACTTTAAAAGAACCAGACGGAATTTCGGACAGAGTGAGTTTTGGGGGGATGCATCAGCACTACTAATCCCATTTTGGCAAACCAGCATTGTGGAATTTCCCAATATCTGATCATTTCAAATTTTCAACTCAGTTCAGCACTCATCCCGACTGTGAAACATAATTTACTGTAGATGGGTGAGATCTCACAAAGTATCTACTTACCCTCCACTGAGGTCCAACCTGAATGTGCACAGTTGTCTTTTTATCCCAAAGGATTATAATCTCTTGCATTGGAAAGTGTATTGCTACATAGTACCCAGCCTTCCACAGTTGAAAATCATCCCCTTCTCTCTTTACACTGGATAAACGCTAGAACAACAAGCATTTACAAGTAATACTAGTGATTCTGTGTTGGGTTACAGACTTTCCAAAATACTTCAGTACATGCCAAAATTATTAAGCTTTGCAGTTACAAAGCATTCACTGGATAAATCAACTGAGTGAATCTAACTCAGTTTCTTGTAAATTCAATTTTCTTCTTTTAAATAAATAAAATTCATATACCTTTGTACTCTTTTGTTATTAAAACATTTTTCAGAGTTAACTTTGCATTGTTGGATAATTGTGGCACAATGAAGGCGAGAAATACCTGTATACTTAGACCACAATGTCTGTCTTAAAGCACTTTGTGGCTTTGTACAGAAATTGCTAGTACATTACACCAGTTATGTACAGTGTATTGGATTTTAGGTCCAATGCAGAAATTAGTGTTGTTGCAATACTGATTTAAATGTACAGCATTTAGCTACTACATAAGCATTAAAATATAGAGCATTTCAGTGGTTTGCCCTGATGTGTACGGCTCAATAATTGCACCATGTGGTACAATTATCCATATTTGCATGAGTGAACTTAGATACTCTTTCAGAACATAGAGTCTCAGTATTTTACAACCTGTCCAACCAGGTTTTACATGCTAGCGTATGAGCATGTTTTGCTTTCTTCCAAGCAACGATCAAGGAAAAAAAATCAGAATTAATTTACGATTAAGCAGCATAATTACTCACTGGCTTTCCAGAGTTGTCATTAAAATAAAGATGAGTCCTTCCAATGGAGATCATTAGGGTCTTCATGCAAATAATCCCACTGTCATAGCAATCCATATTCTGAGCTGATACAGAGACATTCAGTGCACCAGTGGTCTGGAACATAGGGGAATTAATCAGATACATTAGCAGGATTCTCACTCATACTGAATACAGCTTTAATATAGCCTATTAATATACAGTCCATTCGAAGTTATAAATGAATGTATAATTCCTTTGGGCTATCAATGGAAAATGCATTATATATCTCCCAGACTTTTTCATCTGTTGTTCATCTGTCCATGGCAAGTATGTAACATACCGAAATATGGTTCACTCGATTTGAATCAAACCTTTTCTCATTAAATATTGGGGCACTTTTCAAAGTATTTGTTTACCTCAGCGGTTAGGAGAGGCAGATAGAAATTGTCCATCTTTACTGCTAAAGTAAATGTTGTATTAATAACAATAATCCTTACATTTGGTAGAGTACTTTTCACGTTGGGAGGACATCTCAAAACACTTCACAGGATTTATGGTAAAGTGTGTATTTTATAAGCAACTAAAATGAGCTAGAAATTCAATAAAAACAACTAGCATTTATATAGCGCCCTTCACACGGGGTAGAGTTTTGGAATGTTTGATTCAGTTCAAATGTTTCCTTAATTTGACTGAGAGAATACATGAAAACAATTTCAATTGTACGGTATTAAAGTTCTCCAAAACATTTTTTTGAATTTTGTTTGTAAGAAGTTTCCCCCCATTTCATTAAATCGAAGAAATGAGAATTGTGGTGAAAGTCATTAATAAGTAGATAAATTATTTTGGATTTCCTCCCTTATTTTTTTTACGCCTTATTGTGGAGTCCTGTAGCTCAATGGTTGGACCACTTGCCTCACAAGCGAGAGACCTGGTTTAGATTCCCGGCAGGGCAAAACGTTGGGCAAGTTTACTTACTCCACATGCCTGATAATAACTCCTCAAGAAAAAAAACAATAAAAATTTGGTCACTCAATCCACGACTATTTGTGGGACGCTGCTGTGCGCAATTGGTTGCCACGTTTCACCCACAAATATACAGTCAATTCACTTTACAGTATATTCTGTGAAGCATTTTGAGACGTCTTGAAGACGTGATAAGGCACTATATCAAATGCAAGGATTATTACTATTATTACAGCTCTCCTTTGCCATTTAATGTCCCCTATTCAACACAGAGATCTGCTTCATCAGCTCCCATCCCCTAGTGGATTGAATTCAAGGGCCTTGTGTTCCTCTCCCCACCTTAATTCTGTGACGTCCTGCAACTCTGCCACCCCTGCTATTCACCCCACTCAACAAACAGCAGCCTCTTCATGTTTCCTGCCTGAGCTTTCAGCTATTCTACCTCCTCTCTCTGGAGCTCCATCCCAGAGTCCCTCCACCTCCCCCTCTCTACCCACCTTTAAAGTAAGCCTTGGGTCTCTCCTTTAGATCGTACTTTTGGTCACCTTTCCATCAACTACCAGTCAGTTTGTGAAGCGCTTTGAGAAATCCCCATGACGTGAAGAGCCTTTTGTAAATGTAAATTTTTCTTGTAATAGTTGGGTGAGAGAAAATTAAGATGATTCATCTTCTACATTCTTGCTTTCATTCTTTATTGGTTAGAGTCTGGCCTCTGCTCTTCCCTCCCCAATAGCAAAGCTGAGATCAGTGCTCAGTGAATGATGGATGTCAGTCACTTGCCACAGCAATTCATTAGTTGCTTATGTCTTAAGTGGTGCACACTGTTGTTAAACATTTGGATAATCCACACAAAAATACTTCCTTCAATTTGCTTTTAATTCTAGCATAACCACTGCTACTGTACTACCGAGTGGTCATTTTGGAAACTCCAAATGCATTCAATTGGAAACTCAAGGCTACTGATATTCAGGTCATTTTGAGCTGAAACCACTGAACAAAGCCTGTGCCCTTCAGAAATTACTGTAAGAATGTCAAGACCTTCATAACATCTGAGGATCTAATCTTACACAGCTCAGCATCTGCGAGAAGTAAATCCCTGACGTTTCTTTTCTGTGTCGTCTGAAAGGGACCTTTTGTTCGTGATTTTCTACCTAGCTGGTTCCACTGCATGCAGTTCAAAATTGCTTTCCTCAGGGATGAGTAAAACCTTCTGCATTCAAAATGAGATGGATACAGCACTCAAATCACAATTTGTGTGCCATATTCATTTAATTTTTTCTTTCTGGTTTTAGGTTACAAATTTGTCTTACTTTGACACACCTACCAGGAATATATCAAAACCACAATTAATAGTAGTCTTGTGTTATTCACAGTGTTAAGTTCAAATCTTTTTATTTTCAAGTTCTTTGAGAACTTCTCCCAACACGAAAGGTGGTATATAAATGTAAATTGTATTGAAATTGAAATCAAACGTATGATCCAATGACACATTCAGCTACTAATAGCATTTCCTAAATTATCACAAATCTGCAGTTTTTGAAGTGAGACAATCTTTTATATGGAAACCTACATATTCACAAGCAAATAGTTAAACTTGAAAAAGATGCAAATCCAGTGAGAAAAGACAAAAACATTAAGAAAACAAAAGACAGCAATACAAACCTCCACAATGTCCCCTAGGTCTGGGAAACAGAACCCAGAAAATTACCGAAACAAGTTCCTCTTTGTTTTGTAGTTTAACGTTGCCCTGTTTATCCTTTGGATTTGACATTTCATGGGGTTACGTTACAGCAATCCCGTTCTAATTAAAAATGCCTCTGATTTTCCCAAGATTAAGGCTTTGAAAAAGCCCAGGTATCTGTTTCTTAGTGATATAATCTGCCCCACTGCAGATTGCTTTGAGTTTGGCGGGGGGAGTTGTTGCTCTGCTCTGTGCTATTACTAGGACTGCGCGTTTTGAACATACATATTTACAGCACGTTTTAAATAACATCAGATAATCATACATGTGCAATTAAGTATAGCAGAGCATAAGATACACCTCTAATGACTTAATGAGGAGCACAGTGTGCTGGTGCCCGTAAGCACAATGCTACATAGAGCTAAGACAAGACTTTCACGTGCAATGGGGTGGAACGGGGTTGTATTCAGAATAAGATTCAAAAATATTGAATTCCGTGAGAATTCCACTTTGGGGTATTTCACACACATAAAAACGCTTTACAATATATCCTGTGAAGTGCTTTGAGACATCTCGACAAAGTGATAAGGCGCTATTAAAATTCTAGGATTAATATTATTTATTATTGTGTGAGAGGCACTATATTAGTGTAATTTGTTAGTGGTGTTGTTTGCTGGGAAGAGGGAGAGTGGCCGGTGCAGTAGAATCATAGGAATGAGGCAAGGTGGGGCCTGATTCCACGCTACTTTCCTTTGACTTATCTTGTGGTCTATTTTCTCCCTTAGTACAAAAACAGTGCTGTTACTCTGGCATCTCCCTGGTAACAAGGTCAAAAGCGGTGGCTGAGAGATCATTTGCAAACCTAACCTCTCAAGCAAGGAATCAGTGGCAGAAAGGATCTAAAGTGGAATAAAGAGCAAAACCGTTCATACCATTGTAATGTTGTGCAAACAAAGCTCTTCACAAACATTTGTATGACATGCTTACCGGAGCACAATTGGAAAGAAATAGAATAATTCAAGCTCTTTCAAACTGCAACACAACTTTTCAGTTTACAGTGGAAAACACCATTAGACTGGAAGGTATGCAGTGTAACACATTTGACTCATTTGGTGAAAGTTGACTATTCATTCCTAAATTTAATCCCAGAAAGAGGAATAAAGGTGTTGTATCCTTGGCTTTGCTGGGCTGTTGCACTTGCATATCCAGAAATGAAGCAGTTCAATAAGGTTAAGTTTACAGACCACTCAGCATGCGGTCACATAATGTACAAGTCTCCACAACAAAGCTCTCTTTCTGCAAATGCTAATGAGAGCGGTGGGGCTCAACTGGCTTTCCCCATCAAACGCACCATTCAAACAGACATTAAACAGGCCGTGTGTACTTTAGCCCAATATCTTGCACTCATTTTCTTCAAGATATTAATCCACTTTCTCTTAAAATTAAGGAATGAGAGGTACATGGTTAATAGAAAAAGAGTAAATTGGATATATTGTTCCATCAATTAGAAAAATGCGCGTGTAATTCAGCCCATAGAATTCAGTGATTTTGTAATGGATTCTCTGGATAACTGCCAATGTATTTTTTTAAAAATGCTGACTAAGCAAATACTTCGGACTCCTGAAAGACAAATTACCTACAAATGCAATGATAGACTTCATATAGAACAAAAGTGTGGAATTTAATTTGTCGTACTGCTGAAAGATAAGTTTCAAAGTCAATTCAAATTCAATTATTCCTAATTCAGGTTAAACGCTAGAAGAATGGTCCCATTTTATTGAAATCTAATCGCTAATTTAATATGCCTTCAGCTAAAGCAATGGATGTATCATTTGCAATAGGAAATAGCTAACATTTCCATAAGTGCTCTGGGAGAAGACTGGTACTTCACATTACCTCCAGAGCCCCAGTAAAACATGAACAGAAATCGGTTATTGGCCCATAGTCTCATTAACAAATGCACAGCAATAAAGCAGAGAATCGACAGCATGAATTTGGCTTGCCAGGAGCTGATTTCCTTTCCTAGTGAACAGAATTAAACCTGACGAATGACTCAAGTGGACTTTTACCCCCAGAGGTTCAGCAGGTGGCTGAATACCCCACAAAACTACCTCTTGTTCAATAACAGCCATAGGCAGGGCTGGCAGTAATCTTTGGGTCTCTTCCCCTCAGCAGAAGGAAGCAGAGTCTCACAAGTCTACCTTTCCATCACTCCCGTCTAGGGAATCTACCTTAATGATGCCAAATAGTGAAACTTCAGCAAAGAGTTAAAATATTTACAAACATTTGTATTTCCTGCCTCCTGCACTTCCCTTGTACCTTCAGCCACTCATCTCCAAACCTAGGCAACCCTCTTCCTCAATTCCCCATGCCTTGCCTTTTCCTTCCCCTTCTTTAGATCAAACCTGAAGATGCTCCTCTTCGACCATTCCCCCCTCTCCCAGCTTGGTGTCAAGCTCCATCATTGTTGAGAGCTCCAAGACACTTCCCCACGTGAAGGCCACTATATAACTTCAAGTTGTTGTTGTTCAGTTAAATGTAGTAAAGGAACCACATCAAAAAAGACAGGTGTGATGCAATTATTAGTCATCATTTGACTGAAAAATAAACTGGATCCCATCAGATCTAAAACTCAATACAGGGCAATCCCACTAAAACCTGATCATGTGGGCCAAAAATCTCAAATGAAGAATGACATTGATGTTATTTTCTTTATGAACTGTACAGGCACTTCCTGAAGTATGTGTGTTTGCCTACTAACGTACAGTCAATTCTCTTTCCAGTAAGTCCTATGAAGCCCTTTGAGACATGATAAGAATCCATATCAAATATGAGGATTATTATTGTTATTATTGCTCGTTATTATTATTGCTCTTTCGTTATCTACGGATATAGATTATTTTGATTCTGGAAATTGTCAGAGTCCTATCTTTGACCAGAGCATTTTTGGCTTATAAATAGATTTTCATAGTAGATTAAAAACATGGCTGAATGGATCACTGCTGCATAAAAATGCATTGTTAAGAAAATGAAAATGGCTTCAGTCAGTAGCAAATCTCCAGACGTGCATTGTTGACAGAAAGCTCATGTAAGTGATACATCTCACCTGTAAAACTCAATGAACCGATGCCAATATTCCTTTGCTATTCTACAGGTGGACGTAGTTGATACATTCTCAAGTTTTGTATCTTGAAATAAAATATCATGTATCTTGAAACAAAACCTAAGTCATAGGTGCTTATGGTGATTTATTTGAGGGTCATCAATCATCCTTAAACATAGAAAATAATTCAACTTAAGAATTCAAATAATGTTTAAAAATGTGCATTGTGACAGAAACGTGTACATAATCGAGCAATTGTATTGTATATTATTAACATAATTCTTTCAGACTTAATAAAAAATACCGAAACCTGCATTACCAGGAACTGAACTCAACAGAAGCTAAAACAAAATACTGCATGTATGCAAGTTATTAATTTTCCATTAATGCAGAGCATAAACGTTAAATATAGATTTAACAATAAAAACTACTCACCTTCACCAAATATACTTGACAGTCACTGACATAATCATACTCCAGTCCATCAAACGTCCGATAATGCCGATCATTATATATAGTGCACACTTCAGGACATGGGTGGTAGGTGCAGTTAAACAATCCTCTTTGACACACACTGTCAGAAAGTAAGTAAAGAATTAGAGGAATGAGAGTAAAAATTGTAACATTGGCCAAAATTACAGGGTGACTAAAGTCGTGATATTATTATTCTATTATCTAAAAAAAAACTTAATTTCTTTAAGACTTATTAGACATTGTAATGGTACCACAACTTTTTGGTCGCCCTGTATTTGTAATTCTTAACCACAGAATATCAATGCTTCAAGCAACATGTTTTTCCAAAATGTTTCTTTAACAAGTAAAAGGAGGACTAAGCCCTAGCAAATGGTCTGGTGGAGATTCAGGATTGGCTCCACAGAATCACTGAAATCTGCCACAAACTATTGTGCCAGTGCTGATTTGGGTTAGTAAGAGCTACATGAAACCCTTTACTTTCTGGAGTCCAGACATCCGGAATTCAGGCTTAGCTGGACCCGACCTAAAACCCCCCCAAAAAAAATTCATTGTACACTTTCATCAGCCCTGACAAACGGCCACATCGCACTGAGCACCCTCACTGTCCTTGCTGGCCTTCACAGGAGCCAACTTTGACTCTGATTATTTGAATCCTGGGAGCAAAAAATATCTTATTTGCTACCTTCTCCTCACAGGATTCATTTAGCTAGAGATTCCAGCTCGCCGGATTAGATTAGTTCGACCAGCTGCGGTTTTCATGTATTTACCTAGTCCCGTTCTCTCGTCTTTCCCCATATCCTCCATCACTTGATTTTGGTCTATTTAGATGGTCAATCACAGGGATGTCAAAAAAAGGAATGGCATTTAACAGGAATCAATTCCCCTCAATTCTCAAGAACCTGACTCAGTTCCACAGTTGGTGTATTGCATGACTCAGATTGGTTATTAAGGAAGATATTGAGAAATGTCACAAATTGAACCCCGTTCTGAAAGACTGCTATCTCTCCCTACAAAAAAAGAGGAAAATTGTTCCATTACCACTAGACAAGACTTTTATCATTGTTATGATATCATTGGCCTGTGATATCTTTTACCATGACTAATCTAAGATGTTACAACAGGCATTACAAACAAAGATAAATACTGTAAATAAATACCGTGCACCTGAAACTCGGATATCAGTTTGTTCTTTACTGCTAACAATAAAATCTTAGAAAGGAAGTTTCAGGAAATAACGTAGATTCATTTGAAAAATCTGAAATGGATTTGCACGTACCAAGTGTAACAGACAGAGGAGACCACTTCTCCTGGTAAATATTCCTGACCTTTCCAACGGCAAGGGCAGTTGTCGGGCAGAAAGCAGTCCCCACCGTGTCTCACCAGCCTGAAAAACAATGGAAAAACACAATCCAATTCAAATTCTACGAGTCTCTATACATCCATCACAAGACATTGCTAGAAAAATATAAGTTAAAAACAATTTCAGTAGTATTTCAGTAAGTTTACAAAATTACACTGCAAGAATAAATTGTGAGATTCACAAAAGGATGTCTGAAGAGCAAATTCTGGATGTGTCACCACCACAGAGCCTTGGACACTCATCTCATTCCAACTTCCGCAGATTTAATATCCAAACCAACATCTGGACAATTGCTCCATATCCAGAGTTCAAATGAATTGATAGAAATCATTCAAGTTTTATTTTATCTGCGCTCTAGTATTTAAAGCATTTACCCAGGAGGACAAACACAGCCTGACATACAAGGTGTGATGGGTGGACAGGTGAGGTTCATCATAAGGTTTTCACATGTGATTTCACACGCTGTTCCAGTCCAAGGCAGGCCAGGCGGAGGATCTCTGCAGTCAAAGTATCTCTTATTGTCAGGACACTCTCCAGGGTCAGGTTCTGGACACAGTGCAAACATAGCAATTGTTCATGGTTCACAAATAAAGGAATTAAGTTATTAAAATGTTACCAGTTACTGATCAAATTACAAAACTGCAATGAAAACAATTGGATAAACATCTATATTCCTACCTGATTCTGGAGGGGAACACTCCATCCTTCCATTCCTGCATAGACTAAAATACATGGAGAAATCACTATTTTGGCTGGTGGCAGATGTCATATCTTACTTGAAGGAGATGGGAATAGGGAGGTATGGGAGAGGGGATCAGAAAGAGTGTAGGCTCATATGGAATATAAACACCGGTATAGATTATTGGGGCCGAATGACCCGTTTCCATCCTTTCACAATCTATTTTTATTTCTATTTATCAACTTTAGAGCTGTCATGGTTACTGGCAAATTCTTCAAAGAAATCTGAAATGTAACAACACTGTTTTTTCCATTATTCAGTCAGATGTTCTAAATAGAAGATAATTACATGCAATGTCTGGTTATCAGAAAATGTCACATAAGTTGTATCAGTTGGGACCATACAGTTAATATGACTTATGCAAAGAGTTATGTTATGTGTTGTGTCAAACTTGCATAGAATATAAACTCCTGAACAGGACTTGAGCAGATGTATGACTTTGGCAATTGTACAATTTATACACATCAGACTTGTGCGAGTTTTATTGTATTTTTTATTGTTGATACATCTGCAACAATCCTTTTAAGCTGCAATTATACTGCACATGTTACTGTAATTCGTGGGGCAATGTGTACAATATAATGTCAAGCAGGGCAGATTTTGCTGAAGCTGAGTTTCTAAAAACACGCTGGTGCAGGTGGCTTGAGGAGTAATGCAACTCACTGGCACATAACTTGTACAGTGCCTTTTACGTAGATGAACGACTTGAAGTGCAAATCATGTCAAAACATTTAAAACTTCTCAGTGTTTTTTCTGTAAAGTGTAAAGTGTCTGGGACAAATGCAGCATGAAGTGAATAACCAACTTTTTTTTATCTGAAGGAGGGAATTGTTGGCCAGGACACTGAGAGAAACTCCCTTCTTCAAATAGTGCATGGTACTACTTAACATCCTCCTGAACAGACAGATGGGACCTCGGATTAACGTAATTTTGTAGCCAAGTTCAAAGCAATGTAAACCAGCCCTCTCCTCGTCTCATAGAAAACCTCATCCTTGGGAAAGAAAGATGTAATAAATTCAATCAAATTTAATCCAGACTCAGTAAAGGTTTAGAAACATTATCTTTCTAATTCTCTCCTAAGGGTGTCATACTTTGAATCACAATCTAAAGCAAAGAAGGAAGAGGAGAAATCTTACCATGGTCCTGAGTTACTGAACGTGACCTCTCCTGACTGATACAGTCCTCCGAGAAATTGACATGAGCACTGGGACCTGGAAGAGGAAGACAATGCTTCAATATGATTGAAAACTCCTGAACTATTCATTCATATTATTTAATTAATGTATAATAATGCGCAACTCGTGTCACGTAAAAGATATGCAAAAGAGGTAAAATGATCAATGTTAAGAAATTGCAAATTTAAAGACAGTTCCATTTTGAAGTCTGTAAATGTTCTCTTAACAAAAGCAGAAGTTATTTCCTGCCCAATCTAATAACCAATTAGCAAACAATGAAAGAAAAATGAGGAATAAGCTTCAGGGCATAAAGCAGGCAATGTGCACATTGATATCAATGTGCACGGGTGGTTAGTGGGCTGTCTTGCTCCCATTTATCCCCACCAGTATTGCCATAGTGACACAACCTGGAAAAGTAGTGATGGATTAGGATTGGGGCTGATAGGATTGTTTCTAAACCCTCAGACAGCCTTTAGAGGGGTAATAGTAGTAGAAATTAATTGAATTTGAAAGAGAATCCTCCCTTTTCTGTTCTTCTCCAGACTCTGATTTGACCCGTTCTCTTGCCTTGCTCCACAGCCAACAACAACAACTTGCATTTATATAGCACCCTTCATATAGGGTAGCACCCCAGAGCCATTACGAGGTGTTCATAAAACGTTTGTAGAGCCATGTGGCTGTTATATAAATATAGCAGCAATATTGGTTCCAGAGGCAGGGGTTCATTCTAAAGACTAAGTCATTCGCAAAGCAATAAAGCGAACGGAGACATGTGATTTCATTTATTATCAAATGGAAACGCTGTAATGCTGTAAAATATATAATGGCAAAATAAAAACTTACTTCAGGACACAGTGGCGCAACACCTCATGGTAGAATGTCCCATTCGGACAATTGCAGCCTTCAGCACAATCGTCACTGCAGACCTCGTTTATAGAAAGTGACTGACAAGTGCGTCCACAAGAGGAAGAACAGGTGTGATACAACATGTTGGACTGGCAGATGACACCTGTACCGAAGAAAAACATGCAATGTGAATGCTACTAAAAGCATAAACCAATTCACTGCGCTCTCTCGAAAGTGATTTATCAGAAGAGGGCGTTTTGTCTAGAGAGCTACAAATTATTGGGATGAAATTCCACCCAGGTCGAGATTTACTCTATGTAATATTTTAGAGTGTCCAGAATTTGGAAAACTCTTAAATACACTTCTAATTTTTAGGTCAATTCCACAAGCACTTTTAAGAACTAGAGGAAACCAACTTCAAAGTCGAGGCTTAAATCAACAATTTGCTAAATTCTGGACACTCTAAAATATTATATAAATAGAGGTGGAATTTCTCTCAGCTGTCTATCACAGCTCAATATCATTTCCACCCAATTAGCAATCAGTTTCTTTGATGTTGCACGTCAAAATCGCACACAAAAGGTTCACTTTGATCAAAGAATTTACTGTGCAGTCATTACGAAGCATTTAAGTTCACCGTTTTCCCATAACATTTACTGATGCATTCACTCAAAGAGTGAAACATGCTGCTCCACAACGGTCTCGAAGTTAGTCTGTGGTCAGCCAGCCAGAGATGCAATTCAAGTGTAATAGGACAGGCAGTATCAGTTTTCATCTCCCTGGATGGAGCACTTCATGTCTGTGATGTGTTCCATCCAGCAACTGGAGTGTGAACTGAGAAAATAAAAGTCCTCCAAATGACCTCAGTAATTCAGACTGATACTGTTCTAATTTGAGTGCCAAGCCCAAATATATACTTTACTTTAATAAAAACAGAGGGCAGGTCTGATGAATGTGAGCTATGTTACCGTTTACTTCAACCAGTGTGTTGCTACAAAGTGATCTGACAACTTACCACAGTCTGATACGACTGATCTGAAGTCAATGCGAATTCTGTGTTTGGCACAAAGAGATGCATAGTGTCCAAGGGCTGTACACATGCACAAGCGTCCACACTTGCAGGCATCATAACGGCACCGCTGGTAATAGGGGCTGGGATTCACAAAGGAATGGCAAGGTGCAAACAGTTCTTGATTGAGGATATCACACATTGTTGAAGAATACAAAGCTGGATGTGCAGATATTAAAACAGCTTTTAATAATCAGTTCTTATTCAAATAAGTTAAAACTTTATAAATTACTCTCAGAACTAAAGTAACAAAGTACATTTTCTACGACACCACAAGAATCAAACATAGATACCGTTTTGTTGATTTGTGTCACAGGGGTCAATCAGAGGGACATTTAGTGGTGTTACACACGCAGATGATATCTTCCATGCATTGGCGTGTAATTGTGGAGTCCCTTCAATCATACCTGCAGGTGAACTAGTAGTGAAGAAGGAAAACATTTAAAGGACAGTCAGCAAAATTCTCCATGCAAACAAACTAATGAAAAGATGATGTAAAGTCACTTAGGCAAATCCCACAGTCTAAGAGACTAGCTATTCGATGCATGTTTAATTTCTGTGTTCAATTTCTTCATTAAGTAAGATAATAGTGGATTCCATTATCAACTGCCTTCAAAACACCACGTCACAAGATATGTTGAACTGCCAGTTTTCTCCACTCGTTCAATTTTGAAGTATTTTCTACTTTAACCCACACCAGTCTCTTGATTCTGTATAACTCAAATAATTATTGCTGATATAATGCAGCATTCTACTTGGACTCTGAAGTCTATAAAGAAAGGGAGGTGACTCAATTGAATGCTCAACTAAAGTTGATGAATTGTTCTTGAACTGATCCAAGCATGCATGTCTTTAAAGGTTCAATTCCTAATCCAGACTGTACTTGTGACATACGTATTATTGGCAATATAGGCAGGTTATAACACTGCACAGGTTTGATATGCTGCAAACCAGCACAATCCCTCAGTTTTGGTCTAAAGGCATTTTCACAATTAGCATCAATGGATACAATACTAGAGGGCGATTTTCCAATCACCAACGAATATATTGACTTTGGCTGTGGGAATTTATAATGTTGTTTCCCTATTGCCTTTCCCGTTTTGATACTATCTCAGGAAGATCAATAAACAAATGATAATTATCACCAACATTTATGTCACATTTCTTAAGAGTTGTACTAAGTGTGAAATATATCTCATTTTTATTTAGCAGTATGAGCTCCAAGACTCCATCCGGTGTGAATGACGCTATATAAATGCAAGTTGTCATTGTTGTTATGAACTCACAGAAAGTCATCTCGTAAGTTTCCATTAAATGTTCCACACAAACCAACAGTTCCTCCCTTCCAACTGCTGTCAACCTGAAGATAGAGTCTTCCTCCTTCTTTGTCAAACTGTAGCCGGAGACCAAACGTTGTTTTCACTTGCACGAATATAGACGACAATTTACGAATTTCAGTAACTCCTGCGAGTAACAAAATCCGAACTTCACAAAACTTTACACAAATCAGGTTAATGAGTGAAAGTGACAACTTCCAATTTTTTTTAGCTTTACTGGAAGGATTTTATATTTTACAATACCAACTATTTTGGAATATTTATCTACTTTGAATGCATGATGTAGAAGTGGGCCAATTACCATTGAAGTACGGAAGGCTAATTGCTTGATTGATGCCAAGCTGGATTTCTCCTGCTCTGGTTAGGGTGATCTGTTTACTCGTATCCTCATCTATCAATAGGGTGACTGACTGAATGCAGCTGTGGTCCAAATTCTAAAAACAATATGAAAGAAACATATAATGCTGTGTTACCCAAACCAAATCTCTAAATCGTTTTTGATTGTCTCTACATTCAATTGTTTTACAATGAAGCAAATGTTCTCTAGAATGATACAAAAACCCATTTGTATTATTATTATTGTATTTGATATAGAGCCTTTCACGTCATCGAGACATCTCAAACCGTCACAGGATTTTACTGTGTATTTTGTAGGTATATTCTAGCACACAATAAGTTTTTTTTAATAATTTCAGAAAATATTCTTTTATATTGACACTGACTTGAAATGCTTTGAAAATGTTGTGATTTGATCCATTTGTGGAGTCCTGTAGCTCAGTGGTTAGAGCACTCGCTTTGCAAGCGAGAGACCTGAGTTCAATTCCAGGCAGGGCGAAACCTTGGGCAAGTTTCCTTACTCCACACAGAGCCTAATAATAATCCCTCCAAAAAAAAAAAAAAAATTGGTCAATTTCAATCTATGACTGTTGTGGGACATTGCTGTGCACAATTGGCTGCCGCGTTCGTCCACAAATATGCAGTCAATTCACTTTACAGTGTGTTCTGTGAAGCGCTTTGGGACATCCTCCCGACGTGAAAAGCGTGATACCAAATGCAAGGATTATTATTAGCGTTGGTTTAAAAGTTTGCATTTGTTGCTGGGCAAAGTTTATATATTTCCTTCCAGTGTTACATTTAAAACATAAAACATATAATCACAATATAGCCACTCCAACTACTGAGACCAATAATTCATCTTACAGGTGATTTTACATGACATTTCCCAATGTGAAAGTCACTATATAAACGCAATTTGTTGTGGCTGTTAATTGATCGAAATAGGAGGCAGCATCTGTGTCTGCAAAGAATACAACCAATTTGATTATGTTACCAAGTCTTTTTGTGAAACTGAAGCATACGGTTGTAAAATGTATAAACAGGATTTACATATGTTTGCCAATGTTTGACAATATGGCTCAGTAAAAATCTAGGTTTGACAGCCTTGCGCAAGTTGACCAATCTCCTGAAATTTAAGAGTTGACAGGAATTTTAATCCTGCATTATAACCGTTTCAATATTATTCTCCTACCTGACCACAGGGCACATTCTGCAGTGTCGCTGTGAATCTGTTACTCCTGTGACTCTTTGCAAAGATATACTGGCAGGTGCCAAGAAAAGTAAAAATCCGGCCGTCAAAAGTGGTGAAATGCATATCTCCTGTGACAGAGCATTCAGCTAAAAGAAAGGATAAATGTTTAGGAATTTCATCAAACCTTTCCCTAATTGTATTCATTTCTTCTTTTGCAGCAAATGACAGGACATTTCAAGTGTATCACTGGTTGTCATCTTCCTGAGCATCAATAATAATATACAACATTTTGTAAACACTATACACAACCTTACAACACAGTTATTACCTGGGCAATCATTGTCTGTACAGTTCCACACACCACCACTGCAAATGCTACAAAAAAAGGAACACAGCCAATTATTGCTCTCATCTGAATGCTGCATTTGATTTAATTTTTATCAAAGTAGGAAAGGAAAAAGTAAATATTTTATCATGTCAAGAACAAGGAAAATTAAAATGGGGTTTAGAATATTTTATTCTATGACTGAATGACTGAATGACTGATACAATGTTAAGACAAAGTTGTCTCTATCCTTTTCATAATCTATCAGTATTATCAAGCTCGTCTGATATATGGGAACATACCATTCATTGCAACCCTCCTGTAAGTGAGACCCGATGGGATAGATCGCTCCATGGTATATACATGGACAATTGTATACTGAGATGCATGTTCCATTCTCCATGATAAGTCCTGAAAAATACAAAAGATACAAACAAATCCGTGTTTCTTCCTCCTGCAGTCTGTCATTATGTGCACTGTACAGTTAATGAATTATTTTACAGAAGCGCTTATCTCCTGCTTTTTTTAACTGAGTGTGAGAAAAGATGTTAAACTGGTAAATGCTGGATAAGCAGCCTTTGGACTTGCAGTTATCATGTTGACAACCACAAGGAGGCTGTGAGGGTTCCTGCAGCCTCACAAGGTGCTTTAGTATATTTGTAGCTTCTGCAATGGCTCCTGAGGGATCACATGTGTATTTAGCTGTACTATCAGCAAGGTCACCAAACAAAAAAGCAATGTAGCAAGCGGAAGCAAGGAGAAGGCAACTTGTGACACTTCAGCAGCACTTCCCTATCAGTCTGTATATAAGTATAATTTCCAGAATTAATGATCATCCACCACAATCCCACTAGAGAATGGTATGGGTACAAAGTACTCACCGTCTGGACAGTAACACCCATCCAAGCAATGCAGGCTACTTCCCAGACATTCCTTTTCAAATGTGCAGGTGGGCGGGCAGCAACTGATGCAGTCACGGTGAACAAGACTCTCTTCACACTGTTCAACTTTAAACACAAGGGAAAGTCAGCCCAATTAATTCATTGTCTGAATTTTTTAATACTTTATTCGGCCATGGCCACTTGTAAGAGGGATATTACACTCACTTAAACTACATCAAAACACATCCATGGATCACAGGAATATCATCCGTGCATCATAATAATAGTAATAGTGCTTTTCATACAGCGGCTTATCTCAAAGTAGCCTCAGAGGTGACTGTGGTGTTGTGACTGTGTTTTGTTGGTTGTACACAGGAAATAATTTGCAACCTACAATGTTTCACGCACAGCTATGAAGTGAATATTTTATCTGGAGGATTGTTGGCTAGCACATCAGGAGAAACTCCCTTCTTTCTTAGAATAGTGGCATGGGATCTTTAATGTCCACCTGAACAGGGAAACACGATCTAACATCTCATCTAAAAGACAGCACCTCCAGCAATGCAGCGTTCTCCCAGCACTGGACTGGAATGTTAACCTGAACTGTGAGCTCAATGCCCTGACCAAAACCTTTGACTCAGAGGTGAGAGTGCTACCAACTCTTGTACTGCAAGAATATATTACTATTTGTGAGTATGTGTATATGAATGCGTGTTGACATTGTGACTAAAAGGTGGTACTGCTCCTGTGGCTTTTTTCTCTCTCCTATGAAGGCATTCTTCCCTTAATAAGTGTTAATTGGCCTTTGCAATCAGACATAGATAGAATTAAATGGCCGTGTAGCATAGAAACAAGGAAGTCAGCCAAACAAGTCAGCTGTTAGTTTTTATATTCCACATGAGGCTGCATCCCTCCCAATACCCCTCTCCTTTACCCCTCCATTCCCTTCTCACCGTATGTAACTGACAGGTTAATGCTTCAAAGCACCTTGAGCATTCTTGTCTGAAAGGTATTGCATTCAGGGAGACACCGCTGGCTAAGCTCCAAGTCTGGACTAAAGGATTTACAAAATTTCTTTTGCCAAATTTTTCACCTCAACCTCTTCTGAAGGCACTGTCTCTTGCCTGGGTTTGATTTTGTGGGCATCAGCTAGTATCTGGCTCAACTGACCAACTGAGAGCCTAGATACAGAATACTGTATTTGGAGTCCATTGAAAGACACAAGGCCTCCCAGCTCAACAATCTTATCCTCACCAATGGGACAAAAAAATCCATGCAACAACTTTGACAATGCACAAGTACAATGGGGAAATACTGTTAGAGGAGATTGTAAATGTGATTACAATGAATGCCAATTGGAATTTCAACTCTGAGTTGACCCAAGGCCAATTGTAACAACACAACAATCTACATTTAACGCCTTTCCTGAAAGGGCAAATAATTTGGTATTCCCAGCATAACAATTATAAGCGTTACAATGAAAGCAAAACTTACTACAAGCGGGGAAGTCATCTCTCCACTCCCGTAGAGGATAGCCGGCATGAGAACATGCCCTAGTGTACTCTGTCACTGATCGACAATAGGTTTCACTATCGTCCGTCCTGTTTCACAGAATTATAAGCTTAATAATAACAACAACAACAATCTGCACCAGCGTATGACTTTTATGTAGGGAGAATGTTTCAAAGCACTTTACAAATACATTGTGGGAGCATGAGGGAGATGGGAGAAGGGAGTAGAGGAAGATGGGAGGGGTGAGTAGAGAGAGGTACCTGAAGGCAAAGTGAAAGAAATTGGTTTATAGGTGGCTTTTGAAAGCAGTGAGGGATGGCACGAGGTGGAAAAATTTCAGAAGACAGTTCCAGAGGGTGGGACAAAGTATCTGAAAGCTTCTCTGCCAATTATGAGGTACAGCGGACAGAGCCATTAAGCAAACTAAAATTGGTGGCTTGGAGGGAGTGGTCAGGGAAATAGGGTCACAGGAGTTCACAGAGTAGGGTGGGACATGTCCACAGGGCATTTGAAAGTAGGGATGTAGATCTTAAAGATGGAGCCTTGTTGGGAAAGAATGCAGGATTGCTTGCATTTGATGTAGTGTCCATAATATGAAGTGAGCAATTCAGTACTCACGTGCATAGATCATTGATACAACTGGCGACATAGGAATTAGGCTGGACGTGGTTACGACAAGAAAAGAAAGGGAAACTGACCAGAACTTCACATTTTACAATGATATCCTAAAGAAAAAATAATATGATTTAGTAAGCATTACAAGCCGTTAACAATTATAATATACACAACTTTAACATAAGGCTACATTTTCCATATAATCTCTTTGTACAAAATATATTGGGAATCCTTTCTTTTATACAATCATAATACAATTCTGATCACGTAAGCTGACATGGGTATAATTCAGGATTTAATGGTAAAATTTTCCCCATACTTTTGTCATGTTTATCTTAATGAAACCACAAAGTTTTCTATTATCAATTGATCTTGCATCCTAAAATACCTTGTATTCTACAAAATATACAGTCAATACACTTAAAACTGTGAAGAGCTTTGAGACGAATCAAAAAATTACTTGTTATTCTGCCCCACAATATATGACATTACTGCATTATCTATGTATACTAGGTGTAAAGATTAATTTCCTTTCCGCAATAAACCTTCACCAATGCACAAAGTTTGAAAATCACTTACATTAACTGATTCTCCTTTGCCCCTGCAAGGGCTAGGAAAGTTGAGAGATACGGGTTCACATGGAGTATCAGAGGGAGACTGTGACATCCAACTGTTTCCAAAAACAGCAATGTCCTCAGTCAGCATGCCTGAAAAAAGCAAGAAGCCAATACAGCAGCAGAATAAAACACCCGCAGAATAATTTCTATAAAGAAGAATAAACTGGTGAGAAAAACTTTGACATCTATGTCAAACTGGTTTCCATATAATAGCTTTGGCTATTTAATAAACATCTCTGAATGAGACTGAAACTATTGTCAATTATTGGTGGATAATATGTAATCATTATGAAAAATAATTACATTATAAATGCTTAAGGCGTGATACTCCTTTGGCAGAAACTTAGTAGATCTTGGCAGTAAGCGTAATTATTGGTTAGAAAGCACTCAGCAAATCATAGGAAAGGTTCAAATTGGGAAGGCCCTCCACCTATGGTCCCATTAATTAGAATACCCAAGTGACCATCTCCCCTGAGTCCTGCGCCTCCTGATAACCCATTCCGGGGCTTGCGTATACCCTTTCTATAAAGAAATATCTCTATGATAAAAATTGTCATCCACAATTATGGACTTGTGCTCTATAGTCCTGCTGCTGTGATCTGAACCTTTTTTTCTTGGATTACTTTTTTCATCCACTTTAGCATCTTATATTCATCTATAATTTATCCAGGGAAAAATCTAAACACACATAAATGTAAAAGACTTGCTTACTGTAGCTCGAATTCAGATCATCAGACATGTCTCCATTGTAGTTGCCGCATAGACCACAGGATTTCCCTTTGTGCTCAACTGTAAGTTTGATATAAATACCAGAGAGTCCATCCCAAGCCAGGGAAAATCCAAATGTTGTTTTCACAAGAATGTAGTCAGCTAACCTTTCGAAGAATACATGTCTCACCATCTGAGGCAATTTCAGCCTAAGAAAGATTTAAAAATCTACAATGATTATAACAAAACAATATTAAGACCTACTTACATGCCAAAGCATTAATGCAACTCTGACATGGGACTACGAGGAACACGGTAATGTGTTACAGCAAACCCAAATGTCTGGCAATATTATCTCAAAAGGTTAAAAGTTGCTTTCTTTTTTATTGCATCAAATACTCAAATGTAACCTTTTACAATAAATTTGGACAAATGATACAATATGTTCCATAAAAGCAGGATTGTCAGTACTTGACATCACTTCCATGGCCAGATGCAGTCACAATTCTATGCAGAACCTACCTAGCCCATTTCACAAATATAAAACTCCTAAGCTATTAGCCCAGAACTTTTTCTATATTACAAGATGTATCAGTGGTAAACTCTACTGACGAATTCCCAATATAAAAGGATCAAGCATGCCAAAGAATCTCCATTTGAATTACTGTGATGAATATATTTAAATAATGCAGATCCAAATCGGTTCAATGTATCAATATCCACTGTTAATAACCCACTGTTGAAAAATACAATATTGTTTTCATTTTCACATAGACGTGTTTACAGAAGCATTAAGTACTGATTGCAATCTACAGGTAAAGTCCTAAAAGTTCTGATATAAGGTTTCCCTGTTGAGCATTCGGTAATTTCACAAGTAATTCTCCTTTGTCTGCTTCCAGTAGGAATCTCCTTTTTCTCAGCAATCTACATACATTTTAATGAGAACAATCATGGGAAGTTCACCTGATTCCTCCTTTCATAACTTGATGGCCAATAATAATTATTTCCTCTTCATTTGGAAAGAACAAGCTGATGGATCTTGAGCATGAGTATGAGGAGGTGCACGCTGCACTATTATGGACCTGAACATATAGGAAAAAGCTAGGCATTAAGACCAATAACTCCAATAATTTGTACAGTTAATTGATTTAACTGGATCATCATTGTTCTTGTTTTCTAATGGCTGAGTAGGAAGTGTTTTAGTCTGTGTCCACTACTGTTTATTATGGGGTGGTGTCTCAATCAATTGCAATACACCTGGTTGATCCTGCCATCAGCATATGCTTGTCTCATAGACATGCATGTCTACGTACACACAGTCAGTGCAGTGAAACTGTGAATCCCTCTTGAAATCAAAATTTGGCTGCTGAGCAATGATATATGAAGTTTGATCCCTGATAATAGCCTATGTTAGCAGATCCCGCCCAGGATCTCGAAATGCCTCTGTGTAAGAGAAGGGGAAAGTCAAGCCTTTGATCATTATCCAGTGATCAATGTTGAAACGTGGGCATTGTATGAGGGCAACATTGGGCTCAGCTACAGCTTGTTTGACTATCAAACAGTCAGCCAACAGCCACTGCCCAATCTCAAAAAAGATCACCCACTTGGGTGAGACACTAAAGTATTACTAGTGCCAATAGAATAATATTCCAGCAGGAATGAGGAGAGGAAAATTAGAAAATTAAAAGATACATTTTTTTTAACAGTGACAATGTAATAGATTTAATAACACTGTACCTGAACCACATACTGAGGCTGTGCTGTCCTGCAGTCTTTTGCAAGAATGTAGGAGCATTTTCCAGGAAAGTAAAAATAAATCCCATCAAAGGTTTCAAAATGGTATTGGCCCCACGATCTGCATATTCCTTCTCTGTTTTCAGCCATATTTAAAACTAATAAAATAAAAGTTGCAATATTCTGATTACATTTGCGCAATGTGCATTATTGCACAGATTAAAGGTGAAAAAAAATGTTTAGGAGCAGTTTGGTAAATTCCAACAATTAACATTGGATCATATTCAGTAACTATAGCAATATTTTGTGCAGTGTTTATATTGGGAAATGCTATTACAAGCGCACCAAAATAAACTTTTCCTCAAGGACATTGCTGGCTCCCGTGACTTCAATCGTATTGAGTTTGGCCTGAGACACATTGCTGAGGTAGAGTTGAGGGAGTTTTAAGACTATAACTCTACCTGATCTGCTAAATCTGTTGTGGGCATTTGCCCACAGACCATTGTCAATGTGACTGGATTTAAAAGCAAGAGAAACTTGTGTGAAAGGGAAAGTGTTCCATTTGCTAGTTCTAACATACCACACTTCGATCAGCACAAAATTTGCCAAAATTTATCTTATTTAGAAAAAGGAAAAATATCCCACAATATAATCTGATACCAACCAGTCTGACAACGAGTTCCATTGCCTTGAACTTCACTGCAATCACATGTGCCATCCTCGCCACAGAAGCCACCATTGAGACAGTCTTGAGGGCAAGCATCTGGAAGATCACATTTTATAGAAACTGTGCGTTTGTTAACAGAACAAGAATAACATGAAATAGAAGATACAATATCTTTTAGATTTTTAAATCGTTAAACCTTAAACCCCTCCTCAGTTCCCCACACACCTACCACACCCCCTCCCCCCACGCCTCACCGCTCACTTTGAAAGGTGCTATATTAATGTAATTATTGTTGGTCACTCTTTCAAAACAGAGACATAATAATTATTTAGTCTACGTCCAGATACCAATGCAGAAATAAATGAGCACCTGTAGACAATGGGCATAAAACAAAATGCGATGTTTATATCTAATTTACGCAGAAAAAACAAAGTCAATAATAAAATCAATTGTTATTTCTAAATTCTGGGATTTCTGCATGGGTATGAATTTCCCCCTAAAAGTACTGCGCTTGCAGAATAATAATTGTGGACAAGGCAAAGTCACAGGATTGACTCTGCTGTACCTTCAGGATAAGGTAAATTTGTATTGTAGGCAGCACTTCTGCGGGCTCGATGGGCAGCAAAATTTGTTCTGTAATTCTGTAGGAAGTTAAAGAACAGTGCATTATTTAAAACCCAATGCAAGAATGTGTAATGAAGTACAGGTTAAGATTCATTCAATGGGGTTGACAATCATTCATTTGGGTTTAGTTTAATCTATTCTGATAGGAACAGGAGTAGGCCATTTGATCAGCTGAGTTTATTCCACCATTTTATTTCATCCTGTATACACATATATATATATATATCCTGTGAAGCACTTTGAGATGTCTCGAAGACATGATAAGGCACTAAATCAAATGGAAGGATTATTATTATATCCTGACAGATCCTTTATTCCGATGTGCTGCAGTTACTCACTGACGTATGCTGTTCTTAAAATAAGTGTAGCTCCCCATGTTAATCAAAAGATTTCACGCTGTATATTGACGTCTAGAAGATGTGAAAAGTGCTATATCAAATGCGAGTATTATTATTATTAAGCTTGCTCATTGCTAATATCACTTCTTTCATTCCTCCCCACCCCACCCATGGTGGTTGGTGTTCAATAACGGCAAATATAGGTTCAAAGGAAAACCAAGCCCCAAAGTGTGCAGTACCTGTTTTCTGACCATACAAAAATATAATGCGTACACGTGCTGAAACCAATAGGTAGCAAGCTGAGTCCATCAACCACAATGCTCATAATTGAGTAGATGGTCTGTTTTTGGGTGCTATGGCTGCTTCAGTTGTACTGAAACCAGCATATCGCGATTCATCATTCTAACTATGCATTAGTGAGCTTTCTATAAAATGACAAATTGCACGAATTTTGGATACAGATTCCATTCCATTCTACTGTCCCTTTTGGAAATCTGTTCATACTTAAACACATAGACTTGAACTTTTCATTCATTCCAGCTATCCTTAAATGCTTGTTGAAATGGTTAAACAATTGAAGAAAAATAATCAAAGTTTATTATTGACACTTGTACTGGGGGTGAAAATAGAAAAAAATATAATTAATGGCTTGATTTTGTATTATTGTTCGTTTTTTATCTTATACAAATCAATTTAAGTCTTTACATCTGTTCGCAGCAGAAATATGTAAATATGTTATAATTCAATATTTTATATTTAAACATTTTCTCTTATTTTGCTTATAATATTTTAAATATTTGCAACACAATGTGCTTTAAGAATATATTAAAATATTCTTTGTGAATTCATTGGTGTTCTTGTTGCTATTCTTACCCATTGCAATCTTATCTTAATTTCATTGTAATTTCCCCAAATGCCATTCTCAAAGTCTAGATTGTAATTTACTCCACTTTCACAAATAGCTTCGGTATTGGTATTACCGATAGTAGCGATGGCATTTGATTTCACAACACAATTTGAAACTGGGAGTAATTTAGCAACCGAAACGTAATTGAACATGTCCGAATCAAGCAGGAGCCCTGAAACCCCAGCTCTTAAGTAATGTTTTTGCTGCGACACAAAGGAACCATTATAAAGTAGAAATTGTTTCAGAGTACACTTTGGCTGTAGTGTACCTCTTCAGCTGGGAGATCCCGTTTCTGACGAAATGCATTCAACCTGCTCCTGTAAGAGAAACGGTAGCATATTATACAAGGGCTAAGTCGACCTGCATTTCTATCAAATACACATATTAATAATAATAATAATAATAATCCTTGCATTTGATATAGCGCTTTTCACGTCGGGAGGACATCCCAAAGCGCTTCACAGAACACACTGTAAAGTGAATTAACTGTATATTTGTGGGTGAACGCGGTAGCCAATTGCGCACAGCAATGTCCCACAAACAGTCGTGGATTGAAAATGACCAATTTATTATTATTTTTTTGGTTTTGGAGGGATTATTATTAGGCGTGTGGAGTAAGGAAACTTGCCCAAGGTTTCGCCCTGCCTGGAATTGAACTCAGGTCTCTCGCTTGCAAAGCGAGCGCTCTAACCACTGAGCTACAGGACTCCACATTGACTCCATATTGTAAACTGATGAATTCCAAAGAACTTCAGATACTGTTATTTGCCGGAATAGTTTAAATGTCACATTGCTATGAATCCTATTTCCATTACAGGCTTATTTATTGTCTTTCAAAAGTGCGCTGAATGCAAAGGTCGAATGATCAGATGGTGAGATATACATTTGATGTGTATTTCACATTGTGTCTTGTACATCAATCTTGTACTGTTTTTTCTTCTCTGGGGATCAAATCGAGAATCGTAATTAAACACTTGGATGTGTATACTTCAAACTCTGCTTTGTTCACATGTATGAAGGCTGATTACCTTCTTAATCTGTTCTGTCCAAGACCTGTGAGTTCACAATACGATTCTGCCAAAAGAGAGAATATTATTTTACATCCAAGTTCAGTTGCAACTATGTCTTTCACTGGAAATACGTGTTTCAATCTCTGTTCTCCTGACTTGTAAACTCTACCAGACAGGTTATATGAGAGAGAAAGAGAAACGTAAAATCCGAAAGAAAGTTAAAAATACTGAAATAGCAGCTGGTGGATCGGTTGTCCAAAAAATACATAATTTTTACCCTTTTCGCGAAAGAAACTTAATCGGAAGAATTTGTGAAACTTTATTTTTGCTTTATTTTAGCAGCAACTTTTCTCAGTGTGTAATGTTAATAATCTTGTATAAAAAGCAAGAGGATAAGTATAGCCTGATTGTGTGTGGGTTTTTTTTCTTGCTAAACAACTCTTTTATGGATTCAGCGGTCAGTAGTCATACATTATGGTTCTAAGGCTCTTTATGGCTGTTGCCTCCACTAGTTATACAGTATACAAGCTGATCATCCTCTATTTTTATCTCTTTCCTTTGTAAAAAAAAAGTAACTGAGAAACAGAATTCGCACATATATTTGCACTGTTAAGTAAAATAGGTTTGCGTTTCTAACTATTCTCTTAACGAAAAGGAATTTTTTTTTGCTAAAAGAAATTCGGGAATATTAAATTACATACCTAACCCATTTAAACCACTGACAATCGCATCATCAATTTAATTTATTTTAAAGAACGATTCATTTTTGCACATACTCAATTGTGCAAATATTCCCCTGAGCTTTTTGCAACCGAGGTATTGCTGTGAGAGCCGGTACAGTGTTGGCTTCTAACTGTGCTGAACTATAAGCATTACAGCCTTACCTTGAAACAGCTGAAGAAGTGAATAGAGCAACAGCACACTCCAGGGTATCATTAATTTCAGAAGAGGAGCAACGTTCATCTCAGTAGGTCTTCGCTCTGAACCCGAACAGTGAAGGTTCTTTCCAGACAAGTTGAATCTAAAATGTCATCTTAGACTAAAACGCTTGTCAAACTTACTGCGTTTTGCTTCCAACTTAGGAAATGCGAAGCATGATTCTTTGAGTTAAGAAACCAGCTCTGAATTCTTACGAAAGCTCCTTTGGCAAGAGTGCAAACTCAAGTGCATTGGCAAAGCGTCCCAGCTTGGAGAGGGCAGGGTTGTGGGAGTGACACTAATGTAGGAGCAGCCTTCATATGGAACCGATTTCGTGTCCGCCCCTCTTGAAATAAAATCCCTAGATTGTTCCTGATTCAACTTTTTTTTTAATACAAAACAACGTGTTCTTCGCAAACTAAATTGCAAACGTTTTAAAGCGTAACCAGTGCAATAGGTTCCATCTAACACTGATATTAGTATTATAATAATCTAATATTTTAGTTGCGTTTGTCTCTCTCAGGAGAAGTCTGAAACTGTGCACCTCTCTTGTAAATAGAAATACATCACATCCAACTTAAGAGTTTCAATTCATCGCACAACACAAAAACAAACAGATAGTTACATTACAAAAGGAACTGAAATTACTCTAGTTATTTGCTTTAGGTTTTTTTCGAACAACTGTATTTCAACAGTTGAAATCTATTGCTCACAAAGCGAAGCCAGGGATTTTCAAGAATATATTTTTCAGGACTGTTTAATTTTACTTTAAACATTTTGCTGCAAGACTGTATCATAGACCTTATTCGCACCAACAAAATCTTGGGAAAATAATTGATAAAACGTTATGAAATGGAAAATAATTGATAAAACGTTATGAAATGAAAAGGTATAAAGGAGATAACCGATATCTTAATATTCAGTGAAAATATCTGAACAATAATTCACCGGATGGTGACAGCAGCCTCACTTTGCCTGCTTTTTTTAAAAAATTATTTTGCACTCGCGATTCACTGTGCACGATAAGTAATATTGGATGGATCCTAAAAGAGCCAAATATTTTTCTTTCATCTAATAATGTGTTTGGTACTGAACTGCAAATAACTCTAACCCAAGTACCAGTCAAAGATAAACGATCTCCGCGCTGTAAGAACGTTGAAGAACTTCATTAGCAAGTATGTGTGTTTATCAATGATGGATTTAATGCTTTAAATAGTTTACCCCCAATGTTGTTCTCTTTGAAAAGGAAATAAATGGACGAATTTAACAATTTCGTCCGTATACGAAACTTTGACCTAATTTGTTAGTATTTTCCACACGTTATTTAACTCCTAAACCACCTTCATTAGTCAGGAAATATAACACCCAATGAAAAATAACAGGCTTGAGGAGAGCATGCAAAATTCAAATGTGCAGTCTCCAGAGAATCTAGGCGTGCAGTGCAATGCATACGATGCATATAGCGTCCAGTCTGCCAGTAAGGTGAAACTTTGCACTTGTGGTGCAACAAAAAGCCACAATATTGTATATTCAGGATTGCGTTTGAGTTTAGTCGGTATCTACGCACTGTGAAACTTATACTCCACTTTTGTGTTTCATTCTAAGTAGTTGTAGGGTATGAGGAGAGACTAATAGAACTGAGCTCATTTGCATTGGGACAGAGAAATGTGTTCCTGCATTGCATGAAAAACTGAGTCGTTAATAATAATAAATAATCCTTGCGTTTGATAGTGTCTTATCAATTCATTGAGACGTCTCAAAATGCTTCACAGGATGCACTGTGTGTTTTGTGGGTGAAACATGGCAGCCAATTGCGTACAGCAATGTTTTAGTCATGGATTGAATGACCACATTATTTTTTTTTAAACTTTAAAACATGGTGCAGTTATTTCTACTTGTGAGTCAGTGACTGGAAGGACATCAACTTAAGATACAGGTAATTAGCAAAGAATTAAAGGGCAAATTAGAATTTTTTTCAGTTAATAATAATAATCCTTGCATTTGGCATAATGCCTTATCATGTCATCAAAATATCTGAGCACTTCACATGATATACTGTAAAGTCACGTGACTGTGGTATCGTATGAGCAAATTGTTAATTGTGGATCACTTTTTTTTGGTTCAGCTGCTTGTCCGACACATGCAGAAATCCAAACCAAAGTGAGAATTCTGTGCATCTCATCTACAATTCCAGAGACAAGATCGTGGAAATGGAATGGGCACTCCCTCCTTGGAGGGACACATCCTGTTTACCTAATTCCAGCAAATATTGGGCACAGTATGGCAGGAGCCAAGGCTTGGGGACCCCAGAGTGTGTGTTGGGGTACTGCTGGAGTCTAACCAGCTAAAACCGCATAGCTTGCCATCAATAGCACTATCTGGCAAGCTTTCCCACTGCTTGTTCAACCAGGACCACCCTATCTGTTAGGGCTTTGGCTTACAGGATGAACAGGAGCCGATTGTGAGGATTCCCTGTACCCAGTGACTGGTCTGCCCTTCCATTATAAAATTACAGCTTTCTCTGCAGCACAACCGGAGTAACTGGGTAAACTCTCATATGTAGTACATCTGACATTTCAATCATCATTACCTGTGATACATCTAATCTTTTAAATCGGCTTAGTAGCCTCAAAAATGACATTGTTCTTTTAAATCACTGTGCACCCATGAGAGGTGACTTATCCCCTCAGTATTTAACAACTTACAACTTTTTTCCACACTCTGGTATAAAGACAATTTCAATGTGTTTGCTCATTACATTTTAAAATTATGATGTATGAGATAAGTTTTAGCAATGGAGCAGAATATTTTCAGGGAGGATAGGAAAAGAATTAACATAGACAATCAATCAGCCTACGTGACAGTCACAAATTTATTTGCCACAAAAAAATAACATTTAACGGTAAGACTTCTGGTAACGGGCACGGGCACCAGGTCCACCAAATTTCTTTGCTTCACAACGACGAGGATCAGCAACCAACAGGGTCCTGTCATACTGAATGAGAATGTCCTTGATCTCCTTCTTGGAAGCTTCATCCACATCTGTAGAAAGTAAGAAAATATTTGAATTAATCATTAAATGTTTTTAAAAAATAACATAACATGTAGGAGCAGGAGTAGGCCATTCAGCCCTTCGAGCCTGCCCCGCCATTCAATCATGGCTGATCTTCTAATCTAACTCCAGCTAATAACCTAACCCTGCCTTATCCCCATATCCCTTAATCCCTTTTACAGTAAGAAATCTATCTGTCTCAGTCTTGAATATGTTCAAGGACTGAGCGTCAACAGCCTTTTGGGGTAGTGAGTTCCATACATTCACCACCCTTTGAGTGAAGAAGTTCTTCCTCAACTCAGTGCGAAAGGGCTGGCCTCTGATTTTAAGGTTGTGACCCCTGGTTTTAGTTTCTCCATCCAGGGGAAACAATCTCCCACTATCTACTCTCTCATCCCCTCTAATTCTTCTATATTCTAGAGAATATAGGCCCAAATTGGTCAGCCTAACCTCGTAACTCAACCCCTTCATCCCTGGTACTAACCTAGTAAATCTACGCTGCACCCCCTCCAAGGCAAGTACATCCTTCCTTAAATGAGACCAAAACTGGACACAGTATTCCAGGTGTGGTCTCACCAGGGCCCTATACAGTTGCAGCAAGACTTCCCTACTCTTATACTCTAATCCTTTCATAATGAATGCTAACATACTGTTAGCCTTCCTAATTGCTGCTGCACCTGCAGACTAACTTTCTGTGATTGGTGTACAAGGACACCCAAGTCCCTCTGGACGCTAACACATTCCAATCTCTCCCCTTCTAAAAAATAACCCGCTCTACTGTTTTTGCTACCTAGGTGGATGTCTTCGCACTTCCCTACATTATACTTCATCTGCCACCTACCTGCCCAATCACCTAACTTATCTATGTATCTATATATAAGGGAGTCGTTTCTCAAAAAGTGTAAAACCAAAAGGCTAAAAACTTACATTTCTGGTAATAGGCAACCAATGCTTTGGAGATGGATTGACGGATGGCTGTTGAAGAAAATAAACATAAGAACATAAGAAAGGCTAGATGAAAAAAGACCAAGGTCCATCTAGTTCGCCTTCCTGGTGATCACAATGCACATATATCCCGAACTACCTATGTACAATATCCCATGTTATTTCCTAAACATTACATTATACACCAAAGGAAAACTAAATATTGTATTTGATGTCAGTTTTATCAAGTCATCAAAACATTTATTGTCTATTGTAGTGACAGTGTATTTGTAGGCAAAACCAGCAGTCAATATGCACACAGTAATGTCCCAAACAGCCATTAAGTAAATGACCAATTTTATCTGTGGGATTGCCGGCCGAAACGCAAGAGAAATTCCATTCTCTTTTCAAATAGTGCCATCGGATCTTTAATGTCCACCTGAGCAACCAGACAAGACCCCGTCTGAAGGTTGGCAACACTCCCTCCAATGTTGCACTGTACAGTCAGCCCAGACTATGAGCTCAAAGTCCCAATGGAGGGCTTGAACCTACAACCTTCTGACTTAAGAGGCAAAAATTCTGTCAACTGAGCCAGGCTGATACCAAAATAACCCAGTATCAAAATTATTTACATAATTTATGACATTGTTACCTACCATAAATTTGAGCCACATGACCACCACCCTTCACACGAACTCTGATGTCAACACCAGCAAATCGTTCCTTGCCCAACAGAAGAACTGGCTCCAACAGCTGTGAATAATAAAAAAAAAGTATTAAAACAACTAAACTTACTATTTACAGTAAATGTAGCACATAACTACTCCCCTTGCAGGGTCCCAATTTTCCAGAGGTAAATTTGCAAAATGTGCAAGTACATATTGCAGTGCTAGATGGTAATTGTTCCAGGGTAATAGACAAAAGACAAAACCATTAAGAGAGCGCCAAAATATAAAGACACATACACTCACTGTGTGTATGTATGGGGAGGGAAAAGAGTCAGCATTGTTTGGGGAGCCAACATTGTTTAAGAAAAAGAGAGACATCAGGCTCTCTACCACACAAGTAGTGGTACAATTTTGAAAGTATTAATTGAATATCTACTTAAAAAGTAGTTCAGCATCATAAACTAGCAGCAAACCAATTGTTGAGACCTCCAAATATCAAATGTATGCTTTTAAGGTCCAATATTATACTGATACGTGATCAATGATATTCCAGGTCTTAGGGTAGGTTTAAAATAATGAAGACCCCCAAACTAGTTTCAATTTCACATAGACCACTCAGAACAAATTGCAGACATCTGTATTAAATATTTACTGCTTCTGGAATATTCATTCAAATTTGTTCCACGTTTCAATTTGGAGTTTACAATTTCCAATAATCTAATGCATACATGTCCTATCAAGAACAAGAAACAATAGCTAACTCTCCAAGTTTTGAAACTCAAACAGTAACAGACCAAATGTATTTATATCCCCTTACAACCATCCGTCACAAGGGGTGGAACGAATGATGGTCATATGAAAGACCACTCACTTTGTACTGCAGAGTTCGTGGCTCAATCTGGTCCAGAGGCCTTCCATTCACTTTGATAAGGCCATTCCCTCTTTTACAGTGGGCAACAGCAGTTGCTGTTTTCTGCAAAACAAGTTAAAAAAGATCACGAGCAGATTCTTCTACGGTGTGTTCATGAATAACACTCTCTATTATTAGAGTCATGGTCAAACAATGCATCATGAACGCCAATATTGGACAATTTCATCGATGATTTAATTCAGTTACCCACGCCTGAGACACATGAAGTACAAAGGCTGCAGTTCTGGACACTAAACAGGGCACTTTAGGATGAAATGCATGTCCTTCCAGCTTGTGAAGCCTTTCAACAACCTCCCTGTTTTACGAAGGCCCCATTTCCCTTCCTCGGCAAACATGGGAGGCCGACAATCAGGGCTACAATTCTGGAGGCAGCTCCAGTCAGTCAGTCTCTGTGGTAAATGAAAGGGCCTAAAAATCAGCGACAGCCACCATTAACCCATGGGGTGAGTGAAGCGAAGGCAAGTGATGCGAGGCCCCGACCCACCGGGCAGTCACCCGGGGTCACCCAACCCGAGCCAGACGGTCTCGGCTGGGTGTCTCCGGCTGTTGACAGGCCGTCGGGGCCCAGGCGGCTTCGGCAAATCAGGCCTTCTTCCCTCCCCTCGGTGCAGGGCCTCGGCTGACAGGCAATGGCGAGGGGGTCGGGCAAGTGGGCCACGTTAGCCAATTCCCGGCCGGCCTCGACTCTCCCTTCCACACCCTCCCCCTTCCATCTGCCCGCCGCTCGGGCCTCACAAGATGGTGCTCCCATGGGGGGAGAGGGGGGGGGGGGGCGGAACTTCCCGCTCTCGCCCGGCTTACTCGGCGCTCCCCCGGGTGAAGAACGACAACCCGAGGGCGGGCGAGCGACACACTCCCTTCCGGGTGAGAAGGAAACCCGAGGCCCTGGGTGGCCCTGTTTGGGCCGCGGCGCCGGCCTCGCCTCGTGGTTCAGGCGGACCCTCGAGCGTGTCGACCGAAGGGGTTAAAGTGCTGACCTTACGCCCGAAGACCTGCACTGACTGAAGGGGACCTTTGGCCGGCATCGTCCTGCAGAGACAGAGAGAGGGAGAGAGAGTGAGGGAGAGTGACGGTTACTGGCCGTTAATGACCGTTGCTGTCGCGCGCGCGCCGCCTCAGCCCCGGAGCTCGCGCGGCTCACCTCCTCTGCTCGCGTTCGCCCACAGCGAAAAGAGCGAACGGGGCTCCCCTCCCGCAACAGCACGGGCTGTCCTTTCGCGACACTGCCGTAAAGCTCGCCTGTCTGACGCGCGACCCACTTTACCGGATTGGGCGGGTTCACGCCCGACTTGGGCGGGTGTTGTTCTGTGGTCCGTCCCCCCCGTGAGTGATAATAAATGCATAATATTGGGCTACTTTTGGGCTCGGTATTTGGGCGGACCTTAATGATAATAATCCTTGCATTTGATATAGCGCTTTTCACGTCACGTCGGGAGGACGTCCCAAAGCGCTTCACAGAACACACTGTAAAGTGAATTGACTGTATATATTTGTGGGCGAACGCGGCAGCCAATTGCGCACAGCAATGTCCCGCAAACTGTCGTAGATTGAAAATGACCAATTTATTATTATTTTGGGTTTTTGGAGGGATTATCATTAGGCTCTGTGTGGAGTAAGGAAACTTGCCCAAGATTTCGCCCTCTGCCTGGAATTGAACTCAGGTCTCTCGCTTGCAAAGCGAGTGCTCTAATCACTGAGCTACAGAACTCCACAATTTGGTTGATTGGCGGATCGGTTTTCCAGGGGTATTAATCCCTTACAAAAAAAATTGGTCACTCAATCCACGACTGTTTGTGGGACACAGCGGTGCGCAATTGGCTGCTGCGTTTCGCCCCCACCAAATATACAGTCAATTCACTCCACAGTATATTTCTGTGAACCGTTTTGAGACGTCTCGAAGATGTGATAAGGCGCTACCATCAAGTGCAAGGATTATTATTGATCATTGTACTGTTAAATGGGTTCGCTGTGTATTTTGTGGGCAAATCGCGGAGGCGTTGCACACATTAATGTCTGACATACAGTCATGGTGTGAGTGACCAGTTTTATTTGGGGGGATTTGTTGGCCAGGACAATTCTAAGAGAAACTCCCTTTTCTTTTTGAATAATATCCACCTGGACAGGCAGACACGACCTTGGTCTGACGGCAAAGGACGGCAACTCCGACAATGCAGCAAATCCCTCACCCCCACCTAGTACTGAATTGGACTATCAGCTTAGACTATTCCAAGTCCCGACGTCAGACTTGAACCCACAACCTTCTGACTCAGAGGCGAGAGTGCTACCACTGTACCAGGCCAACACACGGTTTTTGTTTTACTTGCTTGTAGCAAAGTGCTCCCGCGGCTCAGGAATGCTCCACTAACCGGTGGTTGATGCAGAATCCATGAAAATCTTCCATGTAATTGATATAACACCTTGTCATGTCATCGAGACATCTCAAAGCACTTCACAGGATTTTATGGTCAATTGTGGTGACTGTGTTTATAGACGAACATAGCAGTTTTTTTTGAATGAGAATCGAATAATAATGTTTGCTTTTGCCACAGATTGCCCACAAGATACAGTCACTACACTTTATAATAAATTCTGTGAAACGCTTTGAGACACCCTCTTGACATGAAAAGGATTATTCATATTATTATGATTATCATTATATATTGTGACAATTTGGGGCAAACAAAGATGGACCACACTAGTCTTTTCCAGCCCTGTATACTCAAATTCAACAGGTGACTAACTTTACAATTACTCTAATGTAGTTTGTCTTTTCAATGGGTCGCTATATTTCACTTTTGTAATTCTGTTGCGGTGTCTGTAAAAGAAAGCATTTATTTTATAGCATTCTGCCCACAAGATACACAGTTAATTCACTTTGCGGTATATCCCACGAAGCACTTTTAAGACATCTCAATGACGCGATAAGGCTCCGTATCAAATGCAAGGATTATCAATTTTTTTTTAGAATTTTCTTACGAAGTAATTGGAAGACAGGTGTTATTACCACTGCTACTGTATATTCTTTCAATCTACCGACCACAATAAAGCTGAGATGCAACTCAAACCCACTGGCTCCCCACCTCCAGCAGATTGTGTTCAGCATCCTCATCCTTCCACAGCCTCACTCCAACCCCCTACCTCTGGGATGATCCCTTACCACTCTGCAGCTCTGTGGGCACTCAGCAAAATACTACCAACCTTCTTCGTGATCCACACCCGACTTGCACCAGGTCGTTAATTGAGCATTGAAGCCATTCTGCCTCACTTCTTTAGCACTCCATCCCGGAGTCACTTTGCCTCATCCCCTTCCCTGCCTTTAAAGCCTATCTATTTTTTGGGGGAACCAGAAAGCAAAGGTTGTCCTTTGCATGAACCCAGCACCTCTCTGCATGGAGTCACAGGGATCAAATGGCACAGAGGCTGAAGCGCACGGGACAAACGTGCAGTGATTAACTGCGCTGCAGAGAGAGGGAGAGGGGGGTATCCCTTTGCCGGACGCTGCGTCCGTGCAGACCACCACGTCGGTGGGTGGGTGTGTGGGGAGGAGGGGGGGTGTTGATTTATCTTTCAGGTTGCACCTCTCATCACTGCTGACCAGGCAAAGAAAAAGAAAAGCAACGCAACCGATCCTCTGCATTGTGTGTGTGTGTGTGTGTGTGTGTTCCCCACTTTCTGCTCTGGGGGTGTGTGTGTGTGTGGGGGGGAAAAGGACTATCAGAGACCAGAGAAAAAAATTCCTGCTTTACATGGACCCGGACACTGGAGTACATAACGAAGAATTTTGGGGGGCAACGAAATGTAAGTGTTACAAACGAAAGAGTCAGCTCACTCCCTCCCTTGGTTTGGTTTTTGTTTTGCTTTTTTTTTCAGCCAAGTGTTCTTTCATGTTAAGTTTGCATTATTCATTGTGCTTTGATTCACCAGTAATCCAGAGAGGGTTAGGAATCTGAGCATCTGACAGTAACCAGAGATGTCACTGCGAAAGGCAACGCAAGTTGCAGCCCAGCAGCGAAAAGTTAAAAGAGAAACCCTTCTTCCTCCTGTGTGGAGAGTGCCAGACACCCTTTTATATTATATTATATTATTATTATTAATGTGCAACCTTGTGATCTGGAAAGAGCAGCTGAGATCAGTTGCACATTTTTTAAATCTGCAACAGTTCTGCCTGAAGAGGGGGAATGACTTATATTTAAACAGGACTTTCAGAAAATTAAGTGATGCATCAGGACTGATTGTGATATAACATGTCTTGCCATTTCTGTGCAATGCTCATTCTTGGGCATACCCATGTTCAATTTGATCAGGTGTTTATTACTGAAGATCGAGATGTTTTATTGTGTGTGAATGAATAGTCTGGTTCACTTGATAGCACTTTCAGAAGGCTGTGGATTCAAGCCACAGTCAGGTCTTTGAGCTCACATAGTCCAGGCCGGCACCCTAAAGCAGGGTGCTGAAGGTGTGCTGCATTGCTAGAGAGGCTGTCCTTCAGATGAGAAGTTTAAGATCCATTCCGCCTGTTCAGTTGGACATTAAAGATCCCATGCCATAATTCAAAAAAGAAAATGGAGTTTCTGCTAGAGTCCTGACCAACAATCTCCCAGATAAAATTGATCATTGACTTCATGACAGTTAGTGGGATGTTGTTGTGCACTAATTGACTACTGGATTTGTCTACAAAATAATCACTGCACTCTACAGCAAAATCAGGTGAAATGCTTTGATGTCCTCCCAATGTGAAAGGCGCTATATCAAATGCAAGGATTATTATATCCAAATGGAGTTTTGTTTTTACATATGCACGTCACTTAGACAGGGAAGTGATGTAAAGTTTTTACAGCCGTTATGGAAAGCTGGAAAAATATGAAGCAATCATTGGGGTAAAAATGTGGAATTTATAACACTCAGCTATTCGAAATGTAGATCAGCAATATATATATTATAATAATCTTGATCATCCGTGCATTTGATTTAGTGCCTTAGCATGTCACTGAAATGTCACAAAGTGGTTCACAGGATTTCACTGTAATGTGCAGTGATTCTGTTTGTAGATGAACAAAGCAGCCAATTTGCACACAACAATGTCCCACAAAGAGCCAGAAGGTGAATCATTTTTTTTAGCTGTATGCATGTGTGGGGGAGAGGGGAGTTATTGGTTAGTATACCAGGAGAAACCCCATTCAGATTTCCTTATTGCTGTAAATAAATCTGGCTGTGCCTTTTTTTTAAAAAACAAACAAGCATATATTTTTCTCCCTAACCTGTTGGTCTCTGTATCACCTGCTATCAGGCCTCTGCTAATGCGTGTCTTGAATAAGCTGTCAATAGTAGGCATCTGAGAGTACTCTGGGGTGCCTGACTCTGGGAGATTTTATTTATTTTCGGAATGAATGCTGTGGGTTGTTGAGGCAGAGTCCATAAATTCTTTTTCAAGTTTTAGGAAAAGAAGGAATCTTAAAGATAAAAGGGTGTGAGCAGGAATGTGGGATCAGATTATATGGCTCATGTGAAGAAAAACACTAGCATAGGTTTAATGGTCCATAGGCGCTGTGTTGTAACAATCCTCTTCCTATAGGGAAATATCTGACCTTTGGTTGGGATCTATTTATGGTGATCTGGCTGATAACAGGTGTCTGTCTCTAAGGGGAATTGAAAACACAATCCCACACTTTGCTATTGTGCTGCACAGCTAGCCTTTAGGTTATCGACACCCAGAAAATACATCTCTGCCTGACTCACCAGGCCCCTGAGGTGTAGAGTGACCTGCTATTTGGCCTTTGTCAATGTCTCTTTGGAATGAATGACAAACAGGTTCACAGGGGCAGTTTGTCTGACTATCCCTATCAGAATTGTAGTTTAAAATGCCTTTAAAGAATTTTATTTCTGCTCAACCTGTCTTTCTGCCGTTCACTCTCTGTCCTAACTCCTTCCACCCGCTACCAGCTCCATTCTCTCTTCTTCTCCACTGTCTTTCTGAGCCTCTGGGTTCCACTGTTCATTTTGCAGCTGGGAATGACACCATAAACATTTATGTTTAATTAACTGAAGAAGAAATCCAATGTCTTTTGTTTTATCCAAATGTGGGTCAGCAGAGTAAAAGACTCCATTGGTCAATATCAAAGATGTGTCAATTTCAACTCTTGTCCTATTTTTCAGCATTAAATACCAAACATTACCACTTAAAGATTTGTCTATCTTGTCAGCATATTACACTGAGGGTTACTTAAGAGAAATAAGAACTCTTATTTGCAGCTTCGCTTGGTCTCCTATTTATAAACCTAAGAGCCTAATTTACTACATTACAGGGTGCTTGGACTGAACATTCCTGCCTGTGCAATAGCAGTGGCCATAATAGCAGTAATTCTTGGCATTTACCTGCTTCCTTCTCCAATAGATCCAGAACCTTTCATGTAAGTACATGTCTTTAAGGGAAGTGTGTAGTTACATTTCTTCTCCTCACTCCCCAATTTGTATCTGTAACCCAGAGATTAATATAAATGACTAACATTGCAAACAGATTATAATGTTACTATATTAAAAATAGTTATTTGAAACTTTCGAGAGGTTTCAATCCCTAGTTTTCACTGTCATCACAAGATTGTAAGGTTGGTTTGGGCGAATAAGGCATTTTGATCTATCTGATCTCGTACAACAGGCTGAACCAACTAGAACGAACTAGACCTATTTTGCTGCCGGTGAGCCACTATTCTCTATTAAAGCATTTCTTTGTTATTTTATGCTAGTTTTGAAAAGCCACCACCAGCACTTATTGGACCATTGCAGGTCAACCAAAGGCTCCATCAGGCACAGAGGCTCTTTTCTGGACTACTGAAAGGACCAGAGTCATTTGCTGCAGATAGCAACGGTAACTAAATCGTTTCAATTTTACCTATGTCAGGACTTTGATCTAACAAGTTAGGCTGATCTTCCAGTGCAGTGCTGGATGAGCATGGCATTCTCTGAGATGCTGTCCTTTGGATGAGATATTAAACTGAGATCATCTCCATCTGTTCACGGGAGTGTTAAAGATCCCATGCCATTACTCAAAAAGAGAAGATAGTTTAGGCAAAAGCAGCAGCCAATTTGTGCAGAGCAATATCTAGTAATAAAAACAACTTGTAGTTTGTGGGCATTTTGCCCACAAAATACACAGTCAATTCACTTTACATTATAATCAGTGAAGCGCTTTGAGACGTCGTGAAGATGTGATAAGGCGATATATCAATTATTATTATAGCTCCCTTCACAAAGTAAGATTTGTGTATTTAGGAGAAAGAAAAATTGGGCAGCAAGAAGCCAAAAACTTTGATGAAAGGGAGATATATTGTATTTAGATGCTTACATTGGTGGGGATTTTTTTTCTCTTAAAGCACTTTGATAACTATATTGGAACAAATCACTGCCTTCAACCTTGTATTTCCCGGTATTTTGGTTTCAGGTGATGTGTACACAGGTACAGTGGATGGGAAACTGTGGAGAATCCATGATAACCAGTTGACTTTTGTTGCTCAGATGGGTCAAGATGTCTCGGGCTGTGGTGAGTCAATGTGACAGATTATTAAAAGTTTCAGTGAGGTAATACATTATCTAAACCCCCCGTGACTGAGGATGTTCTTGGGATGCAAAGTTCAATAGAAGATATTAAAGAATAAATACAGATAACATGAAGCAAAACCAAAACTATAACATTTAAAAAAGAGAATCTAATTTCTTAAAGTGGCAACTCCAAAAATGATCAATATTGCATCTTAATGTTTAAAGTTTTAGTGTGGTGATATGTGTAAGTATTTTAGGAATGGTACATCTATTAAGATTAATGAAAAACATTAGATTGTCAGATTCAGTACTATCAAAGTATTGGTTCCAGGAAAATGTTATGAATATACTTTTTAAATTCTGAATGCACTCATTTTTCATTTGACTTTTTAACAAATATATTAACTATGTGATACTAATAAGAACAAATCTGATCCTAGGCTCTACATCTCCAGTTTGACTTTATATTCTGATCTCCAATGATATTAAATATTGATCTTATTCCACAGAGATTGACTCACTTTACAAATACTATAACAGTGCAATTTATTAACCAAATTAAAACATATGGGCTGTAATTTAGGTAAATATTTCCAGACTGAACTGTCATACTGAGATATGCTTATATGTATTTACAACACAGACTTTCTTCTTTCCATTCCTGATCTTTTTACCTGATTAATAAGTTGAGATTGGGAACTTAAAAGTCTGAAATAGGAAATGTATCTCTGGTAAATGTCATCCAAGACTTGGCTTGGACTTCAAACATTTTCCATTCAGCTATTATCCTGCCAACCTTCAACTTAGGTTTAGTCAATATTTTTCAAAGTTTTTTTTAGCTATAGCTGCAAATGCCATACATTGCCTGGGTCATTACACTTTTGTAATTTGACTAAAATATCTAGATAACTGCCATAGCCTTTACACTTAGAACACAGGGATAGATATTAACTAAAAAACGTTCTATCTCCTTGTGCTAGGTAGTTTTGAGAGTGAGGCTCTTTGTGGCCGGCCTCATGGAGTGCGGTTTGATAAGGATGGCTACCTGATTGTGGCAGATTCTTACTATGGCCTTTACAGAGTTCATCCGTTGACAGGAGAAAAATCCCTGCTCGTCTCAAACAGTGAAGGTGAGTTAAATAGCACAGAACTGCTCTCTAGGCTGTTTCTACTGCTGTGTTATAATTTCTGTCTGAGGTGTCACAGTCAGTCATTTTTATTCTCCTCCATTTGTGGCTTATGTTAAACTTTTCTGTTTCTTCCACCATAACCCAAATCCTGTTTATTGTTCCCCTTGTCTGGTAACAAAGAACGTGTAAAGCAAGCAACATGTACGCTTCATTAAGCACTCTGAGTCCTACCCCATGAGAAAGATGTTATTTAAGTGAAAGTTGTTCATTTAATTGTTCCAGTAAAAGTATATTCCATCCCTTTAAGTGATCAGGAACTAGACTATTCAACCCTCATCTTGGTAATATCAGATGTTTTAGGGAATAAAGGTGTCAGCAATGGCTGTTTAGCTGGATAGATCTGAACCCAATAGAATCCAAAAGAGTTTTAAATTTACTCCATTACACTGGATCTTGTTAATTCAAAATGTATTACGGCTCTAGTGTAGTAGTGAAGCAGTTGCAGTATAAAGAACCCGAAGAAGCTACTCTTGCAACCAGTTTAATTTAATCAGCCTTCTCTCTTTCATCTGGCATTTTTATTTGTCCTTGAAAGGGCTTGATCTTTCCTTCTTATGCATCTTTATCCCTGAAGATTAAGAAAATGTGCTATTGAACTCGTTAGTATCCCTTGTTCACATATTTGCACACATATCCATTTGGGAGAACTGCTGTGGGAGGACTCCTGTTGAGAGGACTCATTGGAAGGCCTCAGTGGGAGGATTCCTGGTTGGGAGAACTCCTGACACATAGACAGACATTTCATGTTTATTAGTATAGATGTATTTCTTTAGAAGGGTGTATGACCTTTGTCACTACTTTGTTGCAGAATACCCATGCCTACCTTTTTGGGGCTTAATTAAAACATTTTTAAATATATTTTTTAATATAGCTCATCAACGATAGGAGATCCCTCTAGAATAACCATGACCCTCCCCCATGCAAGACCTTTCAGATGAGGTGTAAATCATTTCTCTAGATCAATCGGTTATTGCGTTCTTGGTGGACACACATACACACACACAGACATTTCGTCTTTATTAGTATAGATGAGTTTAATTCTTTTAATGAACCAAAGAAACCTATGTTAAAATACACAAAAGCATTTTTTTACCCAAAGGGTAATCAACACCTGCAAAGTGTTAACAAGAAATCTGACAGCTATCAGGATACAGGACACGTTTTAAGGTTGAAGCTGTAATGGGAAATACTTAGGGTGGACATTCTGGAAGGATGAATTCAAATGGCTCAATATATCTTCATCCAAACCTCTTCTCTGATCAAGCAGTAATTCAGATAAATGGTTAAAACTGACATACACGAACAACGTTGGTACACAAAGCGCCACCCAATGGTTATCATTCGTACTTATACACAAATTGCTATTCAACTTTGATATTCACAAAATTCACAACTGGTTTCATGATGTACATCAACCTATGAAGGTCCCAAATTCAATGCCACATTTGGGACATTTATTGGTATATATTTAGTGAATATTTCAATATTTCATGCTTATTTTAAAATATTTATAAGTATAATGGATAAGTGTATGCTGCACTCTTATAGACCTGTGTTATTATATTTTTGTTACACAAACTTTTACAGTTTTGCATGTTATATTCAGATGGCAAAAGCATGTGAAGAAAGCGCATAGAAAACATATAGTATCTATAAAGTTCTGGTTCATGATTAACAATTGTTAATGGATATAAAAAATGAATCTTCTTTTCTTGCATTTGCAATCTATCTACAGAGGTTTGGAAATGCTATTTTTCTTCTGTTCTTGACCCCTCTTGCCATTCAGATGGATAAAATTTTATATTTTAATATATGGTTCGTTAGAAATCTTTAGCTGTGCGTGTTTATAATATTACAAATGTAGTTGAACATTGTGGCTGAAATGCTGGTAACAGGAATGTGCTGCCTATTCAGTAGTCAAGGAACATGTGGAAGCAGGAAATGGGGCCCTGTTACACGTGCCGGGTGTTAAGACTGCATGCTGACACTGGTGAATCACAATCTGGGCATTGAAGAGGCACAAAGTGAATGTAGAACACCTCTTAACATGGATAAAGGGCAACTCTCAGCTTGAATCAGTCAGGGTCCCCTCACACTCCAGTCCTCGTGATGGATATGACAGCAGCAATGCTGAAATATTTATTGAAGTATAATGCTGTACAAACTGAGTAATGGATGCTTTGCCAATTGCGATGATCACAGAACAGACGATGGATTATAATGGGAATTTAAGGTTGATGACAGTTTGGACTGTTGTAGCTACATTATTGTAGCTGCACTTCAAAAGTAATTTGTTTTGTGAAGTACTTTGAGCTTGTTTTTTCTGAAATCCATAGAACCGGGACATTTACAGCACAGAAGAAGGCCAAGTGGTCCACTTGTCAATATTTAGCCCTTTAATATTTATCTGTATTTAATATTTAATGGCTGGAAATGTAGGTTCAGAAGTTCTTGTTCCAAACCCGCTGATTTGAATAAAAATTTCGTGACTGTGTTAAAACATGTCTTTTCTCCTGCAGGTGCAGATGGAATTCTTTTTAAGTTTCTCAACGGATTAGAAATTGCCAAAAATGGAACCATCTTTTTCACAGATTCCAGCAGTAAATGGGGCTGTCGGCATCACAGATACGAGGTAAGGACCTGAATTTTTTTCAGGTTCCTATGTAGCATGTCTGACCTCTGCTGAGTTTACTGGGAGCCAGTAGGAACATTACAGTGGACCTCAGCACAATTAACCAGAAAGGGGAAAATAAAAAGGAAAGGTTCCTGCTTCGAATAACTATGTAGTGATCTTATGCTTATTCTTATAACTATTCCATTGTAAATTTAACTAATTTATATGAAGAGTAATCTCAGAGAATAGATTATTAAAATAAACTAACAATCTACATTGTTCTTATCACGTATGTATCTAATACTAAATACAAGATTTGTACACTGTATAGCTTTTGGAAAAGGAATAGAAAATCTGTTTTGGGGAGGTTCAAACCTTTAAGGCACTTTCATTGCCCTTTGTTAAACTGTACTGATTTAAGTAACAGAGCACTGTGCTTCTTTAGGTGATAGAAGCAAATCATATGGGGCGTCTGCTGGCGTATGATTCTTCAAGTCAGAAAGTAAGGATGGTACTGGATGGCCTGTACATGGCAAATGGACTTGCCCTGTCGCCGGATGAAGATTATATATTAATAGCAGAGACGAGCGTATGCAGAATTATACGGTGAGTGGATTTCATCCTGCTTCTCTGAATGCTTTGCAGGGTGCATTTGTACCATAGAACCACTCCAATTAGAAATGGCTGAGCGGGCAATGCTGTGGAATTAGCCCTTGTTCGTTGCGTAATAATGCACAGCACAGTTGTAACAGGCAAATGCGATGTTACATGTCGTGCACATTTCTTTGGGAAGGTCTGCGTAGACCAGTGATCAGGATACCTATCATTGACTTACATAGGCTTATGTTTCTTTCAGTGGGTACCAGCAGCATTTACACTTCTGCTTTGCAAAATTGCTTCGAAAACCCTGAGCCAAGTGAGGTGATCTCTTTCCCTCTTTTACTTCATCGTGTCACTGCTGAAATCCCAGCTGCTCTTTCCCACAGCCAACAAGATATAATTCACCCAGAGAATTGAATCTTCATCTGTAGATGTTAGCAGCCTTACCCGTTGCAAGAATAGACTGTGAATAAATATTTTATCTGACTGACTGTACTTCCAACCTCTATATCTAGTAAGATGTTGGTGACGTTATTGCTAAATATTCATCCTGTTGGATTAAAATTACAGTTACTGGCTGAAGGGACCCAAGACTGGTACGAAAGAAATCTTTGCTGATAACCTGCCAGGCTACCCGGACAACATACGACAGACCAAAGTCGGGACATATCGGGTTGGTCTCACAACAACTCGCCTTTCCAGCTACATTAGACCTTTCCTGGACATCCTGGGGCCTTATCCTATGTTGAAGAGAATTGTTGCCAAGGTAATAATTACTTTATTACATTGTTACCATTATGCTTCAAATAAAAATGCAATGCCACCAGCTGCTTATGAAAGCATGGTTCAAAATATCTTTTGATATTTTATAAATTTTTCTCCTCCTCCCTGAAGCATTGCTTCATACTGGAATATGGTTCCAAAGGTGCTGGCTGTCCTCCAATACCTTGCCCAAGTGGTCAGTACCATATAATAATAAATAAATAATAATCCTTGCATTTGATTTAGCACCTTATAACATCTTCGAGACGTCTCAAATGCTTCACAGAATATATTGTAAAGTGAATTGACTGTATATAATAAATGAATAATAATCCTTGCATTTGATATAGCGCTTTTCACGTCTTCTCGACGTCTCAAAGCGCTTCACAGAATAGACTGTAAAGTGAATTGACCGTATATTTGTGGGCGAAAATATTATGTAAGCATAGAGAGTGTGGACAGGTTATTCAATTGTGAGGGACATTCATTGATGTTTTAATTGATAATATGGCACACATAATAGTTATTATATATAGCATTCTTCATATAGTTTATATATATATGTAATATACCATATTTTTCTGTCTTTTCAGGTTACTCCACTGTCATTTTACACTGTTTTTCTTCACAAATATGGATTACTCCTGGAGCTTAATGACAGAGGACAGATTGTAGACAGCTTCCATGACCCAAATGGCACAGTCACATGGGCAATCAGTGATGCGTTTGAGAACAATGGTAAACTGTACTTGGGCAGCACAGACCTGCCATTTCTGGTTGTGCTGGAATTGCCAGACTAACCTGTGCTGCACGTCAACACCCTGTACGTCCTCATTGACCTCATGTGGAGTCCTGTAGCTCAGTGGTTAGAGCACCCGCTTTGCAAGCGAGAGATCTGAGTTCAATTCCAGGCAGGGGGCGAAACCTTGGGCAAGTTTCCTTACTCCACACAGAGCCTAATAATAATCCCTCCAAAACCAAAAATAATAAATTGGTCATTTTCAATCTACGACTGTTTGTGGGACATTGCTGTGCGCAATTGGCTGCCACGTTCGCCCACAAATATACAGTCAATTCACTTTACAGTGTGTTCTGTGAAGCGCTTTGGGACGTCCTCCCGACGTGAAAAGCGCTATATCAAATGCAAGAATTATTATTATTATGTGATTATAATGTATAATGATAAAAGTGAAGAGTCTATATTTTCCTACAAATACACAGTTGCTACACTTCACAGAAATGAAAATAATGAAGAAAATAATCCTTACACTCGATATTGTGCCGTTCATGTCAGGAGTATGTCTCAAAGTGCTATACAGGATTCACTGTTACATTTTGTAGACATTTTGTGAAGCGCTTTTGAGACATTTTTTGAATGTTTGGCATCATATTGAATGCTAGGATTATTTTAGTTATTCTTCTCAAATTAGGAGAAATTCAGACAATGACGGTCAAAAATGCATCAACTGACTTTAATGTGCATTTTAAAGTGAAGGGCAATAATTGATGCATTTGATATTGCCGACAATGGAACCATCCTTTTCACGTGGAGTCCTGTAGCTCAGTGGTTAGAGCACTCGCTTTGCAAGTGATCCCTCCAAAAAAACGAAACAATAATAAATTGGTCATTTTCAATCCATGACTGTTTGCGGGACATTGCTGTGCGCAATTGGCTGTCGCGTTCGCCCACAAATATACAGTCAATTCACTTTACAGTATATTCTGTGAAGCGCTTTGGGGCGTCTAGAAGATATGAAAAGCACTATATCAAATGCAAGGATTATTATTATATATAGCGCCTTGTTGAGACCTTTTGATGTGTTTCACAAGATTTTACTGTAATGTAAAGTGACTAACAGTGGGAGGACACGATTTAAGTAGCATGTGTTTTATGGATATACAGTCTTACACAACCTATGGCTATGGAAGAACTGTATTGTGATTAAACATAAGAATGAATTGATGTCTCATATCATATGCCTTATTGTAACATACTATTGAAATTTATTATAAAAGCAATTTCTCTGACACAGATGGGATTGGGCATAGATATACTGGAGGGGGGGATGAGGGGTTGTGAGTAGCAGTCAAGCCCAGTACGGACAGAAAGAAAGTTCAGTATACCAGAAAATTTCTGACCAGTGACAACTTGGGACATGTAATTTGTGACTGCTCTTGAGCTTTACCAGCCAGAAGATATAACTTGTGGTAACTTGTGGACAAAAGGCTCCCACATTGAAGATGGGGTAAGAACTTTCATTCTGTTTTCCTGAGAATTCAGGATAGATTACAAGGGCATAAGTGTTCAGAGGTAATGTGTCATCTCTGCTTAATAATGTGTACTTTTGTGCACATTTAAAGATGGGCCTCTAATTCTTTAAAATTCAAGGTACAGTCGAGAAGTATTCAAATGACAAAAAGTTTATCAAACTGATGAAATGTATATTAAAACAATTCATGAAAACAACAGTGAGCCATTCTTCCATTCTAAACGCCATGGGAACACCTCAGCAAGACTGGTTTGCATGTTTTTCCATCTTGAATTACAATACATTTTGTACAGAGGAGCATAAACCCACTTTAATAAGGAAATAACATCAGTTCAAGTGAGAAGTAGTTTATTAATAAAGTGCAGGACTGAATCAAGCCATCGCATTCATGTATCACAAGACTACAATCAAGGGCACTTTAGTTATCTTTGGAAAAAAATAGGAAATCTTAATTCATTCATCTTGAAGGTACAGATAATGTTTTGCAAGCCTCGCAGCACTACAACGCTGTACATAAATTGTTACTCAAATTCAGAAATTAAATTCATTCTAACATAGTTTAACACTGATAATGCACGATTTATAATTAAGACTTGAAAGACTGATTTACAGATTTTTTCTAAAGCAATGATAAAAACTAAAGTTTCCTTTCCCTTTAGGTGCACGGTTATACAATATTTATTGTAGGATCGATCATGCACCTTTAGTAGGCACACCACAGAATCAAAATGGCATTGTTAGTCTTCTAATCATAAAGATAAGCCCTGCAGGTGCACTTCATTTATTGATAGTACCCAGATCAAGCTAGCAGGTAACAATCCACATGAAAGATCACAGTGGTGTTTGATTGCAGAACATATTTCTTTAAAAATACAAGGATGAAATACAGCGGTTCATGGTTTTATACAATTCTCCAATTCATCTTCAGAGTATTAGTCACGTCTCTGGAGATGTTTGCATATACTAGAACACTGTACCCAAGGTATCGATGAAGTTTACAATAAAAAAGAGTGATATTGATGCCCAAAATCAAATAGGGAACCTCAAAGATTTCAACAAGTGCTACGCTAGAGGCATTTTCTCAACCTATACCTAGGATATGGTTATAGTCAAAGTACTAGCTTTTATGGCTTTGTTTGCATTTCAGATAATTCACATTTTGTTGCTGAGACATTCCAACCAGAATGTTTTGATGTGTATAGTGTCTTACATGACCAATCATGTAATCAGCACAGAACATCTGGATGTGGAAACTAAAAAAATATGGAAACCATGAACAAGACTGATATTCCGGTGGATGATGCAATATTGCTGGATTCACTCAATAAACTGGCTCCGATTTGGCCACAACTTTTCACTAAACCAACAATGGATGAGCAAAGGTTGCTGTACAACCAACAAGGCTGATATTGGCTATAATTGCTATCTTATGCAGCTGATTGCGATTGCCAATCTGATTTAAAAAGCATCATTCTAAAATGGGAATAAGCAAAAGTAGTCATTGGAACAAAAAGTAGAGTGGGGGAAACAAGTACAAAAGAGCACAGCTCCACGGACTTTAAATGCATGTGTCAAAACAATACAGCTTTGATCCTTTTAACATCCTTCAGTGCAACATATTAAACCAACCATTGGTGAGAAGTTCTAATGCATAAAAAACATTCCTTTAAACAAAAGACACGCAAAGCAGAGCTTCACAAAATATTTGGGATGCGAATTATACAATGACAAGTTTAACTTCAGGACAACGTGCTTATTAGTGAGAATAACAAATGCAATTCTAGCTAATGAATACTGCTGATGTGTGTCAGAAACTTGTCAGTAATAGCATTTTTGGAACCTTGAAGTTACATGGAACACTGATAATGTTATTTTAACTGTATAGCAACACTAGTGATCAGTGGGGGGAGGTCGCAGTACATGAAGGAGCTTATCAGCCTTTGTGGTGACCATGGAACGCCACGGAACAGAACTGGTATCTATTAAGCGTGCTTCTTTCCTGACATGAATTGTAGAAGATCTTTAGCGAGGAAAACTGGCCACAAATTTTCTTGACAATAAAAATCAGCGGAGTAAATGCTGCCGCCATTGTATCAATTAAAACACACGTTAATGCCATTTAAAATTGAAAGAATTAAAAAAAACCTGCTTCAAGAATCCAAAGGGTTTACAGGAAAACCAGTCTTACCAATTGTGGGCAGTAAAGTAGAATTCCCATTCATTTTCTAAGTGAGTCCATGTAAGGAGTGCCAAATGACCATGAACAATAAGTCACGAGAAGGAAGGAGGGTGTGTCACAGGTCACAGCTTGCAAAAGGCCTCACAAGATTTTATGGACTAATTTATGAGCATTGGGTCCATGATTGAACATAAGTTGAGGATCAAATTTGTACCTGAAAAAAAGTGACATTGACATTAGTGGTGCTTACGCATAGATCATAACTCATTGTCAATTAGATGTAAATATTCTCCATGTGGTGAACCAGTTCACCAAGCAGGCAATGCAAAGTTATTCAGAAGTAAAGTTATGCAAATATCCTGTAAGAGGGCCTCGTCTTTAGGAAAGTAGCAATAAACGGCTGTATCACATTAGCTTAAGATGTTGAATTCCTGAACAAAACGTGCCCTACAAGAAGTACAAGCTCCAGGTTAAGATCTTGTACAGTAACATGGCTACTACAGACCACAAGAAAGATACGAATGATGAATGAATACAATCTTTGGCCCATTGGATCTCATCCTTACAGAATACCAATCCTACATCCTTGGTTAGTTTCACATTACTATATTGAATGAATTAATGGAACAAAAAAATTCAACCTTAGGTTGCCGAATAAATGTATAAGGACAAATGGTCGAGAGTTTATACTTAACCACACTCTTATCAGTTACATTAAGGCCATTTCACATTCCCATTTGCCTCAGCCCGACTTACACTGCAGTTTGCAGGAAAGCCTCTCCTAACCAAACACATATCGCAATGGACAATGAATTCCATGCTGTACTGATATATGCCACATGATATATGGAATGGAATTAACAACAACAACAACAAGATTCCATTTATAGAGCGCCTTTCACGTCAGGAGGACGTCCCAAGGCGCTGCACAGTTGGGTCATGACCCGAGCAGGGGGGAAATGGTCAGGGTGAGGGGAGGGAAGGGAGGGAGAGAGGAGGGGGGAAATGGTCAGGGTGAGGGAGGGAAGGGAGGGAGCGAGGAGGAGGAAGAGAGTCGAGAGGGGAGCTGAAGGCACGGTCAAAGAGAAAGGTTTTGAGACCGGCCTTGAAGGAGGAAAGGGAGGAAGCAAGGCGAAGGCACTGGGGGATGGAGTTCCAGAGCCTGGGGGCTGAGAGGCTGAAGGCCCGACCACCGATAGTAGGGCGGTTGGGGCGGGGGACGTGGAGCAGACCGGAGCCAGAGGAACGGAGGGTACGGGCAGGTAGGTAGGGGGATAGTAGGTTGGAGAGGTAGGAGGGAGCAAGGCCGTGAATTAAATCTACATCCTACACTGGTACGAACATCATGTTGGCTCTGAAAGTTTTGTACTTAGATTCTAACAAGAAAGAGTTTGGTGGTTTTGTTTGAATGTCACAGTTCCATTAATTAACCACCAAGTGTGAGAATTACAACCGGTGTTACATAGAGGAACTCAGCAAGGAACAGAGAACTGCACATTAAACAGGTTGCTCAACCATAAATTTAGTAAGTAATTAGTGGTATTACTTGACTTCTGCAGTCTCTTGGAATGATTCGATACCCAGGCAGTTTTAAATCAATCTAAAAGTATCATTGTATAATTGAAGCCACTTGTATTATGATCCCCTCCAATAAGGATTATGCACTTTTATACACTCAATAGTTTGTGAAGAAATCTACCTCCAAAAAGAATTTTTGAAAAAAAATTGATGTTTATTAATAAGCTTCTAGTCAAATTTACAGTCCTGGCACCTTCCTGTAGACAATTTCAAATGAAATAGACACCATAGGAGTCCTGTAGCTCAGTAGTTAGAGCTAATAGTTAATAATCCCTCAAGAAATAAAAAAAATTTTAAAAAAGTTTGGTCACTCGATCCACAACTATTTGTGGGACATTGCTGTGCGCAATTGGCTGCTGCGTTTCGCCCACAAATATACAGTCAATGCACTTTACAGTATATTCTGTGAAGCGTTTCGAGACGTCTAGAAGACGTGAAAAGCACTATAACAAATGCAAGTATTTTTTTTATTATTTAACATTTACAATTGTTCCGTGTAGACAGTTTCAGTGAAATTAGAGCAAATGTATTATTTGCTGTAATGTAATACAATGGGTAATGCTCAACTCTTCTTCCTACCTGGGATCAAATACCCCTGGTGTGCGACATGTTGCTCCAGAACAAGATTGCAACATCATGAGGCGATGATTCATTTTCTCCAGTACCTCCTGATCTATGGATTTTGCTATATTTGTAATCTGGTGTGGGTCAGAGGTTAAATTATACACCTCCACAAATACCTAAATGGAAAGACAAAAAAATAAGTCTTGGAGGAACAAGTATAGCACGTCACACTTTCGTTCACCATGATTCAGAGGGGAGGCATTAGAAATTTTTGTTTGGGCACTTCACAATGCTTTCTTCAGCACATGCAATGTTTTAGAAATTCAGTAGCCAAAATGGCTAAGAAATACCCACAAATTAGAACCCAATGCCATGCTTACCACATGCAAGTTTGGTGACGTGAAATAAATAATAATTTAGTCAGTCAATCCATGACTATTTGTGGGATACTGGAATTGGCTGCCGCGTTTCGCCCACAAAATATACAACCAATTCACTTTACAGTATATCCTGTGAAGCACTTTGAGACATCTCGAAGATGTGACAAGAAGCTATCAAATGCAAGGATTACTATTATTATTACACCCACCTCACTATCATCAAATTCACAATACTGCAAATCAGCTGAACTGGAAATTGTTCTCACGCAGGCATACGTGTTATTATATGCATCTTCACAAACACAGTCAGGAAAACATTGCTGTGGGAGAAGGAGGATAAATTTAGCGATAACATTTACAACAACAACAAGATTACATTTGTATAGTGCCTTTCACGTCAGAAGGACCCTTTATTTGGAGAGAAAGCAATGTTTGAAGTTCAGAGAGGCTGAAACACAATTAAATCCGGTTTCTATTACAGAACTGAAGTTCACACTGCTGGATGTAAATATCCCTACACAGAGATGTTGAATGGAAAGTCCAATTCATAGTTCCCAATCTTCATTGCATTAATTGGGACTATTAAAAAAAAGCTAATATCTATTTTAGAAATCTCTGAATACACAACTAAGCTCCACCAGGAATTCAAAAAAAATCAAAGCAGTGATGCAACATTTTTTTTTAAAAATGGTACTTAAACTCTCTTGGATCATATATTGAATAATGTAAGAACTTCTAAGGAACCATTTGTGTGCAGATCAGGAAATCATTTGCATTCATTGTGTTTTTCAGCAGCTGTGACAATCAAGCGCGGGGGAAAGAAATATTTCCATAAGGTGCTCTTACCATCTTAAATGCCAATGTATATTATTGTTCAAATACAGCACAAGACTCACACCTGAATACAAAAACATTTAAGCAAATATTGAATACTGTAACTAACTAACTATAACTAACTAGTTGAGTCTGAAGCAGTTAATAACACTGCTATTTTTCAAACCCAGTTGATCAAACAGAGCTATTCTCCACAACAGGTTGGACCCGTACTGTTATCTCCCTCTCCTTGATACTCCACAAGGAAGTTTGTCCTCCAGGTTGTGTTCTGCTCCTTACCATTCTAAGGTGAAAACTTATTGGTTACAATCCAGGACTCAAGTGAGATTTTACAAAAATATGCACAACAGAATTGTATGTACACACTTGCTTGCGGCATATTTGGAATTCTGGCAACCATGGAGTTTGACATTTATCCAGCCCAGAGCGTCTCTTTAATAACCTTTAAAATTTAGCATTTCCCAGAGATTTAAAAGAGAATGAAGGAATGAGCACAGTGTGATTCACAACAGTATGTTAATGCTGTGAGGGTAAAAATCACATCCCTTTTCACATCACCTCCTCCAAGCTAATGTCAGGAACACAGCTCCAGCTTTGTTCACACTGTTTACAACCAGTTAGTACTGCAGGTTGACAGCAAGTCAGCAAATGTGCAGCATAAATGCTCCATTAATTGCTATTACAGTTACAATAGAATTCACATGGGAAACAAATAATTGCCATATAGGACTTTTTCCCCATACTTACTGTGACTCCAGGCCCCAGTGAAGGGCAGGTTGGATCCGTACTGTTATCTCCCTCTCCTTGATACTCCACAAGGAAGTCTGTCCTCCAGGTTGTGTTCTGCTCCTTACCATTCTAAGGTGAAAAGTGGAATTTATTCTGTCGTTGTACGATGGAGATTTCAAGTTGCAAGCAAACATCAGTAGCGCACAGTAGATATGGTGACTAGTAGACCAGTAGCTTTACCATCAAATAGCTGCAGATTTTTATATCAATTGTTTTCCTGTTTGACATCCTGCCATTGCATCAATACTGAATATATATGCGGTTGAGTGAACTCAACCCATAGGTTTTGAGAATAATATAATAATAATAATCCTTGCATTTGATATAGCGCTTTTCACGTCGGGAGGACGTCCCAAAGCGCTTCACAGAACACACTGTAAAGTGAATTGACTGTATATTTTTTGTGGGCGAACGCGGCAGCCAATTGCGCACAGCAATATCCCACAAACAGTCGTAGATTGAAAATGACCAATTTATTATTATTTTTGGTTTTGGAGGGATTATTATCAGGCGTGTGGAGTAAGGAAACTTGCCCAAGGTTACGCCCTGCCTGGAATTGAACTCAGATCTCTCGCTTGCAAAGCGGGTGCTCTAACCACTGAGCTACAGGACTCCACAAATGGGGTGGACATAGGGAAGAAAGGTTTTGACCAGGGGCCATCAATATAAAATAGTCACAAAAAGATCAAATAGGGAAGTTAGAAAAGATTTCTTCACAGAGAATAGTGGGAATGTGAAACATGCTACCACAAGGAGTTGTTGAGGCAAATAGCATAAATGTATTTAAGGGAAAGCTAGATAGATACATGAGGGAGAAAGGAATAGAAGGTTATGCTTGAAGGCTTAGTCGAGGAAGGACAGGAGGAGGCTCATGTGGAGCATAAACACTGGCATAGACCAGTTGGGCTGAATAGCCTGTTTCTGTGCTGTATATTCTAATGTATTCCAATGTAATGTATTCTAACTCAAATTCTATTCTCACTCCAGCATTGGCGCAAAAATTGCTTCCACGCAGTCATTTTTCTGTTAAATTATTTTCAACTAACCTACCAGCAAAGGTAAGAGAGACATGCCATCCATTTGAGTCTTGTGAATATCATAACCAGCAATATCCAAGAAGGTAGGAGCCAAATCAATATTTGCAACAAGCATCTGGAAGAGGAAGAAAACAACCTTTAAAAGGACTGCATACTAAACTAAATGGCCATTGATGGCATTCGGATTAAAAAGACATTGGCAATAAGTTCCACTACTGGTCAGAGTATTGATGTAAAAAAAACATTTCATATAGATGGACGACCCTTTCAACGCATGACCTTTTAAGGCCTTTTAAGCTTTACTCAATAGAATTTCGATTTTCAAATATTCTGCCTCAGATGCCAAATGCAGAAATATTTCTAGTCTGACATTTCCAGGCTGAATCAGGCCACAAAAATACCTTATTCCTTGTTCAGGCAAGAATCAGTTTGCCACATACCTTATTAATCATATTAGATTTGATCCCTGGTCCTCTCACAAGCAACGGCACTTTGATGTCAAATTCATATAGCTGTCGTTTGTCAATAGGCATAGAAAACTGACCTTGAGAATACATTAAAAAGAACATTATCAGTAATACAGCAGATATGCCTAGTTTGTATGTAGTATGTCTAGTGTACACTTAATCAATCTGTAAAGGGAATTTCTGTTCAAAGGACAATTTTTTTGGACTCATTGTGCAGTACAAAAGTACAAGCATAGAGCGGGCCAAAGCTTCTATTATTTTACAGAAGATAAGATTTGGGGAAGTAGCTGATGTACCAAAACACCATCATGAAGATGTAGGATATTGGCTCACAGATGCAATTAAAAACTACGATATTTCCGTCACAGCCACACAGATGCTGCTGCTATTGGGTATAACACATTTTGTTACCTATCACTAGTGAACATTTTGTTCCGTGCTTATAAATGGGATTTACAACAACAACAACAACAAGATTTCATTTACAGAGCGCCTTTCACGTTGGGAGGACGTCCCAAGGCGCTGGACAATTGGGTCGGGACCCGAGCAGGGGGGAAATGGTCAGGGTGAGGGGAGAGAAGGGAGGGAGCGAGGAGGGGGTAGAGAGACAAGAGGGGAGTTGAAGGCACGGTCGAAGAGAAAGGTCTTGAGACCAGCCTTGAAGGAGGAAAGGGAGGAAGCAAGGCAAAGGCACTGGGGGATGGAGTTCCAGAATCTAGGGGCTGAGAGGCTGAAGGCCCGCCCCCGATGGTAGGGCGGTTAGGGCGGGGGGGTGTGGAGCAGACCGGAGCCAGAGGAACGGAGGGTACGGGCAGGTAAGTAGGGGGATAGTAGGTCGGAGAGGTAGGAGGAAGCAAGGCCGTGAATGGCCTTGTAGGTGAGGATGAGGATCTTGAATTCGATCCTCTGGGGGATGGGGAGCCAGTGGAGTCGAGCGAGGGTGGGAGTGATGTGGTTGCGAAGCCTGGTGCGGGACAGTACACGAGCTGCAGAGTTCTGAATATTTACTGTTATGAGCACAGAAATAAATATTCCCTCGGCTAGTAAGCATTGTATAGGCAGCAATGTTGCCAGAAGCACCACTTCAATTATGCTCTCAACAAATGGTTGGAACAAAATTGGCAAACCTGGAATAGGCAGAGAATGGTCTGAGTGCAGGTAAGGAAGTAAATCAAAAATTAGAAAAAGGTGTAAAATCAGCTTCTTTAATGAAGGCGGCCATTCGGCTCTTCATGTTTACAATTTGGGTGAACGCTAACCTCATAATGTCTGAGGAATTGTGCTGTGTAGTCATAGCACAGTGAGGACTAACCAGAACACTACATCTTGAGCATGACTCAATGTGGTGAGGGATGACTCAAGAATCCTAGAATTATAGAAATTTACAACAAGAAGAAAGCAATTTGGTCCATTGTGCCTGTGCTGGCTCCCTCAAGTCTAGTCTGAACAGGTTACATACCAGTATGATAGCCATTGTCGGATGTGAAGAAGATATAGGTGTTGTCCAGTTCTTTGAGTTGATCAAGCTCCTTTATTACTGTTCCACAAGATCATCCACTGACAGCAGTGTTTGCCATCTAATAGAGAAATTGTGTATTGACATCAACACCACATCCGAGAACTGGTATTACAGGAACATGAACCCAGAATTCAAATACTATTGAATGCTTTAAATTCTATCTAAAAGTAAAGTAAGGACACTGTTATAACTCCTCTCACATTGGGAGGATGACTCAAACTTTACAGCCTAATTTATCAACTAATAATAATTCCATGCAAAAAAATGGTTTGAACTGACACAGCTAAAGGTTTTTACCTTTTCCTGAAAGCATTATCCAAAAACTGAAGTGAAGAGTTGGTCATGGGTGTCTTTGCTTGTCTGATTAGCCAATGCTTGTCCTTTGAAGAAAACATTTAAAGGATTTAAATGTGAAGAGTTTTCAAGAATGTTTTACCATGTGATGAGTTTGGTCTCTCGCAGACTGTTAAGATTTACTCCTTTAAAAAAAACTGCACACCTGATATCCAGATATATTATAGTACATTTTACATTTATATAGTGCTTTTCACGACAGGGCATGTCTCAATATACCCTAATATACTGCAACTGGTGCATTATTGTAATTAGATCCTGAAGTCAGGAAATCAAATCAATCCTAGATTTATATGTCACTTTTAAAAATAAAAATTGTGTGAAAACACTACAATTGTAGTAGACATGTCCCACATATTTCCACTTTAAGCAGCATTACCCAGGTGATATGACCTGTATGTGGAGTTTTACCAATGCTTACGCTTCACCAATATTCTCTGTGTTGCCCTAGGAGGTATAATTGTACTGACTATATTTAATCAAGAATAGCTACAGAAGAGGTTCCCTTTGCAAGAAAATCTTAGAAAATCTGACACTAAAGTCTTAATTTGTCTATGTGGGATGAATTAACATATCAAATAAACTGGGTTGATCCCAAGAGACAGTCAATTCTTTATCTAAATTCTAATGCTAGCACAGTGTTAACTTATCTGCTTTTAATTAAGTGCAATAAAACATTAAATCTTCTCACTAACTTCTGCATATCAACTAACTAGAAAGAAAGATAACTAGCTGAAAATAATCCCTAAAGTCAAGAATCTGCAGAATGCACACTAAGAGATTTAATTGTTTCAATACACAGAGAACCCTGATGGCACTTGCAAAGCCTATACACAGTGTGAAACTCGACTTTAAAACTACAAAGATCTTGGTTTCAATTCCCAGTCTCTGCTGAGTTAATTCATCTCAGCCAAGGCTGTATTACAAAAGCTTCCTTAACATCTGAATATGATTCAAAACATACAACTTTAAGTAAAGTAGATCTGAACATGAACAGCTACATTTCAATATGTTAGAACATCTGATCGCTCATTAAGCTGATTGTACCTTTCCATGGATATTGAAATTACTGTTTCTTGGTGCTTTAACGTTTTGAAAGCTCTTTGCATACTGTGGGGCGGCCGTCCATGGAGAGTGTGGCGCTGGGGTCGAGATTATCATGAAGAAGGGCCGATAATTTATCCTGTATCGCAGGAAGTCCAGGGAAACGTTTAACTGTCGCAAAAATAGATAGGTTAGAATGTGCTGACACCTCCCAAACATTGAGAGAGAAATTGTAGAAGGTGAAACTGAGCGTGGATGTACCACTCATCGTGAAATAATCCACATGATATGCCAGATCAACAGGAGGCACATTTGTTTACAGAGTTAATAGAATTAAGTGGTGGGCGAATGGGTTAGTTGTCAGCTGCTTTCTCTCTCACTTAGGGAAATGTCATTCCAGTGGCTGCAACATCTCAGGGCAAATGGTTATCACAGCACATTATGTTGTGGCTCTGAAATGTTGCAATGTGGCACCAATCTATCAAATTCCTAGTCTTTGCCAGTTTAATATAGACTCAGGACTTCCAAAGGATACTTTATACAACTGATGTTATGCACATGTGCAACCTTCTTGACATCTCCTTTGCACAAGTGGGAGTGACCATTAGTAGTTCAAATTTGAGATCTCCACTACCTATGTAACAGGAATGAAGGCTGGCAGATGTGTTTGAATCTCACATGATCCCCTGCTGTTATTTAGGCAGTGAGCATCATGATTATATTTTTAATGGCGGTTTGAGTATCATAAATGTGGCAGCATCACAGTACTTACGAAATTACATCTGTGCTTGTGCAAAACATCACTCTGACAATAACTTTATTGTGGAATCAGAGCTCCCATATGCAGAGGCAATGAATATCTGAGTCCAAATAGGAGTTGGGGGAATTTGACGCAAGGAAAATTGACCATTTTACATTTGTAGGAGCCTCCAGAGGCAAACTCAAAATGTAAAAGTGAGTACTGCTCAGATTCAGTGTGATCTGTATATTTATAACAGAATATTGGAGGTCATTACTAAGCTGGGTTTCCACAAATCACAAGAAGTCCAGCATCGTTAGACTGATATGTTCATTTGTTTCTGTGGTAAGAAATCCTTGGGGTCATTCTTAACGTATTAGCCTGTTCCATGAATGTCAGCTGGTTGTTTAACTGTACTAATACAGTTGAGCCTGATTCTGTTCACTCACACACCTTCTGAATATATATTGCCAACTGCAAAATGGCAAAGGAAAAGTGCATAAATGCTTACCAGTACATCTGTTAGATAATCATGACTGTAATTCTGTCCATAGTCCCGCGACTTTCCATGAACGGAAAGTGTATAGTTGTAATACTTTGAGTTCTTAGCCTAACAAAGGAAAGTTGAAGATGGTTAATCATTCCTCATGAGCTCAAAGGTCAATAAATAAAACCTGAAGTTTGTAGCACCAAGTGTCCCCTTCTTAATGGTACAACATTTATATGTGCTTCAGTCACCCAATTACTGCAATAAAACAGTCTTAAAAGGTAAGACCTTATTGGTTTGGTAATAATTCACAGTCATTGGAGATAATTGATATTGACGCAGTCATGAATTGTATTTCTTCCAATTCTGGCTAGAGGAAGTGAATGAATGTAACTGTACACAGTCAGCATCACATGGCACAACACAAATGTTGGGTGAATTGGTTAAAAATGTATCTCTTCCAAATCTACATTTCAATAAAGCAATTTAAAATTCAGGTTAATTTTCAGTTGAATGTTTATTACTAAATTAATAATAAATTCAGTAATAAAACATTCCTTCCTTCCGCCCCTCTACCGCCACCCTCTGGAACTCCATCCCGCAGTCCCTCCGCCTCATCCCCTTACCACCTTCAAGACCTATCTCAAGACCCTCCTCTTCGACTGTGCTTGCCCTCCACCCTCCCCCACCCCTACCCCCAGCTCGGGTCCGTAACTCTGCCTGTCCAGCACCTTGGGACGTTCTCCCGACGTAAAAGGCGCTTTACAAATGTAATTTTGTTGTTGTTGAAATGTACATTAGCGAAACCTCACGTCTGAAGAACATGCAGTCTTCAATGTGTCTTCAAGATTTGTAGAATAACCAGTTCCTGAAAGGGGTTAATTTTGAGCACTTACCAGAGCGTACCAGTAATCCCATCCTGGAGGGATATGTTCAATACCGCCTGCAGCCTCAGATCCATACTGTTAAAGAGATAAAATAGTGCTATTCAGGAAGCAGTTGCAAACAGTCTCAAAAAACAAATGATACAAGGCAGCCTCTGCCCAGCCTCAAACTATATGATGAAATAGCGTTGAGATTTCCTTCCTCGAGATGGGCATTATTATATCACATACAAGAATTATTTTTATTATTATTAAATTCAATATCAATTCAGTCAGTGAAACAAAAAGGAAAGGGTTTCTTGTGGAAATGTTACCTGATTCAAATATTTCCCTGCAAAAAAGGTCTGATAATTGCTAGCCCCTTTGAGGATTGCAGCGATGGTGTGGGGTTCCTGAGTTTTCTGCCAAGCAATGCTGCTGCAATTTCCTTCCAATGTGTTGTTGAATACACGGTGATTGTGCGGGTACTTTCCAGTCAAAATGCTGGCTCTGCTGGGACAACACAGTGGGCTGGCCACGTACTAAATTAAGAGCAAAGAGAGATGCATAACATAACCATTTTCTTGCAATGCAATGAAAGACAGGAAAGAATCAAATATTACAACAGCTGAATCCTGCAGATTTTGGTGAATTTTATTTTCAAGCACAAGATGACATATTCTGCCTCAATAATTGAAAGGCAATTTAAAACTCTAGCTTTATAATAATAATAATCCTTGCATTTGATATAGCGCTTTTCACGTCTTCTAGTTGAAAATAATAACTTATGGAGTGGCTTGAGCCATTTTGACAAGTTATAAAAATGCAAAATTTACCTTCTTCGAGGAAAGCAGCTGGTATCGCAAAGTTAAAAAAATTAAAATGTAAATCTACAGCAGCAACAACAACTTGCATGTATGTAGCGCCCTCCACGCAGGGTAGTGTCTGAAAGTGCTTAACAGTGACAGAGCCCGACTTTGAGCTGGGCGGGAGGTGGTTGTAAGCACCGTCAAAGAGGAAGGTTTTCAGGCGCGACTTGAAATAGGGGAGAGAGGGGGCAAGGCGGAGGGATTGAGGGAGAGTGTTCCTGAATTTCAGGGTGTAGTGGCTAAAATCTAATCTTATGGGCAGCAAAAAAAAGAATGATTAACCTGAACAGATGGGAAAGAGGAAGAGAAATCCTAGACACCTTCACTCACTAACAACAACAAGATTCCATTTATAGAGCGCCTTTCACGTCGGGAGGACGTCCGACTAACACAAAACAAAACAAAGAAAACATCTTACCACATTTGTAAACGTTATTCCCAGATCACCAATAAGTTTTCTCGTTTTATTTAACGGTTCCTATAAGGGTGGCGGGGGGGGGGGGGGGGGGGGGGGGGGGGGAGAGAGAAAAAGCAATCCACGGTTTGATATCGAGACAAGCACAATAAAAACAACAACTGTTTTCTCCCTGAAACTTTTTAACATTTGTTAAAACGAAACAGAATCCTTTTAGGTTCCAGCATTTTATTTCCAACGCTTCACTCCCGAGCAATAAAAATAAAAACCAGTGCAGAAATGCTGGTGGGATTACAGTGTATATAGATAGATAGATATATAAAAAAAGATAAAACATAAAGGAACAGCTTGAAATACATTTGCAAGCTGTGGTTTGACATGGGATGATTGCCAACCCTTCCCCAGCATCTCTGTACCAGGCCTAACGCTGTAGCTGTCGGGCCTGACTGCCCACTGCTGTTCAGTGCACAGGGCCTGACCTCCTTTCACCCACATCTTTTTTCTTTTGGTGCTGTGGTTCACAGCGATGGCCACAATGTTCACCACCATCATCATCATCATCATCATCATCACAGCGACCTGAGCCCAAGCCCCCGGGGGTGGGGGGTGGGAGGGAGTGGGGGGGTGGGGGGGGGGGGGGGGGGGTGGGAGCCCCTCTCTCGCTACACAAAAAAAAAACCCTCTGAGGCCCGAAGCTTCTCACCATTCCGCCCAGGAGGACATCCTGATCGTCCGTCAGGATCAGGACTATGTTGGGTTTGCTCGATGTTTTCGCCTGAGCACAGGGGGCGAAGCCGAGCAGCGGGACGGCTGCGCAAAGCCAAGTCAAGACGCGCAGACAGTGCGGGGAACTGCTGCGGACTGCGGCTCCCATCCCTGTCCCCGTCCCTGTCCTGGTCCTGTCCCTGTCCTGTCCTGTCCCTGTCCCTGTTCCTGGTCCTGTCCTGGTCCTGTCCCTGTTCCTGGTCCTGTCCTGGTCCTGTCCCGTCCCTGTCCCTCACTGTGCACACAGTAAAATAACAGCGTCTGTGCCACACTCCCACAGCACCAGCAATATCCCTGTTGTTGTTGCTGCTGCTGCTGTTGTTGCTGCTTCTCTCTCTCTCTCTTTCTCTCTTTCCTCTTTCTCTTTCTTTTCTGTGATTCATCGGTCACCTGCGTCTCCAAAACAGGAAAGCACTATCAGCTGACCTCGGTGGTGGGAATTTTAAACTTAAAAACCAAACGAGAGAGGGAGAGAAAGAGAGGGGGGTTTACAATTTGTATCATTTCTGGCTGCCTGTTATTTTTTTTACAAAAAACATTAATAATAATAATAATGATTCTTGCGTTTGAATGCAACGCCTCATCTCGTCTTCGAGGCGTCTCAAAGCGCTTCACTGAATATTACTGTGGTGTGAATTGACTGTATCTTTTGTTCGAAATAATATGGATGGTATGAGTTCAGTCACTTTTATTCAATACGTTCTTTTTTCGAATGGGGCTTTTCAGTGAAATCCACTGCAATATTGCCAGGATAAAATATGTAATATTTAATGTCAATAATAATCTTTGCATTTGATATAGCGCTTTTCACGTCGGGAGGACGTCCCAAAGCGCTTCACAGAACACACTGTAAAGTGAATTGACTGTATATTTGTGGGCGAACGCGGCAGCCAATTGCGCACAGCAATGTCCCACAAACAGTCGTAGATTGAAAATGACCAATTTATTATTGGTTTTGGTTTTTTGGAGGGATTATTATTAGGCGTGTGGAGTAAGGAAATTTGCCCAAGGTTTCGCCCTCTGCCTGGAATTGAACTCAGGTCTCTCACTTGCAAAGCGAGTGCTCTAACCACTGAGCTACAGGACTTACAGGACATAGTTACAAATCTATTGGGATAAATAGTTGGTAGAACCATAGAAATGTAGTCACAGAAGAGGGCCCTTCAGCCATCGTGTCTATGCTGCCTCTTTTAATGAGCAATCCTTTCAGTCCCATTCACATGCCTTTTCCCCATACCCCTGTGGTTTGCTTCTTTTTAGATATCTCTCTAGTTCCCTTTTGAAAGCTAATATGGATTCTGTCCCCGACCACTACTCCTTGGCAGGGCATTCCATATCCCTAAAACTCTGAAGTTTTTTTTCCTTCTTTCATTTCCCCTTTCTCTCGTTTGCGAGCAAACTTAAATCGATGCCCTCTGGTCACTGACTCACAGACCAGTAGAAATAATATTCTTCCTATTGACTCTATCAAAACTGCTCAGAATTTTAAAGACCTCTGTCAGGTCACCCCCAAATCTTTGTTGCAGCAGAAAAGGTCTCAGTTCCTCCAGTCTCTGCTCATAGACCACACCACCACTAAAATGGTGTTATGTATAATTTTTTTTCAGTGAGACACACAGAAAGGAGTTATTGTTACCAGAGATCATAACAGTCCTTCTGGCTGGTCCCATAATCTGACTGGTCCCAAGAAGATCACAGGCTCCTCAATCCAGTTATTTGCCAAATAAATATTCAATTCCTTCTTGAATGCGCTGACACAATCTGCCTCTCTGAGTACTCTCTTCTACATGTTTCGCACCCTGTGTAAAGTAAATGAACTAAAACTAAGTGTTTTCACCTCCGCTCTCTCCTGTTTTATTCAAAGGCATATACCTTTGTGCAGTCTTTTATTTTGATCAGCCGGGTGTTTGACACATGCGGGAAAACATCACCATTGCTGAAGAGTATCCAAACCAGACTGAGTTTCATGCATGCCAACTATATATGGAAATTCCCTATGTCTGAAATGGAGAGTACAGAGTAATAGAAGTAGATTGGCTTGGGACCCCAGAATGTGTGTTGGGGCTACTGCTGGAGTTTAACCAGCATATCTTGTCAATGAAAGCACCGTCTGGTGAATTTCCTCTTGCTTGTCCAGCTAGGACAACAACTTGTATTTATATAGCGCGCTTCATGCAGTGTAGCATCTTGGAGTTCTTAACAGATATTTCTTGAACGTTCTACAAGAAACACTCCCTTTGCTTGGTGAGCATTGGCCTGCTCCATGTCCCCCGCCCTGCCACGCCACCATCAGTAGCTGGGCCTTCAACCTCTCTGCTCCCATCCTCTGGAACTCCACCCTTCTTTATTCGTTTTTTGTCCGACATAATAGGGCATACTTTCAGACTTATTGGAGATGTACGAGTGGGATGATCTCAACTTCAAGATCCTCACTCTTGTCTTCAAATCCCTCCACTCCTCTGCACCCCCCTACCTCTCTGACCTCTCTCCTCACAACAGTGCCCCATTGCCTTCGCTCCACCAGGTCTGGCCTCCTCCTTTTCCCCCGAATCCTCCGCTCCACCATCGGCGGCTGTGTCTTCAGCCACTACGCCTGGAGGCTCTGGAACTCCCTTCCTCACTCCTTTCGCCTCGCCACCCCCTCTTCCTATTTTCAGTTCTCGGCTGAAGACCTTTTGTTTCGACCGCGCCTTTGATTATCTTCCTCCCCCTCCCCCTGGCTCGGCCCTGGGATCCGTTACTGTGAAGCGCTCTGAGACGCCGTCCGGCGTGGAGGGCGCTATATAAATCCAAGTTGTTGTATGTAACATGGACTCCCTGAAAATGTCACTGCAGCAGCTCTTTCATTGAGAATGAACTGGAACCAATGAACTGAAACATTGACTTTTAAATTCAAGCACTAGGTGGCAACACAGACCCATGCCCAGCCTGTAATAGCAAATATAAAGACAACTGCCTTATCAGCAGGAAATAAAGGCCCCTCCCAGAAATCTAAATATTTGACCAGTTAATCTTCTAAGTGAATGCTCTGTAAAAGAAGTCCGAAAAGACTTCCTTTAGAATTCCCATTAGCTTGCAGGAGTTCTGTTCCCAAAAATAGCTTGTGTTGAAGTGGAGTTCCCATGGGTCAGCATGACACATTTTCAGTAACCAGGATGAGACTCCATATGTGTAATCCAGATTTCCTTTTAAAGAATCCCATTAAGAAACACTGCAAAACAGATCTCAACATTGTTTTACTCAGCGGAGCTGTTGCCACATACATACTATAATTTTTCAGCTTCCTTAAATAGTTTTATTTATTGATTCTAGTTATTTTTTTTATATATTACTTCCCTGTATCATGCATCATGCTCTGGTGAGATGCCAGGTAGGCAGTTTACTCCCAGACCTATTTGACGTGCAGAGTGAATTAGATTTTTATAGTAACACTGAACAAAGTACTGCACTGGTTTGGATTAAACAACAACACCAACTGCTTAACAGTGGCGGAGTCTGATCCTGAGTGAGGGGGAGAGGGAGTAGTGAGGTGACCGTAAGCACGATCATTAAAGGAAGGTCTTTAGGTGGGATTTGAAAGTGGGGATTCCCAGGCAGGGTGAAATCTTACTCCACATGCCTCGGTTTACCTAGCAGTAAGTAGGAGCCTAGTTGTTAGTCGACTGGTGTGTCACTTTCCATGGGTAATAACCTCTCCAAAAACAAAGTGGTCACGACTGTTTGTGGGACATTGCTGTGTGCAATTGATTGCCACATTTCGCTTGCAAAATACACAGTCAATCCATTTTACAATATATTACGTGATGCGCTGTGACATTTCAATGATGTGATAAGGCGCTGTATTAAAAGCAGGGATTATTATAGGATTATTATAAAATATATAAGATAAACAAAAAGTATGTCATATTATATGCTGCATCTTCACCCTGTGGATACAGCGGAAAAAAATGTCAGAGACAAGCAAGGAAGGGGGTACTCACATTGAAAGACGAGACAATAGCAAGTAGTTGTCAGTGCAGTACAGTGCTTATATTGTGGATTGCTTTCTTGCTGAAAATAGAAACTTTTTTAAGAGAGTTTCAACTTTAGCATAGCTTCAAACTCCTCATCGTACAACTACTGTACATCAGAAAAATGCACTCTTTCTCTAAAACAAGTTCCACAACAAATCCAGGTTTGAAAATAGTCTGAAATTAATATATTACCTTTCAAATTAAGGCCTCATCCCGGAGTTATTTTTTTAATTGTATTCAGAAAGTCCCGGAGACTGGTGTAAAAACAACTGAGGTGTTTATTCTACCCAAAGAGACGATTTTCAGCAGTGCAAAACTGAAAACAATCTGTAAAATTGACTCAACAAGGACGTTATCACGGATTTCCTAAAATCATAACAGTGTTCCCTATAACAAAACAGGGAAGCACTGATAACATGCTCTGGCGTTTAAATTAAAACGCCTACAACTCTCAGAGTACCTCCCAGAATGATAGCGGAGAGTTGCTGTGGGGAATTGAATTCATTTGGATACATAAGTATGTTCACATATACACAAAAAAAAGCAGATAGCTGGATAGAATAGAATCAAATTCATTCTGTAGCTCAGTGGTTAGAGCACTCGCTTTGCAAGCGAGAGACTCGAGTTCAATTCCAGGCAGGTCACGGCGAAACCTTGGGCAAGTTTCCTTACTCCACACGCCTAATAATAATCCCTCCAAAACAAACAATAATAAATTGGTCATTTTCAATCTATGACTGTTTGTGGGACACTGCTGTGCGCAATTGGCTGCTGCGTTTCGCCCACAAATATAGTCAATTCACTTTACAGTATATTCTGTGAAGCGCTTTGAGACGTCTAAAAGACATGAAAAGCGCAATATCAAATGCAAGGATTATTATTATTATCATCCTTAAAGTGTTGGTGTACATGCAACATTATTCATATCAGATCATCATGATGTAAGACAAAAATCAGCCCCTAATGAATGCCAGTGTTTGTATTAACATAGGGACATGTTTGTGTGGGGAGGGGAAATCTAGATTGTATTCAACACATTTATTTTAACACGATGGATTCGCTACTGAAGAAGTAACCTGACCTAATAATAATAATAATAATAATCCTTGCATTTGATATAGCGCTTTTCACGTCGGGAGGCACGATGCTAAACGTTGCAAAGCATTTAAATGAAAAAAAAGGTGCTTTTTGGACAGAAGTTATTCCAAATACTAAGCATTTAGCTGGTGGGGTTTAACCCCCCCCACATCTCTCCTGGGTGATCTGAGAATGATTGCTTTCCCATTTCTTTCTCTCCCCCCAAGTTGTGGTTCTGTGCGTCGAAGCGAATCTTACCTGTGGGCAATATCGCCTCTGGAAGGCACCATTAACCCCCACTCCCTCCCTCCCCCCTCTCCCTCCCTCCCCCCCACCCCCTCCCCCACTCCCTCCCTCCCTCCCTCCCTCCCCCCCACTCCCTCCCTCCCTCCCCCCCACTCCCTCCCTCCCTCCCTCCCTCCGATGGCCAGAGATAAAAAAAAATTTACACACACACAAAAAAATGTCTCTGCTGTGCTCAGGCCGCTAAAGAAATGAGTGCTGCGGGGAAAGAATGAAAGGAAGGAAGGAAGGAAGGAAAGGAGGGAGGGAGGGAGGGAGAGAGAGAGAGTGAGTGCTGTGGTTTTGAGGCTGTCCCCAGGATGAGGAATGGTGTGGAACCCGGAACTCTCCCGGACCACGGGCTGACTCTCTCTCTCTCTCACTCATTCTCTCTCTCTCACTCACTCATTTTCTCTCTCTCTTTCACACTCACTCACACACACTCTCTCTCTCTCTCTCTCACTTCACTCATCCTCTCTCACTCACTGACTCTCTCTCTCTCTCTCACCCACTGACTCTCTCTCTCACTCACTGACTCTCTCTCTCTCACACTCACTCACTCACTCTCTCTCACTCACTCACTCATTCTCTCTCTCACTCACTCATTCTCTCTCACTCACTCACACACACCCTCTCTCTCTCTCACTTCACTCATTCTCTCTCTCTCACTCACTGACTCTCACTCACTGACTCTCTCTCTCACTCACTCTCTCACTCACTCACACACACACACACTCACTCTCTCTCACTCACTCACTCACTCACTCATTCTCTCTCCCACTCACTCACTCTCACTCACTCACACACACTCTCTCTCTCACTTCACTCATTCTCTCTCTCTCACTCACTCACTCACTGACTCTCACTCTCACTCACTGACTCTCTCTCTCACACACTCTCTCACTCTCTCTTTCCCTCCCTCTCTCCCTCCCTGTCTCCTTCCCTCCCTCCCTCCCTCCCTGTCTCCCTCCCTCCCCACCTGTCGCTCGCTGTGGGCCATGACCTCGAGAGTCCGCGGCAGTCGTCCAGCGGCGCGAGGGGGCGAACCATGGCCGACCGCGCGCTCCGGACCCCCGGCCCCGACCGCGCGCTCCGGACCCCCGGCCCCGACCGCGCGCTCCGGACCCCCGGCCCCGGCCCCGGCCGCTGCCCGGAGGGCGAAACCGACAGCTTCGTGAACCCGGTGGCCAACCTCTCGGAGGTCTTCTCCGGCTTCCAGCAGTGGGTGCAGACCGGCGGACCCCCGGGAGCGGCGAGGGACGGCCGACCGGCGGGCGAGGGCACCGACAGCGTCCCTCCGGCCCCGGCGGGGTCGGTGCCCCGGTCCGTGTCGCCCACCGCCCTGCACTCGCTGCACTGGGCCAAAGTCGGGGGCTCCCCGGACCCCCCCCCGGAGCGGGGCGGCGACAGGCGGTCGGACCGAGCGCTCCTCGGCCACCGGAGGACCTCCTCGATCATGGACTCGCTGCTGATCGAGTTGTACGACTCCAACCCGTGCGGCAGCCGGAGCTGCGACAGCGTGGACAGCTCCACCGAGACCTCCAGCTCCGACGCCCTTCTGGGGAGGAGTAATTCCGGATCCACCTTCCTGCAGGAACTCCAGGAGCAGCGCAGCGCGAAGCAGCAGATGCAGTACCTGGAGCAGAAAGGTACGTGTGTGTTGTGTGTTGTGTGTGTGTGTTGTGTGTGCTGTGTGTATGGTGTGTGTTGTGTGTGTGCTGTGTGTGTGTTGTGTGTGTGTGTGTTGTGTGTGTGGTGTGTGTGTGTGTTGTGTGTGTGGTGTGTGTGTGTGTGCTGTGTGTTGTGTGTGTGCTGTGTATGTGTGTGGTGTGTGTGTTGTGTGTGCTGTGTGTGTTGTGTGTGTGCTGTGTGTGTTGTGTGTGTGTTGTGTGCTGTGTGTGTTGTGTGTGTGTTGTGTGCTGTGTGTGCTGTGTGTTGTGTGTGTGTGTGGTGTGTGTGTGTGCTGTGTATGTGTGTGTGTGTGTGTGTGCTGTGTGTGTGTGTGTGTGTGTGTGTGCTGTGTGTGTGTGTGTGGTGTGTGTGCTGTGTATGTGTGTGGTGTGTGTGCTGTGTATGTGTGTGTGTTGTGTGTGCTGTGTGTGTTGTGTGTTGCTTGTATCCAGGGGATATCAATGTGCACAGCTCTTCTTCCAAGGAAACCGATTGCCAGACAACTGTGTCCACATTCATCCACATCGTGCGCTCCTTTACCATCTCACCCACATTTGGGTAGAAACGGGAGGTTTATCTCAGTGAAGGGACTTAAGTGCAAAATGGAGTAACAAAGTCGAAGGAGAACGCGTTAAGACAGACGAGAGACACTCAACAGTGCACAGTACAGTACAGGACAGGACAGGAAAACTCGTGCCTTTTATTACGACTGTCAAAAAAAGAGAGAGAGAGAGAGAGAGAGGGGTCAGGGCTATTTTCCTGGTTGGATGGTCAATGGTGCAAACCACTGGGAAGTGGGAACAGCTTTCGTACGGTGCCAAACCAACCCGGAGGTGGATTCGGTTTCCGTGTGACTTCACCGCCTGCAAAGGTGTGGAGGTAGAAGTGCTTACGTGGATGTAATTCCCTCGTCGGACTTGTTCTGAAGTGGAGTAGCGATGATACACGTAGTTATTAAAAGTCTTCCGTCTCAGCGGATCTCAAACAGGTAGCGATGTCATTGCTGATCCGACAGCAGTTAACTCCCGAGTTAATTCGTGCCCTGTAAGTGAGTGTCTTGTTTTCACAGAGGTAGAGGGAGGGAAGGGGGGGAATTAGTCATTCAGAGAGATTATTTCTGTAACAATCTTTTTTTTCCCTAAAATGTTGCCCCCCATAACAAACCCATTCAAACTCCAGTACCTGTTCAAACACCTTCTTGACAATGTCATGTTTCTTGCCCTTTTTTTGACCGCACTGTGGACGATCGCGAGTTACGCAAATAATAGTAATAATAATGTAATAGTAATAATCCTTGCATTTGATACAGCGCTTTTCACGTCGGGAGGACGTCCCAAAGCGCTTCACAGAACACAGTGTAAAGTGAATTGATTGTATATATTTGTGGGCGAACGCGGCAGCCAATTGCGCACAGCAATGTCCCACAAACAGTCGTGGATTGAAAATGACCAATTTTATTATTGGTTTTGGTTTTGGAGGGATTATTATTAGGCGTGTGGAGTAAGGAAACTTGCCCAAGGTTTCGCCCTGACCTGCCTGGGATTGAACTCAGGTCTCTCATTTAGAAAGGGACAGAATAGAGAGAAATAACAGAGAGAGGGAGAAGGACGAATTCAGATCCCCATCTTGTTAATGGATTATTCCCTACAAAAGCAGGGCTTCAGGCAATGCAATTGGAAAGTGTGTCCCTTTAGGATTTAAAGTCAATTTGAATGCTTTTTTTATTTTAAACAATAACCTTGCTGATCAGATTTGAAAACGTTTCCCATTAAGCATCTAATGTGGGTGTCTTACTCTTGATTCTTTCTACACCTCCTTGCCCCAAGTGGACACGCACTCTGCACAACAAATGAATAAGTAACCCTATCAGGTGCCATCCTTGGACTTGATGCTATGGTGGCATGAAAGTGAGGGACTTCAACAATAATCATATTAACTGAGAGTTGTAAATGGATTAAATCTGAAATGTGAGCATTTTACCAGGTGTTCTAAGAGGAGGAAATACTATTTTCAACAATCCTGAAGAGTTCAAGAGATAAAAAATAATAATTTGTATTTATTAATAGTAATAATTTATTAATAATAATCCTTGCATTTGATTATAGCGCCTGATCACACTGTTGAGACATCTCAAACCACTTCACAGAATATATTGGTTGTATTTACAATGATACAATGAGTAGATTGATCTTGAGAAACTTCTTTACTTATCTTAGCCACTGAGAAATAGAAACAGCACTACTCCATATCTAAGTATGTTCTCTTGTTGACAGATACAGAGGAAATAAAGCGAATAGTAGAAGAAATAAAGTATAGAATTGCCGTGCGATCCGCAAAGCTGATCCGTCAATTAAAAAGAAAAGACAATCTCTTGAATAAACGACAGAAGAACTGTGATATTGTGACAGCATGTTTGCAGGCAGTGTCACAGAAAAGACGTAAGTGTTTTTAAACTGCATTACATCTCTTTAGTCACTTTTGGCACTTATTATAAAATTTACATATTCGGTTGTGAGTTTATATTTCACAGTATTACATGATTTTAACCATCTGACCACTGTTTTCAAGTGAATGTTATGTGTTTGCTCCAAGTCAATATTTTGTGTAACTTTTCATGATATAGGGAGAACAAGTATGCCTGATGTGAAATTGCTGTTTTGTAAATTAATGGGAAAAATCTTTACATGAAAGCATTTTTTTCTGTTTTACATAGTGACTTGGTTTATAGGACTAGTCTCTAAGAGGTAACAGTATTAAAGTAGAAGGAGCAAAAACATTATTAACTGATCAGACAGAATAAGCACACCTTTACTGTAATAGGGATGGGGTTAATCAACATTTTGAAGTGGTTTCAAATCTTAAAAGGCTTGATTTGCCTTTACTCTATTGCCATGAAATAATGTTGTTAGGATTTGCTAGCAATAAAAAAATTCTTTACATTGAAATTCAACCATTTGGTCACATTATGACTTGTGTGATGTCTAATAAAAATTGGATTGGTAGTATATAATCTGATTGACAGCTAGCTACAGAATTGCTGTTAGGCCTCAAAAGCAAATGTCCAGATGTGGTGAGTGTTGACTTACCTTAAACCTCCTTATAATTTTGATTCCATTTGCACTGCGGATTGTGCACTCATTAAGAGTACAACACACACATCACAGGCCACCTTTTACCCTGGGACCTTCCAGGTTCATATGCACTAGCAATACAGCAGCATTTACTCACTGGGTCATTGGGACATCCTACTAAAATATGAAAATGTATAGTTCGTGCCTTTTCATCAAACCTACTGCTTAAATTGGCCATGTAATATCTTTTGTTAGTTCAGCCCTCTGCAAATTCAAAGGTGACATCCTATCTTCAGTACAGTTATAATGAAGCCAAATCTGATACATTGCCCCATGTCCTGTTTTTGCTTGCAACAGTTTGATTTGAATATGTCCCGCAGTCAAATATCCCAAATTGTTTGTACTGTATTAATGCCATAGCAAATGTGGTTAATAGTGTGAGAATCTGATGGTCAGGGTTTGTTTTAGGAACTAAAAGCAATTGGTATGAATTTGATATGATTTCTCTGAGGTCAGGTGAAAGCTTGAAGAGATCAGCAATTTGGGGATTGGAAATTTAGTTCAGACAAAGCTTATTCAAAACAAGTATAAATATAAATATAATTAAGACAGTTACCAGATGGCTAATATTGATAAGGATTAATAAGATTTTATAGTTGTTTTTTCTCAATACTATGGTTAGCAACAATAGAAATTCAAAATAGTGCAGAATTCACATCTTGCATGTGTCATTTTGGTGAAAGAAGTCAAACATTTCCTGAGTTAACAATGAAATTGTCTTTTATTAACATGCAGCGTGACTGTGCTCTGTGTCAAGGTAAATATAATAATGTTTGTGTTTTATTCACACCGAAAGCATGCGGGGTTGAATTTTTTTTACATTTGTTACTTTGTTTGCAGATCAACATTTAGTGGTTTTCTGGGTTTTGGGAATAAACATCTTTTTAACTTAGGTTCTATTTTGATATAATAGTTCACTGCATGTATCAAAGTGCCCATTTAGTTTGCTTTTGGTGTTATAAATCTTGGCCTTTAAAGTGACATTGAATGTTCACTATAAATGAACTATAAGTAAACATTCAATTTGATTGCATCAATGTTGCATTTCTTTGTGTCATATTGTTGCTATACTGTATCATCTTTTCTTTCAGGAGAATGAATTTAATTCTGCATTGTTTAGTTATTCGCCTTTTGAATTAAATGTACAGGTGGAAGCATTTATTTTATTGATAAAAATAATAATAATCCTTGCATTTCATATAGCGCCGTTCACATCAAGAAAAAATCTCAAAGCACTTTCCAGGATATTCTGTAAAGTGCAGTGACTCTGTATTTTGTTGTAGATTGTCTTCAGGTTGTGCTCAATCTATTTTGTTCTATAACTGGGAGAGAAATAACAGTAATGTAGAAGCACATTAAAAGAATACATTAGTATGGAATTGTTCTTTGAAGTGCAATATTAGCATTTGTTCAAAGGGCTTCTCACATTTGGAAACACAATAGAGAATGAACATGCAATGCACCAGGATGTAGAAATAAAAGTAGAACGAATGAAACCAGTATTTCTTACTGATTTCACGGATGCACTTCAACCTGAGAAAATTCTCAATTTCATCTCTATTTCTGAGGTAGAGAACCAGCCTGCATCAAGCAGCTCCTATTTAAGTATTCATTGGCCATCACCAAACTGACAGAACTTGAAGCAAATTATGAGACGGAAAACTGAGCTGCAGCAAAACCTCTTTCAAGATTTCCTCAAGAGATGACATAATTAACTTTACTTTTATTTCTGTAAATAGTGTTTGATGGCACAAATCCTTTGGGTTTGATTTTGTTTAAGCAGATTAAATATGAGCCCAAAACAGGTAGTCACATTCCCTGCAGAGATACCAATCATTAAAGCAACTAACCTTCTGAGGGTACATCTTCAAGACATCTTTCCAAAACTTGTGCAGGAAGAATTCTGCTCAATTAATGTTGCTTTTTTGGAAACGTAGTGTTTCTGAATGATCGTCCAGGCATTGCATTACTACATGATGACCTTTGTGTACTGTACTCTTCTTCATTGTCTTGTTCCAACTGATTGCATAGTCACAATTGCAGGTAGTGTGAGAATAATGATAATATGGTTGATATCACATAATCATACTTTCAGGAAGTATTTAATAAGATTCCTCACAAAAGGATACAGAACAAAGGCAATAGTGTGATTGATGGCAGTTCTAAATTGAGCAGTTATACCTAGTTTGTCCTTGGGTCCATGTGGTTTGTAATAAATTAGGGTATTGTGATACTGGTTTTAACCTATGTTCCTACTGCAATTCGAGTTAATGCTAAGGTGGAGCCACTGGCATTGGCATTGTTTTTGTGTAACTGTGCTTTTATTTTAAGAAGTGTAAATTTTTGTCAGGCTCCTTGACATCATTGCACTATGAACATAACGATGTTACATGCATATAGATGTGTGATCCGATAAATCGTATGTTTCAACTTGTGCTGGAACTTGTTGGATCCCGTCACTGATTATCCTAAATAATGGTGCAGAATTCCAGCTGATTTTACTCTTGGTCTTTTTGTCCATTATTTAGTCAGCAAGACTGTTTTGAAGACTCCACCAAGTTCTGATGCAGGGCAGGATTTCCTTGTATTATATGTACTATGATGATATAAGCATCAGTTTGCCTTAGTTGGTGACACACACACCACTGGTTAGAAATTTACAGATCTTAGACTCAGTATATGAGCTAATCATTTAGGCTGATCAGTGCAATACTGAGGGACTACTACATTGTTGGGAGGTGCTGTCTTTTGAATGTAACATTAAGATGACCATCTGTTCAGGTGGATGTTAAAGATCCAATTTCACTGTTCACAAAGAAGGGAGTTTCTCAGTAATTTCTTTGCAACATAAGTTTATTGCATATGTTCTATTCAACATAAGGTAGAATTGGAATTACCCAGCTCAGAAATATGAGGAAACTTTTCTATTTGTCTCCAGATTTAGTTTTATCTCCTTTTTCCGTGTACCAGAATTATTTATGCTAATGTCTCGCAAGGGTGCTCCAAGGTTAGCTTGGAGGAAAGTACCTCCACAAATCGGTTTAAATACATAGCTTGTAATGTATTGGAGACAATGGAATTGCCATTGTTTTTTGTGTAACTGTGCTTTTATATGTTTCAAGAAATTCAGTTATTGCAGTGATAATGACCTAACAGCCCATCACCAAGCTCATCTATTTTTTCACAGCTCTTTCATCTTTTGTTGATTGTCAAGAATTGTAAATTGAATCAAAGGCCTTTCCATGATGTGCCCTGAGCAAGCTTACTCATCTGCTATGGATAGGATTCCTGATGTTTCACCTCTCTGCTGCAGTCATTGTTTGCTGCTATGGATCTGTTTGAAAGTTACAAGCACTCCCATCCGCAACTCCAGTAATAGTCCAATATATGTCAAAGTTTCTTTAGTGATTATGAGTAATACATGTCAGCTATTTGGTAGGCAGCACCATACTTGATACAGTTATTTCACAGTGAACTAGGAGCAGTGAGACTGAGTTACAGTTTCTCTTGCTTCTGTTGAAAACATGAAGAAACAAATGAGGAAAAAACGTTTTCAAATCACAATCAATCAAAGTGGAATTGTTTGAGTCAAGTGTTGATGCATCCTGATAGCATCCTTGTCATCATTGCTTCATATACAGTTTGTTATATAAGTTGAATTGCCATAGCAGTTATACATTGCAGCTATAATATTCTGCCTTTGTTTGCAATGCAATTACCAGAGTGAATGGTAAACGTGGATTGTTTTACTAAACACTAAATCTATATGGAACATCCCATGGAAATGGTATTTTACTTTAGATCAGAAAATATTTGAGGATAAGACAGTGCTTCCAAAGGATGTAGCTGTTCCCTTCTAGTTTAAAGCACATAGTTAATCCACCACTATGTGCATGTATATCTGCAAAAGGTAAAAACAAATCTAAAGTAGTCCTCTTCAATGAAAATGGATTAGGAACCTTAGCTGAGCGGATTTGATTTTAATAATAAATAATAATCCTTGCATTTGGTATAGTTTTTCATACCGGGACGACATCTCAAAGCGTTTTTAGGGATTTACTGTCAAGTGACTGTATTTGTAGGTGAAGGAGGAGGCCCATTTATGCACAGCAATGTTGCCTAAACAAGTGAAGTGAATCACCATTTTTTTAGGGATCGTTGGCCACTATACCGGGAGAAAAAAAAATCCTTCTCCTTTTAAGCAGTGCCATAAGATATTTAACATCCACTATAAACAGATAGACAGGATCTGGGTTTAACTTCACATCTGATAATCCAGCACCACCCCCCAGCACTCTCCTGAAGTGTCAGCCCAGAATATTTGAGTGCAGAGCCCCTCCCGAGTATGAGGTTTGCATTTTTAAAATAAAAAGCAAATTCCCCCTTTCCTGAAATAGCAGCTCTGCCTCCCCCCCCACCGGGTTTTCCTGCTTTAAGTGGCTGGGGTACGTTTGCTTGTGCAATTGCGCACTGGGCGAGGCAGTATTGACAGCAGTGGAGGTGTGGTGGGTTCATGGGCAGGACGTACACCCACCGATGCCGTATAACGGGGGCGGTTACCCTGATTGCAGTTAAAGGATCGTGTTACTATCACTGCACTGCAGATATCTGGAAAACAGTGGACGTGCGCGTCGAACCAGGTTTGCGAGATGCCTTTGCTATCGTTGAGTTAAATTGCCTGCAAGGTTTGCAAACGCTGAATAGCAGTCGAGCAAACAAACCCTGCGAGAGAAAAAAATAAATAAGACGGGATATAGAGAGCATCCGAGAGCATCGGCACCTCAACCGAAGCCCTCTATCCCAGGGAGTGACATTCCAGGCGGTTGGTCCTGTAGGGCGGGATCCAGAATGAAAAAAGGAAGGCACTCCCTCTCCTCCACCAAACGCGCTGGAAAGTGCCTGAAAAGGCAGAGCACGGCTGGGATGACCAACATCATCAGCAATGTCCTTAAGAAAAGGAGCTCCATCGCCAGGACAGCCCCCCGGCTGCTCTGCACCCTGGAACCAGGTGATGATGCCCCCCCCCCCACCCATCCACCCACCCCTCCCTCCCTCCCTCGTCTTGTTCCTGCTCTCATTGCTTGCAATACTGCCATTGTTACAAGCGATGGACCAGACTGTAGCCTTGACTGAGCTGAGGGGGGGGGGGGGGGAAGGAGGGAGGGAGTGGGGGGGGGGAAGGAGGGAGGGAGTGGGGGGGGGAGGAGGGAGGTGGGGGGGGGGAGGGAGGTGGGAATGGGGGGAACTCATGCAAAGTGGTGTCGGAATTGGTGAATAAGATGTTAGCACAGGAGCAGTGATGGGCTTTGTGTGTGTGTGTGTGTGTTTGTGTTTTTTTTGGGGGGAGGAGGTGGGTAGATCACCTCTTAACCCCCTGCTCAGTGGGTTTGTGGGGGGGAGGGGGCTGCACATGGTGGGGGTGGGGGGGGGGCTGTTTCAGCTGAGGTGTGTGGGTTTCAGACTGAGGTGTAACGATTGCCCTGAGCTATCTATCTCACACTTCTCTCACACGCTCTCCCTCTCTCTGTGTTGGCTCTGCTGAGATGTGTCAGAAGCCCGGAGGCGGATCGTGGATGTAACACTCGCCGTATAATCCAAGGTGGTGGGTGTGTGGGTGTGTGGTGTGTGTGTGTGTGTGGGGGGGGGGGGGGGGGGGGGGACAGCGTCTTTTAAAGCCGATTAGGTTTCAGGCTCCTGAGAGCCAGATATTTGCGGAAACGCAGCCGCCCCGGAAAGGCAGAGCCCGACCGATGCGAGTGGGCGAGGCTGACAGTGCCACAGGGAGAGAGACGGGCAAATGGATGCAGGTAACGGGGGGGGTGGGGGGGGGGGTGGGGGGGGGGGGGCAAAGCAGGAGGTGAGGTGCGGGGAGGAAGGAGGGAGAGAGGGAGGGATGGAGAGGAGAGGAGAGAGGGTTGAAGCAGCCCCAAATGTTCTGCTGTTCACATCAGCCCTGTTTGCAGCCCCGGGCGCTGGGCGGCTGGTGCCTGATCCCGGGGGAGGGGGTGGGGGGGGGGGGGGGTTTGCTCCAGGATGTCACACAGGGAATGACAGGCCGATCCGCAGTGTTCAATCCAGAATTCCCAACCCCGATCTGTTTCAAACGAACGCAAACAACAACAACAACCACCACCACCACCACCAACCACCCCTCCCTATCTCCCCCCCCCCCCCCCCCCCATCCATCCATCGCCAGTAAAGATGTGTACAGGGTGTAGTACAGTTGGGGAGTAGAAGAGAAGGTATCAATATCATCCTTTATTTTTGGTCTGTCCTATGGTTTTAGCGACAATGATCAATTCAATTCGCCCCTCCAGCATTTTTTTCCTCTTTTTTAAAAAAAAAATTGCTGAATCGATGCAAATCTCTTGGGGTTTTTTTTTCTGTCACGTTTAACATTCACCATCCGGACCTTAAAATTCAGGACCTGCGGTTTTTCGAACAGCGCAGAACAGGGTCGAGTTTGGCGAGAGGACCGACTGTGGCAAAGGTCAAGGATCAGCCTTATGGATATACGGTGCCATCAGCCAGCTTTCCCCGCGCCATCCTGATGTATTATTCATGCTACATCAATGCTGAGAGGCTGCAAAATAAAACTAACAATACCCTAGAACAATACCCAGTCCTTGCAAGAACACGATACGAGTACGTGGGGCACCGTTCACTGGGAAATTGTGCAATTTGCCCGTCTCTGTTAACACACTTTTCACATGCTGAATGCGAACGGTTTCCATATAAATAATAATAATAACCCTTGCATTTGATTCAGCACCTTGTCACGTTGTTGTGACACCTCAAAGCGCTTCACAGATCATATTGTAATGTGGATTGACTATGTGTTTTGCGGGTGAAATGTGGCAGCCTTTTTAAGAAAAATGTAGATTTTATTTTAAAACCTTTAAATCCCTCGTTTTGCCGCGGCAAATTATTTCCTGTGACATTAACAGATACTAACCGTGTTTTTTTTTAACTCAATAGCTTAAATCCTCTTGGTCGCTGCTATTTTCAACTGTTCATTTCCATTGTGTGTATCTTTATGTTAATATTTGCCCTGAATTTCTTCCATTTAGGTGTTGACACAAAGCTGAAATTCACAATCGAACCATCTGTGAGCAAACATGGCTTTCAGCAGGTATGGCTATAATTAACACAGACATATCTTGATTGGCTGCAAAAGTCTAAAACACTGACTTAATTTGGTTATTTGTGGACTCCTGTAGCTTAGTGCTTAGAGCATTCACTTAGCAATGGATAGGATCTGGGTTCGATTCCCAGGCAAGGCGAAAGGTTTCCTTACTCCACATGCTTCTGTTTACCTAGCAGTAAGCAGGAACCCAGTTGTTAGTCGATTAGTGAATTGCTTTTCCGGAGATAATAATCCCTTCAAAAAATAATAATAATAATTTGATCACTCAATCCGTGACTGTTTGTGGGACACTTGCTGTATTGACTGCATATTTTGCAGGCGAAATGCACAAAATATACAGTCAATTCAATTTATAGTATATTCTGCGAAGCGCTTTGAAATATCTCGAAGACATAATAAGGCACTATATCAAATGAAGGGTTATTATTATTACTTGGCGCCACAGGGGCTAAAATAGGTCCATTTACCTGTTTTACTAGCCCAGTTGTAGGACAGAGTTTGTATCAATTCGAAGCAAAAACAGGTCAAATTAATACTAAAAAAAACTTGTACTGTAATTGTGGATTTATCCAGGATCAACTGTGTAAATAGAGGAGGTAATCTCAGTCACGCCATTTGCACTTTGCACTAATCTTAGTAGCCAGAATGAGGTAAATACTTTTAACTCTAAAAACAAAGGAGTGAAAACTGTGATGTTTCCTAACCGACTTGATGTGATGATGATTGTGCCAAACAATTGTGGCAAAGTTAAGGTGGAGAAAATTATCAACGAGTTTGGGCAGTGCAGAAGCCACTAGAATTGTGATGGTTCTTAACAGATTTAAGTAATAATTAACACATGTTAAGAAACATCGCATTTTATATCCCAACGTTGCAGCTTTTCCTTGGCAAAAAATGTTAATGTTAGTGAACAGAAGGAATCAGTTCCTTTCCTATACCCCGTGTCAACAACAACAACAAAATTACATTTGTATAGTGCCTTTCACGTTGAGAGGACATCCCACGGCGCTGACATTCAGTGTTTCAGACCCGACCTGGAGTCGGGATTGGGGAGGGTGGAGGATAGGGGGGAAGGAGGGTGATCAAAGGCATGATCGAAGAGGAGGGTCTTGAGTTGGGTCTTGAAGGAGGCAAAGGAGGGGGTGAGGATGAGGGACTGCGGGATGGAGTTCCAGAGGGTTTGGGCAGAGCGGCTGAAAGCTCGCCCCCCCAATACCTACTCTAATGTCACTATCTAAACAGAGTCACCAATAGAATACGAATTAAATTATGGATGACTCAGAAAGAGTTTTAAAATTGTTTGTGGGTTTAAAATAATGATTTTGTCCATTGTTTATTTATCCTCACAAACCTCCCTTGACACCCTTGTTATCTGCCCTTTTCAAGCATTAAAATTGCCCACAAATTAAACTATTATTTAATTATTTTCTTTGTTTTTTTAAAAAAAACAAAGGCTTTCTGATCTATTTATCTAGCTAACATTTAAGCTCAGATTTTTCTAAACATGTTTTATTTAATTTTGCATTTTTTAACTTTTTATGGACTAAGTCACTTTCATGTGGGGGGTTTGAGTTGAGCATTATTTTAGGAAAAGAAAGCTGTTTACCATGACAGCTTGATATGTTAATAATGTTCCCATAACTATCACAAAGAGCAGAAACCCAACCTCTGCGCTATGAAACCTGTGTAGGCTTGGGTATGAAAACACAGCACAGCCTTCAGGTTAAATTTAGAATGGTTATCAAAAATAGAAATGCATCATTTCTTCTCCCACTATCTGTGAAAAAGCTAACAAACTTAAAGGTCATTCTATCCAAATGGAGCTGTCATTTACAATTGCTTTGTCTTGTTAAAGTTTAACCTTGTTCAATAAAGAGAGTTTGTATTATTTCCCAGTGGGTAAATGTACCATTCAATGTGTGACTGAGCATTATAATAACAGAAGAGTGTAACATTTGCTTTTGCCCATCCCATGATAATAATAATCCTTGCATTTCATATAGCTCCTTATCATGTCATCGAGACATCTCAAAGCGCTTCACAGAATATACTGTAAAGTGAATTGGCTATGTCTTATGGGCAGTGAGATCTCAGGTTTAATTCTGATTTCTGCTATTTAACTGATCTCTGCAAGAGAAATGGTAGCAGCATTATAATAGCCTCAATGTCCCTACGAATTAATGTCCTCAGTCCTTTTGACTCCTGTTGGAAAATTTGAAAGTTGTAGGGTTATAATCAAATACCATTTATTATTCAGATTGTCAAACAATAGAACATAGGTCAATATCTAATATTTATTGGATAAAGCAGTGACCAAGTTAAATAATCATGTATTGATCAGGTGTCTTTCTCTGGGAGATAACTTTCGGCAGTCTTTATGCTAACTAATTTAACACACTATCTGAAGATTTTTGGGTAAACCCTCTTTTTTATACCGCAAAATCTAGGCACATGAATAATACATGCAGAGGTGCAATTTGAAGTTGGTTCATCCATAGTTTAGAACTAGTTTGGCCAATCATCTTACTACACAGGGTAGGCAGGGCATACGTCACCAGTGTAAATTATTTGCTAATGTCAAAAGGTAAAAACGGCAATCCATCACTGTAATAGACACCATAAGGCCATAAAGCACTCTAGGATGTGGCAGCTCCCTCATATTATGATGCTTCTTGGCCATAAACAAAATCCTCATGACAGTCAAGGAGATAAAATTTGGTCAGAGACATTCCGATGCCTTTGTCCTAATTATCCCGGCTGCAATTACACTTTGAGATGAGAGCCACCTGCTACTCACATATCAAACAATTTGGTCATCCACTCAACAGTGCCAGCTATTTCAACCTCCACGTGAACTCTCCTTCACATTTCAGAGATGCAATCATAGACTTTTGACCATTAACAATTATAACTCTTTCAGTACAATCCTTACAACGTGTAACTTTGTAGGAATAGATACAGATGCAGTACCTATGAAACCATAAACCAGCACAAATCAGTCTTTTCATGGAATAAAAATTGTTGAAACCGTTGTGTATTTCTAACCAATAATCTTACAGTAGCTATTCACGCAGGAACAATCTTCAGATAGTTTGCAGAATTCATTCAGATATGTTTTTATTTGCAGTGGTATGATGCTCTGAAAGCTGTAGCCAGGTTACCTACAGGAATTCCAAAGGAATGGAGGAAAAGAGTAAGTGCATATGAACTGTTCAACTTTTTCTATGTGGGATTTATATTCGGTTTTGGATTCTTAAAAAGTCACTGGTAAGCAGCAGAAAATAGTGATTGAGAGAAAATATTAAAATGTGTGCACCCAGATTTAAAATATCAGAGGGTTAACCATTTGGTTTTACTGCAGATACTGCAGTTGTAAGAGATATTCTGTAGTGCATATTATTCAAGTGCTCCTTTTGAAGGTAACCATTCAGAAAATCATTTGTGAAAATGCTTGGTTGAAATTACTTATGTAATTTGAGATGTGCAAAATACCTAAATACATAAAGTGAGTAGGATACATAAACAATAGACAATGAAGATTGATGGAAATTATGTGATTCGAGTGACAATCTCTGAAGTCATAAAGTGAACTGTCAGTCTTGAATAAGACATCATATATATACTGTAACCTTTTGTGTAACATGTTAGACGAAATTAGGCAGATCAGCTGATTTTCAATTTGCACTGTTTTTAACGATATCTAACATCCTGTGTGGTCTGTCAGATCTCCTGAGTTTTGCAATACTTTTCATAGTGAATTGAGATGATCTTATTGGGTGAGTATCATTGGTGCAAATGCAGTATTATGTCCATTTGAGAAATATCCAAATTCTCAAAAAGACAGTAAACCTGAGGAAGCAATAGTATTAGTATAAGTAATAGTTTATTGCAATGAGAATGGAGTTTTCTAAAACATGTGAGGAGTGGTAGATGACATATTAGGGTTCTGGCATTGCTGCCTTGATACCTTGATTATCCGCAAGCCAAACTCCAGAATCCTTATTTTTTGATGATTTTTCAGTGTTTTTTACTGTTTAGATCATTCTTGCTTAGCAACTTACTAACATCGTGCAGAAAAACATCAGCGGCGTTATTCATCTGCAAAATGATAAGTGCAGTGTGTTAATGAACTTCTGAAATCAATTCCAATGTGATCATTTAGGCTTTCAGAAATGTTGGCAAAGTTCCACATGAAAGACATTTAATTAAACTGAAAAACACAGGAACAATGAACTGAATACGAAACTGGTTTTAAAAATACTGCTCCAGAAAGGTGGAGTGTTAGATTTGGGAAAGTATTGAGTAGAGTCAACTTGCTTATTCTTTAAGGAAGGTAAAATATAGCTCACTCAGTCTCCTGTGAGACCAAGCAACTGTTTGCGCTGATGTTACACTCCCAATTAGAAAAAAAAATAGAAAATCTGAACACATGGAGCTACTTTTGATGCTGCCAGTTCCAGAAAATGTGCCTTGCCATGTAAAGTGGATGATTTCCGGAGAACTCCCACTTTGGGTATTGCAGAAACACATCTCATTGAAGAAGCTCTGAAAATAAATGTCACATCTTTAATTTTTCTTGTGACGTCACCTATTATTTTAGAAAACTCCATTCTCAAACTGCACCTCCTATGTTGGTTGCTAATTCAGAGGCTATGAATTTACTTTCATTTATACTAAGAAAGAAACAAAGAATGAACTTGCATTTTTATAGTGCCAATAATGTTGTATTCCAACATGCTTCACCATACTTACTGTTGTGTAATGGTTGTTTTTGTCGGCAAACACAGCAGCCATTTTGCATAAAGAAAAGAACCATTTAATATTTTAGAACCTTTTCACATTGACAGACTTTGTTGTGTGTACATCTACGTCTTATAAGAATCTTTGGTTCAAGTTTGTTGTAATTTATAGAACTTCATTTAGAGTCTCATTGTAACACTGTTCCTTTTCAGGTTTGGCTGACGCTAGCAGACCAATACTTGCACAGTATCTCAATTGACTGGGAGAAGACAATGCGCTTTGCATTTAATGATAGGAGCAACCCTGATGATGATTCAATGGGAATTCAAATTGTAAAGGTAACGTCCAACCCATTTTGGGCATGTATGTATGTGGCTATGTATGTGAGTGTATGTATGTTTGTATATTGGAATAGAAGTATTTGGTATGCAATTCTCTAACAATCAATTCGAGACATACTATATTCTGTTCAGGAGTTGCTTAGACGATTTTATAAGTTTTTACATTCAAAGTTATCGTAATTGTTAAAGAACTTGCATTTTTATAGGACTTAATGAAGTTCAAATATTTCAAAGGGCTTCACAAGCAATAACTGACAAGTAGAGTGACTTTTTGTAAGCAAGCATGCAGCCATTTTACACACAACCATGTTCCTCAAACAGCCTGGAGATGAATAATTAATTAAGGTGCAAGATGTTTGATCAGCATACAGGGAGAAACTCTTCTCTTATTTAAAAAAAAAGGCAATCTTTAATGTCCATCTGAAAAGCTAGACAGAACGTCGATTCATTGCCTTATCCCAAACAAATAGCAGCTCCGAACATGCACGGTATCAGTCTATTTGTGCACTTAAATCCTGATCAAGACAAGAGTCGACAACCTTCTGACTAAGAGACGAGAGTGCTATCAGCTGAGGCAAGCTGAGCACTTTAAGACTTTAATACTTTACAGGGGGTCTCCATAGTCATTATCGGAGTTATAATGGCATTCTTTTGTGGAAAAAATAATCTCCGGGTTAAAAAAGCTTCAGCGATTTTAAGTATTGCAACAATGGTTTTAATTTTTCTAGACAGTCACGATTTCTGAAGTGTGAGTTATTTGAAAAGGAGAGTGATGGCAAGTGAACACACAAAAGATTTTTGAGTTGATTGGTACTTACTAACAAGGGGAGAATTACCCTCGTAATATTTCCTAGCAAAAACAGCTTATCAAAATTGTGACCTTTCCGATTGCTGCGCATTCTTAGGAAGGAAAAAGAATTAATGGTCATTTAATTACCATATTGCTCAGATTCAATCTTGTTTATGTTTCTCTGAGTTGTTTTTTTTTGTTCAACTGGAAAAAAAACGCAACTGTCTGCACACCTATTCATTTCGATGTAAGCTGTTGCTGAAAACACACTGTAACTCCAGGTTCCTATCTGAAAAGACAAATACTAAAAGCATATCAAGACATCCTCACAGGAGTGGCCAGCCAGGATACATGTTGCTATAGCTACTGCTGTGAAAAACTAATCAGTAAACTGCGCAGATGATCCTTAGTACCGATGGGTTGCCTCAGCTGTACCAGCTTGACATTTAGAATTTATGCCAAAATGGATAAGCATTTTTTTTACATTACACAAATGCTCGCCTTTTTGTGGAGCAACCATGACCATACTGATGTCAATTGGAAAAAAATGTTTTAAGTGGTTTTCACATTGCATTTCTTTCCAGGGGCTTCAATGGTAATTGAGCAACACACTGAAAGTTGTCTGGAATGATTGTCTGTGGTATCAGTTTCAGATGGTGTCTTGGTGCAGATTTAGCTCATCATTGAATTGTTGTGACTGACAATGGATGGTCACTGTCTATTGCAAGTGGTGTAGGAAATGATTGTCATTGTGTTTGGGTCTTGGACAATAATTGTGTCTTGAGACTTTAATAGTCTCACTCAGAAGGCCACAAGATTTTTTTCATTGAGAAGGTAAAGAGTCAAGGTTCATAATACAAGGCACCACACCATTAAGGTACAAGAGAAAGAGAGATGAGATGAACCAAATGAGTAGTGTCCAGTGATGCAGAGCTTAAAACAGTTTGTAAAAGGCTTGTGAAATTGACACATTGATGTTGTGGAAATCTTCTTTTTCGACTTAAGATCCTTGGGTTAGAGGGGAGCAGATTTGCTGTACATGCAAACAGCACCATTCCTGACCTAAGAGCACTTGGCACTAACATGAAGTACAAACAGTGGAAATATTTTCCACTGGCTCACATAAATGAGCACCAATTCACCAAGGAAGAAATAAACCTAACCATAAGCAAATTTAATCTTTCACTGTTGAATTTGTCTTTTATTGTACTTATTGTGGAAATTTACAAAACTGTGCATTCCAAGGACATATTAGCTTCTACCCCCTACATCTCTGTAGCAACAGACCTGACCACACTTAGTTAGGGAATGATCCTCAGTATACAAGTAGTAAATTATTCTTGCAGCTCTAATAAGGCAATATTGCATACAAACACACAGTAACTACATTTCACTATAAAAGCCTATGAAGCGCTTTGAGACATCTCAACAGCATGATAAGATGATATATCAAATGCAAGTATTATTCATAACCTCCAAGATATGTAAATTCAGTGGCATTTCCTTACTGTTTCTGCTGTCTTTGTCCTGCACAGAGTTACACTCACTTCTAGTCCAATTGTAGGAATTAGAAATCTTTCAAGACCAAACCTAGATAATCGCTGTTGTTAACTCATTTACTTGAAGGTCTGGAACGTAGATTGTGTCTCACATTTGTAACTGTTTATGAATCAAGGACCTTCACAGAACAGGCTGCAGTTCTTATTGTGGGCAAGAAGCTGAGCAGGATCGTGTAGTGTTGAAGAGAGTTCTACTGGCCTATGCTCGATGGAACAAATTTGTAGGCTACTGCCAGGGTTTCAATGTTCTTGCAGCTCTCATATTGGAAGTGATGGAAGGAAATGAGGGTGATGCTCTGAAGGTAAGCATAGTGACACAGAACAAGTTTGTGAATGTATTTCAGTTTGTTCATCAACTTAATGATACCAGGGTTTATTTTGTGATGTAAATAAACGTAATGACCCTGCAGCGAGATTGTGTTGTGACTAGACTTACCTCTAGGACACATGTCAACAAGCACACATCCTCAATGATAATATGGTGAAGTTATTGCTCCTGCTGCACCCTTGAATCTATTCTACAGTATAAGTAAATAGCATCAAAATGGTCTCTGCCTCTATAGGACTAGTTATGGGGCACATTTGGGATGTCAATCTCACATGTTTCATATTGCACTGGGTAGCATCTGTAATGTAATCATAATGAAAGGCGAGTTATGTGAACCTGTGTCAATCGAACACCACCGCAAGGTTTGTCTAAGATAGCCAGTGATTGTAGTTGCCATTAATCACGCTTTGTTTCAAATAAAGGGAGATTGGCTGATTTGTGGTTTGATTTTTCTGTAGTGTTATGGAATTTAGACTGAAGATTTGTGTATTTTACACATATTCAGAGAGTGCACTAAACTGTGCTGCAACATTCCAGTGACCCGAAGTTTGAAATTTTTAATTTTAAGGCTATTTAGAAGCCGGTTCTTACAAAGAATTGTGGGGAAAAAAAAGCTTCCAAATTAAGGCTGAAGATTTTTTCTTAAAATTTTGCATAATTTTAACAACAACAACAAGATTTCATTCATAGAGCGCCTTTCACTTTCCTTGTCCAGCGCCTTGGGAGGATGTCCCAAGGCGCTGGACAATTGGGTCGGGACCCGAGCAGGAGGGAAATGGTCAGGGTGAGGGGAGGGAAGGGAGGGAGCAAGGAGGGGAGCTGAAGGCACGGTCGCAGAGAAAGGTCTTGAGACCGGCCTTGAAGGAGGAAAGGGAGGAGGCAAGGCGAAGGCACTGGGGGATTGAGTTCCAGAGCCTAGGGGCTGAGAGGCTGAAAGCCCGGCCACCGATGGTAGGGCGGTTAGGGCGGGGGATGTGGAGCAGACCGGAGCCAGAGGAACGGAGGGTACGGGCAGGTAATTAGGGGAATAGCAGGTCAGAGAGGTAGGAGGGAGCAAGGCCATGAATGACCTTGTAGGTGAGGATGAGGATCTTGAATTCGATCCTCTGGGGGATGCGGAGCCAGTGGAGTCGAGCGAGGGTGGGAATAATGTGGTCCCGAAGCCTGGTGCGGGACAGTACACGAGCCTCAGAGTTCTGAATGACCTGCAGCTTGTGGAGGGAGGTGCCGGGAAGGCCGGCGAAGAGGGAGTCCAGCCTTGAGGTGATAAAGGCGTGGACCAGAGTTTCAGCAGCGTGAGGGGTGAGGTAGTGCCGTAGTCTGCCGATGTTTCGGAGGTGATGGAAGCCGGTGCCAGTTGTGGCACGGATATGAGGAAGAAAGGACAGCTCAGGGTCGAATAGAACGCCGAGGTTCCTGACTGGCTTTGAGAGGTTTTTTTTTAATAAGCTGACAAAATGTGATGTTTCCAAGTTATGTACGGGATATGGTGCATGTGGTGGGGAGTGCCCCTGAATTAATATTTCCTGCTTGCTTTCCTTGTTCTTCTATAGGTAATGATTTACTTGATTGATAAAGTGCTCCCTGAGAGTTATTTTGCCAATAACCTACGTGCATTATCAGTGGACATGGCCGTCTTTCGAGATCTCCTCCACATAAAGTTACCTGAGCTTTCCCAGCATCTCGGCAATCTCCAGAAAGCTGCCAATAAGGAGAGTGCAGGTAAATCTCCTTGAGGTCTGAACATCAGCACTGGTGACTTTCTTCATTCATGTGGTATTTCTTTTTCATGGAACTATTAATATTTTCCATCTGATGAATATACTGTGTCTTTATCTGAGGAATTAGGTGTTTTCAGGGCAAGTCTGGCATCTTTTGATCCATACGTATATTACTAAATGGGGCCCTCCTGTTTATTTTATTTGTACAGTGGCAAAGTAAATGTATCAGTTTTGACTAGACTACCTCAATCTAGAGAAGGATTCAAAATTAATTTGCTTGTCTATATCTCAGTTATTCACCTGAGGAAAACTACTCATATTTAATGAAAATCAAAAATCCAATCTTTTAATGGAAGGCTGCTGCTATTTATATTTAAGGGAGTGAAATCTTAATATTGTACAGCTTCAGCTTTTCTCCTTAAAGAGTTTTTCTGCCAAGACTGCTAAACATACAGTCTAGGTTGACATTCCAGTATGGTGCTAGGAGTGTGTTTCATTGTTGGAAATGCCGTCCTTTGGATATAGCGTTAAACCAAAGTTCCGTCTGCCTGTTCAGGTGGACATTAAAGATCCCGTGGCACTAATTGAAAAGAGTAGAGAGGTTTTCCCAGTATCCTGACCAAATAAGATTGGTCATTCACTTTATGGCTGTTTGTGGGGCATTGCTTTGTGAAATTTGGCTGCCATGTTCACCTACAAAATACACAGTCAGTGCACTTTACAATGAATGCTGTGAAACTCTTTAAGATAGCCTCCCAACACAAAAGGAGCATTATCAAATGCAAGGATGATTATTATTCAAGTGGTTTGAGCCAATAGTATCAATTCTAGAACCTACTGCACAAAACTGAATAAGTAAATGTTGATCAATAATCATCACTACTTTATTGTTTGACAGGCAGCTATGAACCTCCCCTGACCAACGTCTTCACCATGCAGTGGTTTCTCACCCTGTTTGCTACCTGCCTTCCGAATCATACAGTGTTACGGATCTGGGACTCTGTGTTCTTTGAAGGGTCTGAGGTGATTCTGCGAGTGGCGCTGGCGATCTGGGCAAAGCTTGGGGAGTAAGTTGTCATTTAACCTCATTTTAGTGTGAATGTATTTGCCCCCGCACTATGCATATGATCAGCCCTCTATTGATTCTTGAGTTTGTGTTCCCCCACATTGGTGAGGCACAATGGACATAGAAACAGCAATTTTCAGCATGGAAGGAAACCATTCAACCAATTGTGTCTGTAAAGGTTTTGGTTACATTCACTTCCTCAGCCCAAATTTACACCCAATTCATCTTGTTTTTTATGGAATGTTGTGTATATAAAGGCACAATATCAAAATGCAAGGATTATTATAATTGTAAAAAAAACCTTCACTTCATTTCTTAACAAATATATTTTGTGAAGTGCTTTGAGATACATATAAGGCAAGTTATTAACAAAATGCAAAATACTGCAGATGCTGGAAATCTGAAATTAAAACAGGAGTCGCTGGGAACGCTCAGCAATTCAAGGCAGCATCTATGGAGAAAGGAAAGTGAGTCAACGTTTCGGGTCCATGACTCTTCGTTAGAACTGGGGCATGTTGGGAGGGAGAGGTTTTTAAGGGCTAACAGAGAGGGGGGTTTTGGAAACAAAACAGGCAGATCAGAGAGAGAAAAAGTGTGTTTGGGACCAAGATGATGTAGTAATGGTCACAGAAGAGGGTGGGGCAAGATGAACTGTTATTGTCTGAAATTGTTGAAATCAATATTGAGGCCAGAGAGCTGTAAGGTCTCTCGCAGATAAATGAGGTGCTGTTCCTCAAGCTTGCGCTGTGGCTCATTGGAACAGCTTAGGAGACCGTAGATGGAGAGGTCAGAATGAGAGGGAGAATTGAAGTGGCAAGAAACCGGAAGCTCAGGGTAGTGTCTCTGCCCCTCTCTGTTAGCCCTTAAAGACAAGTTATTGTTGTTTTCAAGCTGGAAGATATTTTTAAAATATATTGAATGTAAACTTATATTTTTGCTCCCACATAAGATCAGTTGGTAACTAGTTTTATCAATGCAAAATTAAAGCAAACCAACCAGAAGGAGTCCAGGATGGATACCTGATATGAGTTATCTGATCTTGGTTGCAACATAGCAAGAAACATTGTAGAAGGTGCCTGCAGCTATGGAGGTGGGAAAGGGAAAAAAGGACAACAGGTTGGCTGCTCCTGCCAAGAGCCAGTGACTCCTACTGGAAACTCGGTGGCATGGACTAGTTGGGCCCAATGGCCTGTTTCCGTGCTGTACAATCTATGTAAAACTGCATAGACGTATGAATAAAGAATGATCACTTGAGCAACAGTGTGTCTGTGGAACTTTATGTCTGTGGAGTAAAGGAGGAGGAATGAAGAAAATTGAGGGAGAAAGGAAGAGTAATTTCTCTCCCATGGTAACTCGTACATCTGGTGAGTTGTGAACTCTGTTTTCATGTTCAGCTCAGACTCCCATCACTTTACTGAATTCAGTAGGAAGTGAAATACTGTACTAGAAAACAATGCTTGGCTCTGAGACAATTAAAACAAGACAGAATGGATAAACATGTTCAATGAATTCCACTGATCTGTTTTAATTTAACTTGAAGCACTAATGAAATAGCCAGCAGTATGCAGTCACTCAAACAGAAACCAATTTGAGTCATTTTGTTGCAGGGTGGGGAAGGGGGGAGAAGAAGTTATTTTTAAATAGCGATTAGTAAATTGGAGAAATATCCTTCTCAATCGTATTTTTTTGGAGGATGTATAAATTGTGACAGGTGTTTGATTCCCCAAATATGGATTAAATAACAGGGAAAAGAGCAGGACTAGAGTTTACCCCCAGCAAGGATTAGTGATACCAGCTCTCTATCCAATTGTTTCTAATACCGGAAGTGACGATTGCTTGAACTAAGAATAATAATCTTTGCATTTGTTACAATGTTTTTTACATCAGGAGATCTCAAAGCACTTCATAAGATTTTCCTGTAAAATGTAGTGACTATGTACTTTGCAGCCAATTTGTGCACAGCAATGTTCCACATTCAGTGTGCAACAAATAGCCATGAAGTGAATTGACAATTTTATCTGGAGATTGTTGGTCAGGGCATTGGAAAAGGCTCTCTGCTTATTTTGAATAGTGCCAGGGATCTTTAACGTCCATCTGAACAGGCAGACTGGACCTCAGTTTAATGTCTCATCTGAAGCAACAGCATGTTCAACAATGCAGCACACATCCCAAATTAAGATTTATGGGAGCATAATTTGATAAATGTAAATCCAAGGGGAAAAAATCTCATCTCACAAAACTTTATTCGCTGTGAGATGCCTTTTTTAAAATAAACTCCCATAAAAATGTATGAAATGTGTTTTTTTAACAGTAGTTTATTTTAACATGGATGTCATTAAAATCCACAACACATTAGGGTAAGTAATATCATGTAGGCTTTCAGACTGAGCAAACAAGATTAGAAAATAAGTAAAAACTGTCTGGAACATTAACCAGTCAGCTGGAATGCCAATGAACATGATAATGATTTCATGCTTCTGAAAGGAACTCCCCATAGAATAGTGTACAGGAGAGAAGCTGAACAGTGAGTGCTGCCTCCATTCTTCTCTCAGGCATCATATTGACCTACATTCAACTGTGATGAAGCTTCCAGGATACAAAAAGGATGAGATGTATTATGTATTATCACATCTTCCAGACGTCTCAAAGCGCTTCACAGAATATACTCTAAAGTGAATTGACTGTATATTTTGTGGACAAAAGGTGGTAGTCAGTTGCACACGGCAGTGTCCCACAAACAGTCGTGGATTGAAGATAGTAAATTGGCATTATGTGGGCTGGATTATCAGGGAGGCAGCAGCGAAGCTGCCAACAGGGTAGCGAGGGAGGCAGTAGGCTAGTTGCTCTGTGCATTGTCACATCACAGGGTGAATAAGGTAACCTGAATAAGGTTACCTATCAGAGAGGCAGCCAGCTTCCACTTAGTGCTGTGTCTGACAGACCACTGATCCTGACAGTGCATTGACATGGGCGGTAAAGTGCTTCCCTGCCAAGACTAGGATTTTAATCTGTGAGTACCATTTTGCACCACCAAGTTACCAAAAAATGTATCTAATATTAAATATTTAATATCTAACATCAAATATTGCAGGAACATTTTAAATCAATATTCAATGGAAAAATCAATTTAAATGAATGGATTGCATCATATAACCATTATCTATTTACCAATTGCGAAGCATTAGTGTGTAGGTTTGCTAGTCAAAGTTGTTTTTAAAATTAAGAAAAGTTTTGTATGCCAATATCTGTTGGAAAGCATTTTTGCCTGTGTTTAACAACAACAAAAAATTATACTTGTGCAGCACCCTTCAAGTTGGAAAGACGACCCAGGGTTTAAAATAGATAATTGGTGTATTTTTCTTGCAGCAGCAATAATGACAGCAACCTCTTTGTTATTTAACCAGGAGAATTGAAGACTGCGAGAGTGCAGATGAGTTTTACAGCACGATGGGAAGACTGACTCAAGAAATGTTGGAGAATAATCTGATTGACAGCAGTGAGCTGATGCAGGTCAGCAGCTTGGTTCCTGGTGTTTTTTGTTTGAATTTCAATGGGTCATCAAACAAAAACCTACAGATAAGAAAGGTCTCGAATTGTTCCCTGGTCTTACTCAATTTGCTGATATTGAATGAAGTTCCAGGGGGTGCAATATTATTGGCTTTTCAAAGTGCCTGATGCTGGAAGTGTATGTCAGCTGCCCCCCTGCTCCTGCATGTTATCCAGTGACCCCACCACATGCACACACTGCTAAATTGTGTAGTCTCCCAATTACCACTGGAGGAATTCTCTCCCATTAACTAAGAAATAGGTAATATTCCACCCATTGCTTGGGCTCACAGTCTACATCTCGTTCTGTGCCTTGTTGACCGCCTATACAGTGCTCTGAAAAATAAATGGAGGAATAATGATGGGCAGATGGTGCATTCTTCTCCAATGGCTGACTTGATAAACACTCTGCATGGTGTGTTACTGAGCCATTTAAGATTCTTGGTTCAATTTTGTGCTGAATGATTTCAGACAGGACAGGAGAGCTGGGCAACAATTGGGATCAGTGACCCTGGGCTAGGGTGCTACAGATCAGTCAATTGCCTATCATACAATTGGGTGTCAGTGAGGACTGGATCAGGCTATGCTGTGTTGGTTTCTTCTCTTCATCTCACTCCCATGGTTGAATAGCTTAAAATACAGGACCTGGGTGAATGTTGGAGAAAATGCTGTCATTTGTCCAACTAATTTGCTGGCAGAAGGCTCACATCAAACGATATAATTGTCCTCAAAACAATCACTCAATGAAGAACTATTAAAAAGGAAATAGGCAACAGACTTGTTACTCAGAATTCTAGAATCTGATTTCTTTTTACATGATTGGGGTCTTCTTTCCAATCTTCTCCAACCAGATTTATCAGGTTAATCACGGCTTGCAGTTTTGCGAAATTCATGATGAAATTCGCACAGTATGGATACCAGATACCAAGTCATCAAAGTCTCAAAAAACCCGGTGAGCAGAATTTGCAATCATCCCAACAAATCTGGTTTGCAAATGGCACAATTTAGAACCATTGTCTCATGAATCCGGCATTCTGGATGTTAGCAGAACCGATGACAGCAATGTCATCAATCTAGAAGCAGCTACGCAATGTGTACAAGGAAGTGCTGCTTCCTGAGTAATAAAAAGCAGTTTGCTCACAGAATGCAGTTGTGTGACCTTCAGATTGTTGCAACAACCAGCTGTCAGCTTTCAATTGTCATGGCAATGAGGGCAAGTAGAAGCCACAGTCATTTTTCTCCTGTCTGCTCCAATATCTTTCCTTACCTCTTCTGCAGGCACTGATTCATCCTCGCGAATAGTTCCAAAAACAAACATGTAAGACTAGCCATAAAACCAGCAAATATATCTTTCTAACTGGAGGAAACCAAGCTGTCCTCCTTATCTTCACTTCCTGAATGCTCTGTCTGGATAAACATTATTGGTACTTTGCGAGGCTAAGACGGTACGTGACTTGTTCCCAATGCAGGAAATTGAACCATTCTAGCGAATGTTTCATGTAAACACTGAGTGCAGATGGAAGAGCTTTCAGTGTGTTACAGCACAGAAAATGTGGGATCAGATTAATGGTTTGGGTTAGTCAGTTCCAGGCATGTATCTGTGTTGCCATTCGGAATTTATTTGACAGACACACATTAACAAATGACAGCAACTATTAGTTATATTCTTGTTCACTGATCCATCACAGCCGGTACAAGTTGTAAACCACACAAGGTCATTCAGATTGTTGTAAAGTACAATGAGGATTTGGGATGGGTTAGAGAAAATGCTCCCCATTACACCTTTATTGATGCATACTGATACCAGGTTAAGGTAGATTTTGAACACCTGGAAAGCCCTAAGCAATAATTTGTTTTTATTAAAAATGTTGCTGGATAAATATAATAGTGATGAGCAAATTGCATTTAAAAAAGGAAACTTGCGGGTTCCTTAATGTCACTTTTATCCACAACGATTATGAATATATTGTTCAGATGTTGATACAACATTAAGGATAGAAAACATGGTAGTTCCCCAAGTCCATTGTTTATGGATGGCCCATATGATTATTCAGACATTTCACATTATATTATACTTCACTATTGACCTTACTTTCTAAAGTTTTTTTTTCTTTCCTCACTTCTCTCCGCCTCCTTTCCTGAAGGTGGTGACTCCTGCTGGGTACTGTTCTGAAGTACTGGCAAGTCTCTGATACTGGCAATCTTTATGTGTGATCTGACACTGTGAGCGCCAGCAAGCTGTTTAGGAGGGGAGTGGGAGAGGGAGCATTATTAGCCCAATTGCATCCATATGCAACATCACTCAATCACATCTTCCTGCAAGAATGAACAAGATGTTGATCAGAAGCAGGAACTCTGGCTCTTTTTCCCTCTGTAGCCCTGGCAGGCTTCTGGGGCACTACCCTGTCTATATAAATGCAAGTTGTTGTTGTTGTTATCATAGTGTCATAGTGTCCCGACGTGAAAGGCGCTCTATAAATGCAATCTTGCTGTTGTTTCTACCTTAAGTGTGGTTATTAGCAGGAGTCAGGAGAGCAGCAGAAGAACGTACTAACCATTCTACGTTTTCAAACAACAGTCAACATTTGTTTGGTTACTGGAATTTAATATACGTTGTATACACTGAAACAATTGCATCCACCTAACAATATCCTTTTCACCAGGAACAGGGTTCTAATAAAAACAGTTTTGTTAGGAGAGAAACCTTGTACAACTGAAAGGACTGGATCAGTTACTGCAGCCTACGGATATCGCAAGTCTTGTATCAGCAATCTTGGGCGCTGGCCCAACGCAGAAGCTACAGTATAACTGTTGACTGATCATTGCTGCAATGCTTTACAGCTGCATTCAAAAGGTGGTCCTACACCACTGGTAATGCACATTCTCTGCAACACTAAAACTTCAGCTAGCCCTTTCCAATGCCATTATTTCGCCCTGACTATAAGATGTCCTATCATTGCACCAATATCCAACCTAGCAATTGAACAGGTGACGTTTCTCCATTACTGCTGCTCTTGAATTATTATTGATTTTATTTTTTTCATGGGAAAGCTCTATGAAATGGGCGATAACAGCTTGTGTTGTGTGTATGTTTACCTGCGGGGTGGGGAAGTGAGGTTGTGTCATCCATTAAGTTGCAATGGCCAGATTGCTTTGATAGAACAAAACACTTGGTGCAGCATCTTATATTACCATTAACCTCTGAATAAATGAACATCATGTAGTGTGTTCATCAGCAAACTTAAAATAAATACATTTTATAATGGATTTTGGCACTCAATACAATTTAGGACCTTTAGTATTTTATTTTAAGAAGAGTTTTGTTTGAACAGATTTTGCATGTGTGTAATTGCCCTGTCAAACTGTTTTTAAAAAATGCATGCTGTGTGAGAACCCCTCTTCCAGCTGGTCCTTAAGCTTTGGTGCTTGAAGTGTTTAAACAGTCCTTGCCACGTTCTGGCATGCTTCATTGTGAATGATGTCAGGTCAGTGAGATATGCAGTGAATACAGAAGATGCAGAGTCAACCCACTGCCATTGAGAGTGGGTGTCTATTCTGAGAAACAGGATTGGTAAATTGGAAATGACAACTAGAGCTAAGACTGTCCGAAAGCAAACAATTTTTAACATGATTTGCTTCATTAGGAAACAGATACGGTCGAAAGAATTCTAGGATTTCATTTCCAAAATGATCTAATAATTGTTTATCGTTTTTTTACTCCATGTGTGAGATAGTTGCAGTAGGTACTGATTGTAAATTTTGATAAGAAAGAATAATGGAGACAAGGACAGACTTGGACAGGTTTTAGAAGAATGCTTCAGTTAGGCATGCCAGCAGGGTAAGTGCATTGGTCCTGACTGCCAAGGCAGTGAATTCATTTTCAGCCCTCCACTGATGTGCCTACCCGTTGGGGATAATGTGCTGGTAAGTGTAACACTCTCTAACAATGTGTAATTATAATAGGAAACCACACACATTGAGAAGTCACTAAACTTACTAGTGCATGGAGGTTATCCATGTGTTTTTATGCAATTTAAGGAACTAATGCTCCCTTTCAATACTGTGTCTTGCTTTCCTTGTTTACAGACTCTCTATTCAATGGCTCCTTTTCCCTTTCCACAACTGGCTGAACTTAGAGAGAAATACACTTACAATATCACTCCATTCCCAGCACCTGTAAAGTCTTCTGCATCACAAGGGTAAAGATACAATTCTTAATAATGCAATACATTTGTATCCATTTGTTTTTGGTCAACCTGTCTGACACATGTGGAAACCCATCACCATGCTTAAGAATATCCGAACCAAACTGGGAGTCCACGCATACGTATATATCCAGTACATAGAGATAAAGCTCAATTTTAAGGTTGCATATTGATTGCTAAAATAAGTTGATTCTTGAGACCCTAACTTCACTAACTTCACTGGTCTTGTAGAGTGCAGGTTGGGACTCGCCAAGGCCAGATGCAAATTTAAAATCTCACGACCAAAATGTCGTGTTACCACTGAAATGTCTAATAAGTCTTAAAGAAACACTGATTTTTTTAAATTTAGATAATATGGTAGATATCACAACATTTTGGTCACCTTGTATATCTTGCTGCAGCATTTGACCATTCACACAATACAATGAGTGGTGGAGGTGATTGATTTAAAGGCTATAAAAAAATCTGGCTTCTTGTGATATCTCACAGTCTTGTAGCCCTTCATTTTATAGCACTGAGATGACTAGACTGTAACATTACTTGAACAATGCTTATTTGGATTTTAGCTGTCAGGCTGGCTCAGTTGGTTGCACTTCGAGTCACAAGGCTGTGGGTTCAGGTCCAACATTGGGATTTTGAATTTACATAGTCTAGGTTGACACTCCAGTGCTGGGGGGCACTGCATTGTTCAGGTGCTATCCTTCAGAGTAAAATTTACTGCCATATTCACCTATGAAATATGCAGTCACTAGACTTTACAGTAATTCCAGTGAAGCACTTCTTAACATCACTCTGATGTGAAAGGTGCTATATCAAATGTAAGGATTATTATTTTCCTTCCTCTTCTACCTCATTTAACTAACACTACAGGAGCCTGAATAAAATGAAGGATAGTGATGAAGAGATTGATCTGGATGATGAAGATGCTATGGCTTCTGCCGTCGGCTGCCTGGGACCATTTAGTAGTTTGCTGGCACCAGAACTACAGAAATATCAAAAACAAGTTAAAGGTAAGGGTTTTTTTTGTTGCTGATGTTATCTGAAAGCAGAAAAGTTTAATTAAGCAGAAAAACCTAAAGAAAGCAGAAATGCACACATGATTGTAATCTGTGACTTCCTTAGCAAATTCATATACATGAATGGGGTTTAAAATGATTTTTTTTAGCATCCAATTACTTTCCAATTTTCTCCTCACTGGCTGGTACCTCTCTGTCATGTGTGATCTTTGGCAGACAGTGCAGGCAGGCCTTTCGACTGTAGAGGGTGTCACAGCTGAGCCTGTCCTGGCTGCCACACACACGGTCAACTGGTAGAGGGTGCTGCAGAGAGTGCAGAGCACGATTCCTGGCTGCTTTTCTCTTCCCTAACCATGGGAGAGCTGGAGCTAATAGCCCTCGTTGAGACGTGAAAGTCTAGTATGGACCAGGATTCGAACTAGTGAGCTTCTAGTCGTAAGATGCAACAGTATCCACTACACCACAACAACAACAACAACAACAAGATTCCATTTATAGAGCGCCTTTCACGTCAGGAGGACGTCCCAAGGCGCTGCACAGTTGGGTCATGACCCGAGCAGGGGGGAAATGGTCAGGGTGAGGGGAGGGAAGGGAGGGAGAGAGGAGGGGGGAAATGGTCAGGGTGAGGGGAGGGAAGGGAGGGAGCGAGGAGGAGGAAGAGAGTCGAGAGGGGAGCTGAAGGCACGGTCAAAGAGAAAGGTTTTGAGACCGGCCTTGAAGGAGGAAAGGGAGGAAGCAAGGCGAAGGCACTGGGGGATGGAGTTCCAGAGCCTCGGGGCTGAGAGGCTGAAGGCCCGACCACCGATAGTAGGGCGGTTGGGGCGGGGGACGTGGAGCAGACCGGAGCCAGAGGAACGGAGGGTACGGGCAGGTAGGTAGGGGGATAGTAGGTTGGAGAGGTAGGAGGGAGCAAGGCCGTGAATGGCCTTGTAGGTGAGGATGAGGATCTTGAAATCAATCCTCTGGGGGATGGGGAGCCAGTGGAGGCGAGCGAGGGTAGGAGTGATGTGGTCCCGAAGCCTGGTGCGGGACAGTACACGAGCTGCAGAGTTCTGAATGACCTGCAGCTTGTGGAGGGAGGTGCCGGGAAGGCCGGCGAGGAGAGAGTTCCCATAGTCCAGCCTTGAGGTGACAAAGGCGTGAACCAGGGTTTCAGCAGCGTGAGGGGTGAGGTAGTGCCGTAATCTGGCGATATTCCGGAGGTGATGGAAGGCGGTGCCAGTTGTGGTGCGGATGTGAGGGAGAAAGGACAGCTCAGGGTCGAACAAAACGCCGAGGTTCCTGACTGGCTTTGAGAGGTGGAGAGTGCAGCCTTGGATGCTGATGGTGTCAGCGCCTGAGGTGCGGAGGCGCTGACGTGAGCCAATCAGGAGGGCCTCGGTTTTTCGCACGTTGAGCTGAAGAAAGTTGTCTCTCGTCCAGGACTCGATGTCGGACAGGCAGGCTGTCACAACTTAATAAGGTTCCCATCAGAAATTGGAACCTTTAATTCAGATTAGAAATGGGAAGGGAGATTGCTTCTTCAGAAGTAGATCATGTTGGATAAAATTCTCTTGAGTCAGCACACCATACTTCCTATTACCAAAAGAACTCCCCGCTTGTGGGACTTTGGAGCTTCATTAAGAAATCCCATTAGAAATCGTATCTTTTAGTAATTTCAATGAGATTAAAATAGACACTTCTGTCAACCAGGTGCTCAGTTTGTGTCAGACTCCGAGACCGCACGCTGCTGGTATAATTATGATGGTATTTCAATTTTGGTTTTGAACCATTGCAACATTTTAATTAATGACTTTGTTTTCAACTATCACAGCACCTCCTTTATTATCATTGGCCCACATTATGTGTTCCTCCCTACTTCCACCCTGAGTCATTGGAGCTAATTTCAGAGCTGTTCAGTCGTTGAGATGTCTCAAAGACGTGACAAGCCAATATATTAAATGCAAGGATTATTATTATTCAGTTAGGGTTGTTAGGTCTCCTAATTATCAGTGTTGCTGAGCAGTTTTATACAAGAGGAGTCAATATAAACCCATATATATATCATATGTGGGTTTACATTATATATATAATTTATATATATAATTTATATATCATACATATATAAAATTTATATATATATATATATAAAATTTATGTATCATATATATATATAAAATTTATGTATCTAGAGAGAGAGACCACCCAGAGGGCTGGCTCAATTCTGACATTCTGTTGCCAAACATGTCACCTTGGAGCCAGTTCAGCTCCAAGGAGACGCCGCTTACCTTCCCCCCCCCCCCCCCCCAAGTAGGATAGTGGGATAACAATGTTCTTTCCTTTATTCCAATGTAAAAATAACAATGTAAAGGTAATGCAGCTTCATCATTAGTAGAAACCCAGCCTGAAGGTAGAAATTGTCTCAGAATTCCCAACGCTTTGTCCTTCCAACTGTAGTGGTAATCCTGTAGCTCAGTGGTTAGAGCACTCGCCTCGCAAGCGAGAGAGCTGGGTTCAATTCTGGTAGGGTGAAACCATGGGCAAGTTTCCTTGCTTCACACGCCTGATAATAATCCCCCAAGAAAAAGAACACAATAATAATTTGGTCACTCAATCCACGACTGTTTGTGGGACATTGCTGCGCGCAATTGGCTGCCGCATTTCGCCCACAAATATAGTCAATTCACTTTACAGTTTATTCAGTGAAACTCTTTGAGACGTCCAGAAGACGTGAAAAAGTGCTATATTAAATGCAAGGATTATTATGATTAATTACAGTTTGTGAACAAATAAATCCAGGCTTTTATCTGTTGGGTAAAAAATCAAGCCAGCAACAGAGGCTTACATCAGTGATGAAACCTGCACTCTGTGTTAAACCTAGATATAAGCTCACTGAGAGGAATACTGCCCTGCTTACTTACCATGGGGGTGAATTTTAGCTTTGCCGAAGGAGTTTCTGCCTTTGTTCTCTAGATCAGCGGGAAGACCAGATCCTGAAATCGAGCAACATAGCAGAGCTCAGCCCCGGGGCTATCGATGCCAGCCGCAGTGAGCATCACTCAGCATTTAATAGCATGATGATGGAGCGTATGACAACTGACATCAATGCACTGAAGCGCCAGTACGCCAGGATAAAGAAACGGCAGCAGCAGCAACAGGCACACCTCATCTTCATCAGATCAGGTACAGTCAGAGTCTTCCAATTCAGAGGTGGGAGTGCTACAAACTCAGCCTGGCTGACATGAGCCAGGCTGCTAGTTTATTGACTTACTTGCATTTCCATCGTTTCTGCTTTTTACCGGATACAGTTGCAGCCACTAATTATATAGTGCTTCAGTATTGGCTTCATGTCTCTTGTTCTTTTAGTTTACTAACCACCTTGCAAATCCAGCCATGCTTAGTTTCACTGATATCATGGTCTATAACAATACAAATCACATTTGTATAGCGCCTTTCACGTCGGGAGGACATCCCAAGGAACTGATAGTCTGCGTTGGAACTGAATCAAATGTGTTCTTTAAGATAGGTGGCTATTTATGTAGATTTGTAGATTGTATCGACTTCTTTAAAGGTCCTGCTTCAATGTTTCACTGTATTTTATTCTGACTAGTTAGAATCTCCTTTCATATCCAGTTAAAAATATATTTTCCTTATGATGTGCATTTTACTTCATGGTTTTTGTGACAATTAGCAAACTGAATGGGAGACTAAAGAGCTCTCACACAGCTGATCAAATGGCTCAACAGGACTCATCAGGAGCTGTAGAAATATATTGCCTGAGATAAAGGACATTACTACACTCAGGTCTGAAATGAGGACTTTTAATCCTTGTTCTATGATGATGCAGACAAAAAAAATCTTTTCAAATGATTTTTAAAATTCAGTTTAGCCATTATTCAGCAGAGAGTCAAATAATACATTGATCACCTGCAGAGATTTGAAAAAGTAAGTGCACTTTTTAATTCTGAAGGGTAGATTTCATTTTTAAAATACATTTTTTTTAAAATGTTTACATTGAGTCCCAAAGATAAAAGCACATCCTAGCACTGAGATTCGGATTACAATCATTCGATCTGGGCCTGAGTTAGCCAGAGAATAGAATTCCTTTCTCCAAAACGATGCCAAAGGGAAGAAAATGAAAACTAAATCTGCAAAGTTTTTGTTCCCCCCTTATTGTATATTATTATTATTGCGTATTGGAGCCCCCACTATATTGATGTCTCCACTTCTTCTCAATTCATTTTTTTAAATAATTTTTTTAAACAACATATTCTTCCCTCCTGTCCTGAAGGTGCTGATTCTGGCTGCTGGGCTGCAGATCTGGAGGTACCAGTTGTCCTCTTGATCAAGTGATTATTCTCCATGTGTGCGTTCCCACCAGTGGGCAAGTGATAGCAAGCTGTCCAGCTGAACACAGTCTTGTCCTCATATTCACTTTCCAGCAGAGGGCACCAAAACGTGATTGGGAGCTGAGTTGAGATCCATTTTATTGCCGGCAAAGACTAGGGATTGAACCTGTAGTGTAGTAGACTGGCAGTGCATTTACCTACTCAACCTTTGAGGGACCTGTATTTGTTTTTTTATACTAGGATCTTTGTTCCGTCCAGACATTGAGCACTACAACTGCTCAATTCACAAGATCGGCTTGAAAGAAGAAAGACCTCGGCCCTTTTGATTTTATCTTTCCAGAATACCTACCCATCACAGCATCAAGCTATTAAATTAATCCAGAAACCTGAGCTCAACAGCCTTCTTTTCTGGTTGTTAACCGCTACCCTTTGGATAAAGAAATACCATCTTGAAATTGCCCTTTGAAACTCTAAACCTATGCCCTCTTGTTCTGCTGCCTTCCCATATCGGAAAGCACTGTACTGAGTTTACTTTCTCAATTTCTCTATATGGGGCCTGACAGGGAGCAATTTTGCAATTTTCAATTTTTTTTTAGAACTCAAATTAACTCACTCTTTCTTATAAGTCTTAAAACCAGCTCTAATTCCTGCTAGGTGCTTGTCACTCTATCACTCAATTGTTCTGCATAGGACTGCATCTGCATAAGTGCCATCCTTCAACTGATCACATGCCATTTATTTTGCTGAACATGTCAATCGCTGTTTTCTCCTTACATTCACAACATGCATTATGTTTATGTTCTCAAATTGATGTTAGGATTTATTCCATAACCCTAAGATGCTCCTCTCCTCAAATGCCAGGACAGAAATCACTAATGTAGGAGAACCCTGATGGTCCAAGGGCAACTCGTCACCTTGCTAACACTGCAAAGCTTCTGGAGACTAAGCACAGCTGCAAGAACTTTGTTCCACACTTTTTTATACTTGTTTGTTTCTTTTATTAGGAACAGAAGAAGAAATTAATCCTGGGATCATCCCTGATCCCAGGGACCAGATGAATAATGCTATTGGAAGAAGTTAGTGTTTTATTTTTTGTTTTTATTATTTTATTTATAGGTATTTTAATTTCACCAATATGATTGTAATACAGTAAACGCCTGATAACTCGTCACTCCAAGGTGAAAAGGCTCAGTGACAAATTATCTTGAACGGCCGGTTAGGTGTATGTATAAATCCACAAATAAATGCGGTCGGTATATTGATAGTATGATAACTTAAATGATAGTGACAAAAGCCAGGATCAAGTTATCAAGAATTTACTTAACAACTTAACCTGTGCCCTCTTGATCTGCTGCCTTGCCATATCTGAAAGCACTGTTCTGAGTTTTCTTTCTCAATTCCATTTAAAATTGCATAGACCTCTATACTGTGTCCTATGAAGCATCTTTTTCCAAGACTGAAAAGACCTAACTTGTCTAATTGTTATTCATAACTCATTGCTCTGACACTAAGCATCATCCTCGTTGCTCTTCTCTGTTGAACAGCCTCTGGAGTGTGGACAGCCCCGTTACACCATGTGCAGAATTGTACTCTACTCCAGCGTAATTCCTTCTTTACCTTTTCGATTTTCTTTTTAACTCAAATTAATTCACTCTTTTTCATGTAAGTCTTAAAATCAGCTCTAATTCCTGCTTGTCACTCTCTATCACTCAATTGCTCTACATAAGTGCCATCCTTTAACTGATCACTTATCACTCGTTTTGCTGAACATGTCAATCGCAGTTTTTGGCTCATATTCACAACACACATTGTGTTTATGTTCTCCTATTCATGTTAGGATTCATTCCATAACCCTAAGATGCTCCTCTCCTCAAATACCACGACAGAAGTTACTAAAGTAGGAGAACCCTGATGGTCCCAAGAGCAACTCGTCACCTTGCTAACACTGCAAAGATTCTGGAGACTAAGCACAGCTGCAAGAACTTTGTTCCACACTTTTTTATACTTGTTTGTTTCTTTTATTAGGAACAGAAGAAGAAATTAATCCTGGGATCATCCCTGATCCCAGGGACCAGATGAATAATGCTATTGGAAGAAGTTAGTGTTTTATTTTTTGTTTTTATTATTTTATTTATAGATATTTTAATTTCACCAATATGATTGTAATACAGTAAACTCCTGATAACTCGTCACTCCAAGGTGAAAAGGCTCAGTGACGAGTTATCTTGAGTGGCCAGTTAAGCCTATGTATAAAACATAAATAAATGCGGCCAGGATATTGATAGTATGATGACTTAAATGGCAGAGACAAAAGCCAGGATCAAGTTATCAAGAGTTAGCTGTATATTAAGAGACTAAAGTTACATTGCCACTTGGAATAATTTAATATTTTGCTTCTGTAGGGTATACGAGTCTAATTTTTTTAATATTCACCCCCAAAAAAAGTTCCTCTTTATTCTGTGTATATATATTTATTCATTGGAGCAGTTCATGGCGGTTCGGTGAACTTTGGGGTCTTAAAATCAATCTTCCTTCACAAGGGTTGAATGGTGAATAAGTTCATCCATCTGAATGTAATATCTGGTTCTTTTATTGGTCTTTTCTTAGACACTCCACCCCCACTGGAATATTTGTTTTCTTGTGAAGCAATGTGGTGTTGGGAAATAAGACACCTTTCCACTCCTCATGTTCAATTTGTGTGGTTACTGTACAACAAAACAACAACCACAAAATTACATTTATAAAGGGCCTTTCACATTGGGAGGATGTCCCAAGATGCTGAACAGTCGTGCGTGGACCTGAGCGTGGGGGGGCAGGGTTGAGATGAGGGAGGGCAGAGGTAGGAGGGCAGCACGGTCGAAAAGGAGGGTCTTGAGTCGTACCTTGGAGGAGGCAAGGGAGGGAGTAAGGCGAAGGGATTGTGGGATGGAGTTCCAGAGTGTGGTGGCAGAGACTGAAAGCCCAGCCGCTGATGGTAGGGCCGGTCGGGCGGGAGACACGGAGCAGACCGGAGCCTGCTGAATGGAGGGAATGGACAGGTTGATAGGGGATCAGCAGGTCAGAGAGGTAGGAGGGGGCAGAGCTGTGGAGGGCCTTGAAAGTGATGATGAGGATTTTGAATTCTATCCCCTGAGGGATGGGGAGCCAGTGGAGCCGGGCGAGGGTGGGGTTGATGGGGTCACAGAGCCTGGTGCGGGAGAGGACACGAGCTACAGAGTTCTGGATAATCTGCAGCTTGTGCACGGAAGAGGTGGGGAGGCCGAAGAAGCATGGAGTTTCTGTAGTCGAACCTTGTGATGACGAATACATGTATGAGGGTTCCGGCGGCCTGAGGGGTGAGGCAGTGGTGGAGTTGAGCAATGTTGCATTGGTGGGGGAAGGCAGAGCAGGTCATGGCACGGATATGGGGGAGAAAGGACAGTTGAGGGTCGAACAAGACGCCTGGGTTTCTGACTGACTTGGTGAGGTGGAGTGGGCATCCTTGGATGCTGATGCTGCCAGTGCCTGAGGTGTGGAGGTGCTGACATGAGCCAATCAGGAGGCCTCTGTCTTCATAACATTCAGCTGTAGAAAGTTGGCTCTCATCCAGGACTTGATGTCTGACAGACTGTCAGGACGTCAGTTGGTTGTGAGCTGTGAAGGCTGTGTTCAATCTCCAAACATTGTATGATTTGTGTTTTAACAACTTTGCACTACAGTCAATAAGTAATAAATGAATACTGTACTCTACTCCCTCACCTCAACTAATGTCCATCTCAAGATGTACCTGTTTGACCATGCTTTCAGTCATTTTTCCCCTCCCCCACCCTCTTCAGTTTCCACCCCCAAGTTCAAGTACGCACCCAGCAGCGTTAACCACTTTGACACATTCTCCTGATGTGAAAGGTGCTACATCAATGTAAATTATATTGTATGTATGGAACCCTTTTATTCCAACCTGAACTTTATGTGCCAGCTGTGATTTATTCTGCTAATGGTTTCAGGGAATGTGGAGATGGGATTCTGCAGCTGGAGAATGTAACCTGCCCAATCTTTTATTAATTAGCTTTTCCTTTCATTGACAGCTGAGGGACCTGTCTCCACACTACTGCCTTCACAGGTCACTCAGGCTCCAATGATGAACCACCTGCTTCTTGGTAAGAAACTGAGAACGACTAACAGGGTCACTCGAAATGCCACTTTTCACACGCCCGGGTCAAAGAGCTCACACGAAGATGCGAAATCCAAGCTGAACTCGCCATGGCGCACTCACATTCGAGTTCACCGAAAAAACTTAGCAAGGAACAAGAGCCAGCTGAGCTGCAGTGACACCATAGGGCTAATTGAGGAGCAAAATAACCCGACTAAAGAGAGACGTGACAAACCAGTTGTGGAACTGTCCCTGAGCTCTGCTGAGAGCGCAGAAGCGGACAGCAAAAGCGTTGAGGATCGAGTATCAGCACCAGCAGATGGGCAATCTCCTGAACCAGTTTACAGGGATTCAAATGGTAACATGACTGTAGTTCAGGATCAGCTCGAAGCTTTAGACCTAAGCCAGACTGATGCTAATGCGGAGGAGCTACCCAGTCCACCGCAGAGCCAAAGGCACTCATCTGACTCTTCAGATTCTGACAAAGGAACTTCAGACATAGCACACAGATCCAGCACGACAAAGACACAAGGATTCAGCCCTTTTCCTAGTGTTAAACCTCCCAGGAAGTCAGCTGCAGCAAGAAATTTGGGATTGTACGGGCCGACAGAGCGGACCCCAACGGTCCATTTTCCCCACATGAGCACTAGCGTTAACAGAACAGGGAACAGCAAGCAAAATGTGATCAAGAAACGTTGAAGAGGCCAGGGCAGCACTGGGCGGGGACTGATTGATTCTAATTTATTTCTATATTGAAATAGTGTGTGGTGTGTCAACTAAGAACTCAAATCCTTCATCATGTCCAATGTTGTAAATCTTATCGTGTGTAAATGCATTGNAAAAAAATCTTTAAAATATTGTTAGGGTAATAGTAAAATTCTAAAATACTGCTGTATTAACATGCACTCTCTAGGATACTTGGTCTTAGTCTCTGTACACTGTAATGCACTGTAATGCTACAGTGTGGACTAGTTGAAGGGGAAATTTAAAATGAATGCACAGTAATTCAAAAAATTCCAACACAAATTTAACAGTTGTTGTACACCTCGGTATCGTGAACGTGATAATAAATACCACTGTTTGCAACTTCAAATGAATTTTTATTTTTTTAAGCTTGGATAGAAATTAAAGCTCAATTTTCACTGTCGTACCTATAATGAACCTGCATTCGTTCTGTTTAGTGTTTGTGTGTCTGCTTTTGCCTTTCTGTTTGTTGGAAGTGTTTTTTTGTGAAATTGATAGCCAAAGTATTGTGACAGTTCAGTCAAATGGTTTCACAACCCATACATTTCCTGACTCTGTTCCACAGTACACATAAACCATTTGTATGTGCTTACAGAATCATAAAAATTACAGAACAGAAGGGCATCATTTGATCCACTGAGCCTATGGTGAAGATAGCTCCTACACTGCATCAGTCTGAAGAGCAATCCCTGCTCTTTCTTTATACCATGTATTTTTTGGGGGTCAGCCGGGTGTCTGACACATGTGAAAACCCATCACAATGCTTAAGTAGCCAAACCAAACTGGGAATTCCATGCATCCGACCTACACATGGAAATTCCAAAGATAGAAGGGAATTGTGTTGGAGGATGATTGAACAAAATATTCTCACCCATTCCTTAGAATATTTTGTTCAGTCATCCTCTGCTGCTGAGCCTTGAACTATTCAGCGTTCCTGTACCGTAGACTCAACTTTTTAATCTCTTCTTGCAGATTTACTTTATTGCTGAGGTCATCGTGCAGGGAACGTGCTATGTGTAGCATTTTGTAGTCTTCACGCTTTACTAATTTACGAAGATGTTGTAAGCAAATATCCTTCAGAGAATACACTGGAAAAAGAAAAAAAACATGAAGTGGGGTGGCACGTAATTCGTTGACGTTATTTATATTACAATTCTTATTAAACTGCCTCCTGTCCCATAATTCAGTGACCCATTCTTAGGTCAGACCACAAGCGATATGAATTGTATCCCACAGTTGCTGACCATGCATCTTGCATGACTACCTACACAGGCAACGGTGCAAGATGAATTGTATCCCTCAAATAGAAATGCAATGAACTCTTTCAACTAATGCTTCTTGTTGGTCTGCTTAGTGCACATCATGATACACTGAATTTTTTTTCACATGGGTCTTATTTCAATGTCAGTCTTATTACATTTTCCAGACCCAGGTATTTCTCTGCAGTCAGTCACACAGCAATAGGGCTGACATTTGTGTGAGACCTAATAGTTCAACACACAATACACAAGATATTTTACAAGTGTTAATCAACACTTACTAAGAACTCTGAACAGTGCAGAGCACAAACTAACTGGATAAAAACAAATTGGAAGCTGCACTCTGAGCCTTTAAGCCAAACTATTAAGCATTTACTTGGGACCACACATTGTGTGTTGGTGCACAACTGGAGTTTAACCAGCTAAAATCACATACCTTGCCATTGACAGTGCTGTCTGACAAGCTTCCTGCTGCTGCTTGTCTAGCAAGAATCATTTTACCTGTTTAGGGTTTTGGATTGGAGGATTAGCGGGAGCACGAAGTGGCAAGTGGAGTGGGAAGAATCCCTGGTCCAAACCTAGTCTTAATTATTATAATAATATAATAATCCTTATATATTATAATAAGTAATTAGAAGCACTTCACAGAATATACTGTAAAGTGGATTCATTGAATATTTTGTGGGTGAAACTCGGCAGCCAGTTTGCACAAAGCAGTGTCCCACAAACAGTCGTGGAGTGAGGGACCGATTTTATTTGGGGGATTGTTGGCCAGAACATTGGAAGAAACTCGCTTCTCTTTTTGAACAGTGACATGGCATCTTTAACATCGGGGGCTTGAATCCACAACCTGATGCAGAGGCAAAAGCGCTACCTGAGCCAGGCTGACACATTCCAGACACAGGGAAATGATGATGTTTAGGTGGCACATATAAGTAGAACTCTCAATCTGGCCTGGATACTCTTAAGCAGTATCTTGGCTTTCTACATGGGTCAGTCACCTGGGTGACCAATAAAAATCAAAATACATTTACAGATTTACAAATTTACGGTTATTCATTGCCCTGTACAGGTGATGAAACACTTAACATTCTTTGCAAATTGGCCATTTCTGTGGTAGGATAAGCAATAGTTCAACCATATCGAAACAAAATGTGATGAATCTTTCTGTAGTGTGTTGAAATGTGCCAGTCACATGGTTGAATTGTAACTTGGAAGTGCTGTATGTATGGATTAAATCTTCTCGTGACCGTGGGAATAAACCTTCAGTTTCATGGATATTGTGTCATGGTATCATTCAGTGGGTTATTGTTACATGTAACAGTACCATTGTAAAGCCATAAATATCATGGCTATTATAATGCTGTAAGTGTGATTGACTGTGGAGCTACAGCAGGAATGTCACCCTGCAACATCATTACATGGACAACTGCTTTTAAAATGGAATAGCATTTGAAGCCAGAGAATGTGCTAAGAAGACAGAGGCAGGGAAAGAAGAAGTTAGAAATGGAGGTGAGGACATGAGTCTTAAATATCTTGCATTGCACGGTAATACCATTTCCATAAAAGCTTGTAAACTGATTATCTGTTCATTATTATGCAAGAACAACAAAATAACATTTGTATAGCCCCTTTCACATCTGCAGGATGTCCCAAAGGCGCTGGACAGTCAGTGTTACAGACCCAAGCTGGGGTCAGGATTAGGGAGGGTGGAGGGCAGTGGGGGTAGCAGGGTGATCGAAAGCACGGTCGAAGAGGAGAGTCTTGAGATGGGTCTCAAAGGGGGCAAGGAAGGGAGAGAGGTGGAGAGACTGCGGGATGGAGTTCCAGAGGGTGGGGGCAGAGTGGCAGAAGGCCCGCCCGCCAATGTTGGGGCGGGCAAGGTGGTACATGAAGCAGGCTGGAGCCCGCTGAGCGGACGGAGCGGGTAGGATGGTAGGGGGTTAGCAGGTCGCAGAAGTAGGGGGGAGCAAGGCCAGGTAGGGCTTCGAGAGTGAGAAAATTAGCTGTCACCCAGGACTTGATGTCTGACAGACATTCTGTCAGGATAGCAGTGGTCCTGGAGTCATGGGTGGAGGTAGAGAGGTACAGTTGCGTGTCATCCACATACATGTGGAAGTTGACCCCATGTCTGTAGATGATGTCACCAAGAGGGAAGTAAAACTGCACCCGGTTTGGAGTATTGAATTCTACATGGTACATGGTACACATAGAATTCAATACTCCAAACCGAGGATTTAGCACTGAATAAATAATATGCAGACCCCACTGTAATAAGAGAAGTCTGAAGACCAGCACAAAGGGATTGTATTAAACCCTAGGGGGATCTCAGGGTTTGTGATGCTATGGTTTCTGAATTAATTGTTACTGTTGTATTAGAATTTTGTAAAATACAGGCTTGCTTCATAATTCCCTGCATCAGTGATCATACGCCGGGCTTTAAGAGAATAGAAGCAAGCTCTGATATGAACCATTTCCAGTTCTCTTGGTGATGAAGGGTAGGATTAGAATTCAGCAGACACTTGGTGTAATGCTGTCTTGGGAATAATAAAATATGCATTGTAACAAGAAATACATCAATGAGAGATCGAAGAGCATTACAGGGAGACAAATCTTTTTCATCAATTTGCTGCTCTCTTTCTCAAATTGACATTCTCCATATGTGATCCAGAATAGATTCAAGTTCACCCTGCAGGCAAATTTGACAGATCCACCAGAACTCAGAATTGATTGAACCTTCAGTGTCAATTTTGGAAGTTTTGGTTTAGTTCTGACCTTTATTTCACACACACTCTTCCCCCCGAACATTGTTAACAGCACATTGTTGGCTTGCATTGCATGGCCTGGCTGAGTTTTGAACTGATTGCAGCCAATGCCTCCAGAGGCTGCAACAGGGATCGTTTAATGAACTTTAAAATGCTGAGAATGGATAAGTGGTTTACCAAGAAACAGCCCAATTTGATCAAGACCTCTTGTTCATCATATTTGAATGATATATTTGTGCCTCAGGCATATACATCACTTTTTGCAAATGCATCTAAATGAGATCACAACTGGGCACTACCATTTCATCGACATACTGAGTGCACCAAGCAATTATAACTTGAATAATCATGGCACATTTCTACTTGGTTCAATGATCCTTATTTGAGGTGCTTACCTTGATTTATGATCTTTAACAGAACCCTATGTATAGTTACCTGGAATTGTGATGTACGTAGGGATGTAAACACAATTTCCTTCATTATACACGGCAGATGTAGGGAAGTAAATTTCATCCCTGTTTATGCGCAGTTCATCTCCAGTGTCTGCATCTCGAAAAAGCCACGGGTGAGCTGAAAAAAAGTAAAAGGTGNTTTTTTTGGTAAAAAGGAAATCAAAAGGTACAATACATGTAGGCTCTTGAATGATGCAGTAATACAGTCTCAAAACACAAAAGTCTATTGTGTTTCTGTCTTGCTATAGTACAGCACACTCTGACGGCTCAGGTGATTTAAACTACAAGGGATGAGAAATTAAATAGGCACGGTTCCTGCTTGTTATTCATTTGATGCTTGCCATAAATGTGTGTGGATGCCAGATGACAACATCAATCAAAGTTGGGTTTGAAACCCTCAATAGCTGAATAGTTTGGCCGCACTCATTGTATATGCCTATGGCATTCAAGAACAACAAATTACATTTGTATATTGCCTTTCACGTTGGGAGGCCGTTCGAAGTCGCTGGACAATTAGGGATTTGGACCCGAGTTGGGGGGTGTTCGGAATCAGGAGCAGTGGAGAGCAGGAATGGTAAGGGTAGGAGGGTGACCAAAGGCGCAGTCGAAGCAAAGGGTCTTGAGCCAGACCTTGAATGAGGCAAAAGCGAGGCGAAGGGACTGTGGGATGGAATTCAACAGGGTGGGGGCAGAGAGGCTGAAGGTCCAACCACTGATGGTGGGGTAGGCCTGGGGACATGGAGCAGGCCGGAGCTTGCTGAGCAGACTCCAGGCACTACACAGCTGTGCTGAGCCACCTACAGGCTTTAGCTACGTATCTTAATTATTGTGCTTCCGATGCAATTTGATGAAACATATTTTCAGATCAGTTGTTAGCAATTGATTTTAAAATGAAATGGTTAGCATTTAGAATTGATTTAGAACTGTATAAAATAATTCAAATGGCATCGCTTATCACTGCATAGGAAAATCTTCAGACTACAGTACTAAATTCACAAAATTAGTTCAGATGAAGAAGGCCCTTAGCCCACTTTATCTCATTTCTTCCATTATACCTACCCAACCACAACATCAAACTGTTTTATTTAAACAGCACCTCAACCACTCTTCCTGTTTACCCATTCCAACCACTGATTAATCTCTTTGGTAAATAAATACTTCCTGGTGTCTGTCCTGAAATTGCCTTTGCAGCCCGAAACCTGTGTCTTGCTCTACTGTTTTCGGTCATCCAAAAGTATGGTTCTAGGTTTACTTTCTCAAACCCATTTAAAATTGTACAAACCTCCTAATAGGTTCCCCTCTGAGAAGTCACTTTTCAAGACTAGCTTGTCTGATCATTGCTCATAGTTTCTTGAATACTACTCTGAAAACACGGTACTTTATATCCTGCAGAGCAGCGTTTTGGAAAGCGGTCATAAGACTTTTTATTCAAAGTTTAAAAAATAAATAGCTTTTTTTGCATGTCTTACAAAGCGATGCACTGTGGCTACAGTGCCCCTTTAACAGCAGAGTATGAGTAAGCCAGTTTCAGGTCTCCAGGAAACTGCATGGAGATTAGCCAATTTCCTGTCTACGCAGTTCCAGAAACACAGCTCAACTTCAAAGAATGAAGGGGACTGTTAAGTATTATGATGAATGCAAACTGCATAGCAAGGCTCTTTGGTTCCTGTTGATTGTGCCCAGCAACTTACTCAGATATGTGCACATATCCAGGGATTCTCCTGGCTCAATATCGTCGTACTGCTGAGGAAATCCTTCAAAGTCAATCCACCAGGGTCTCACTGTCCGCTGACTCTTATTGACAAATGAAATAAAAGTGGCTTCGGCTGAATTCAGGGATCTGAGTGGAACTTGCACGGAATCTTCCTCGGTATGATCCATGATGTCCAACCAACCTCTGTCTGGCACATTCCTGCCTGAATGAACCATTTCCCTTTGAACTTAAATCTGATGCAACCAACCAGGAAGTGTTCAGCTTTAAAGGGGCAACCCATCAACTCCACAAAAATGACAAGATCCATCTTAAATGACAAGAAGCAGCACCTAAACTCCCCATGCTCTTCCACTACTGAAATCCCTGCTTTATTTGGACTTGTAATTGGAAAACTGTTTGCAAGCTCAGCTGCGTTCTAAAAGGCCACCCAGTCTTAGCCTGTAAGACTTTGTGGTAAAATGTAAGACCCGGCAGAAATATAAAAAAATTTACATTCAGTCTCAATTTAAAGGTCAGTTTTCTGTAGTTCTTGAAATGACATTCTGTGGGATCGATTTGACAATAAAAACAACAAAATTACATTTGAAATCGCCTTTCACATCGGGAGTATGTCCCAAAGAACTGATAGCCCCTTTGATACTGAATCAAATGTGTTCTTTATGATAGGTGGCTATTTATGTAGATTTGTAGAAAAGACAGGGATCAGGACCCGAGTATAGGGGGCAGGGTTGGGATAAGGGAGGGCAGAGAGGTAGGCGGGCAGCTGAAGACACAGTCGAAAAGGAGTGTCTTGAGTCATGCCTTGAAGGAGGCAAGGGAGGGAGGAAGGCAAAAGGATTGTGGGATGGAGTTCCAAAGGGTGGGAGCAGAGAGGCTGAAAGCCCGGCCGCCAATGGTAGGGCAGGAGACACAGAGCAGGCTGCTGGACGAAGGGAGTGGACAGGTTGATAGGGGGTTACCAGGTCAGAGAGGTAGGAGGGGGCAAGGGCGTGGAGGGCCTTGAAAGTGAGGATGAAGATTTTGAATTCTATCCTTTGAGGGATAGGGAGCCAGTGGAGCCGGGCGAGGATGGAGGTGATGGTGTCACAGAACCTGGTGCGGGAGAGGTCACAAGCTGCAGAGTTAAATAATAATAATAATCCTTGCATTTGATATAGCGCTTTTCACGTCTTCTCGACATCTCAAAGTGCTTCACAGAATATGCTGTAAAGTGAATTGACTGTATATTTGTGGGCGAAACGCGAAACGTGGGCGAAAAGACCAACAAGCAAGGAATTTCCGTAGTCGAGCCTTGAGGTTACAAATGCATGTAACAGGTTTTCAGCAGTGGCGGAGTCAGGCAATGTTGTGGAGATGGGGGATGGTAGAACAGGCCATGGCATGGCAGTTGAGGGTCGAACAAGACGCCTAGGTTCCTGATTGGCTTGGTGAGGTGGAGTGTGCATCCCTGGATGGTGATGCTGACTAACTAGTCCTATCCTTTCTTTCATAAACAGGTCACATAGAATGTCCTTTCAAGAACTACAGATTGCATTTTTTGTTGTTTTTGTTAAGATTCCTGCTGGCATGTGATGATGTGATGTGTGGATGTCTGACGAGAACTTGATCGGACTTGCTTGTTGTAGGATTAAGTTTTGAGTTGATGTTCCCAATAGCTTGATGAACAGTGATGGATTAAAAGGGCTCAGGATTTTCAGATAAAATGGGGGCACCAACTTGGCATAAAACCTTCTTTAAAACCTTTGTCAAGACTTAAACAGGAGGGCAGGACCAGGGTGGTATTTGGCTAAGGTAGCTGTCACTCATCAGGAAGGATAGGTTCTAGGTGATGATTGCCTGGTCTGGGCTGTCACTCACCTAGATATAATGCTCTGGGGGTGGCATAGGGAGCCATTCACAGAGGCATCCAGGAAATTCCTGGTTTCCCATTTAGACAGTCTGTCCCTGCTGATGACAGTATAACTGAGAGCTGCCCAGCACTGATCTGCACATTTTGCTGGGGAGGGAATACCCCTTTCCTTCCCCCCTCTACACATACACAAACAAAGTGGTAGTTGACACACAAATAATTCTGCCACACTTCCTATTTGCTTATGTTGTCTTTACTTATAATAATCCTTGCATTTGATATAGCGCATTCCCGACAGCTTGAAACCTTGGGCAAGTTTCCTTACTCCACACGCCTGATAATAATCCCTCAAGAAGAAAAAAACAATAAAAGATTAAACGCAGATGCTGGAAATTGTGGACCTGAAATGTTGACTCACTTTCCTTTCCCCATAGATGCTGCCTGACCTGCTAAGTGTTCCAGCAACTTCTGTTTTTGTTACCAGTAATAAATTGGTCACTTCAATCCACGACTATTTGTGGGACACTGCTGTGCACAATTGGCTGCCACATTTCGCCCACAAATAGACAGTCAATTCACTTGACAGTATATTGTGTGAAGCGCTTTGAGACCTCTAGAAGACGTGAAAAGCGCTATATCAAATGCAAGGATAATTATTATTGAAAAAATACATAGAAATGCTTCAAACCTATTATGTCCCTCCCATAAACTCTCTTTCGGTTGAAGCACAATTCTTGCACTATAGCACCACCTCCAGGCAATTGTCATCTACACTGACTTTTCCAACACTTAAACTTGCAGACTGCTTTATTTTTGACCCATTTAGGCCTTTTCTATCCTCTTCTCTTCTCATGATGGTGATGATCCTCTTTGATATGGTTCCTTAATCGAGCCCCCTTGATTAAGGAGCCATATCAAATGCAATGATCATTAATTCAAAATAATGTGAAGCAATAGAAATCTCATGGCAACAAATGTAAGGGTGTAATTTTCATTAACTCCAAGACCGATATTAGTACAATGTAAGGTTGTAATTTTCATTAGCTCTGAACCAGATATTAGCCTTCCTTATGAAGGCTTGCTTAGCAGTTTATACTGAGCCCCATAACCTTTTAATGTCTGTGATGCTTTTGATCATTCTATAAAACTAAAGATCACAAAAGTGAAGGGCAGGGAATATTTTATAAGAGAGTCAAGACTTACGTGAATTAACAGCATGTAGTAATAATAATGAGCTTTTCATAGTTCCAGTGGAAGCTTATACTTATAGCTGTCTTCACATATTTACAGAACAGGTATAAACATTTTGGGGTGTTTTTATTCCTCCGGATGTGGTGGCGTAGGCTTATAATGAGATTTATGGGCACACATTGCCAAATCCGGTGCATTTAACAACCAGAAAATCAGTTCAATGCCCCATTAATATGGAGCAGGATCTGAGCAAACTCAATTGTTACAATGCAATGTGTCTTTTGTCATTTCTTTCTTTAGGTGGCGCTGTTGTTGGCTCCATGTTGTCTGGATAGATTTGGCAGTCAACCATATCCACCACAAACAGCCAGCTCCACTTTGGACAACTACAGTATATTTATTACTAATTATGGTACTCTATTAGCTTTGCCGTTACCAGAAAAAAAAACTTGATGATATTTCCTCTTCATAAAACTACAGTCAATGAAGACCGTGAGTTGGAATAATAAAATATCTGCACTTGATATAGCATCTTATCACTTTAAAATGTTTCAAAGTGCTTCACCCAATGGGCCACTTTTCAAGCGCAGTAACTACGCTGTGACAGCTAATCTATGCCAGCAGTGTCCCACAAACAACAATAAGAAGAATGTTACAACCGCAGTGGGCTGTTTTCCATGTGCAACACAAACATAATTTCAAGCGACAATTGCACATTAATATAAAGTCCCATTAATTACATGCCAGTGTCTGTGCCACAGATTGTAGACGCCAGGGCATGCCCCCAAGTTCTTCAAGGAATTGCCAGGCCTTTGGTAGGAGGCTCAAAGGGAAAATCAAAGGTCAGGTCACCTCAGTCTTCCCCTCCCGATGGGAAAGGCGCTATACAAATGTAATCTTGTTGTTGTTGTTGGTCATCATGCTGTGTCGGTCTATGCAACAGTGTTGAAGAGGCTGCACGTTACCTCCTCACTCACTGCTGCTGTGAGAGAATCTGAGGGGCTGACTTGAACATTTGATGTCAAGTTTCCTTCAGGTGGATGAAGATCAAATCTTTTCCTTGTTTGTAGCCAAGGTATATTACTCATTAGATTTCAATGTAGAAACCAAAGCCCCTGCACGATGTATGTTTGATGCAATACAGTTAAATTATGCAGAAGTGCCTATAGTAATGCTGTGGCTTTAATATTCCATTTACTCTCCATCCCCGTCTCTGACTCTCTCTGGTGTTTTCCATTCTTTGCTGGATTGTTCCCAGGCTTCAAAATTTCTCGCTGTCTTCATTCTGTTTGCTATTTGCCCCTTTTTGTCACTCTCCAGGTTAGAGAGAGAGAAATGTCTGGCGTAAGGTTTAACATGGCCTGGAAAAAAATTACTACCACACCACTACTGTGGGTGTGTCTCCATTCAGCAGTGCAATTCTGGCTCACACACAAACACACAAGATGTGAGTGGATGGAAAGAAGAAAGGCCAGATGGACACTCCTTGACCTCCACTGGATACCAGTGTATCCACTTGTTCAGCCCCGACTGATTCCATTCCAGTATGGCAGTCCCAGCTCGACTGGAGCCATAATGTTCCAGTGAGTATGTGATCATCTATGTCTGCATATTTCCCAGTAATCTTTAATTCCTTTCATTAACAGGTACTCATTCAACTCCTTTGTCAGAAGACTCTATTCCACATGTTTACTACAAGTTACTACAAGCTTGTACAACCCCTGATTTGTTTGAGGATGCCAGAAGTGTACTCAAATCCATCAAGCTGTGATAACAGCTCAAGATAAAGAGAAGTAAATGACTTCCATCCACATTATCCATTCCTTCCAGCGTTATTGAATGCCTGGATTTCATCCTGCCTCGATCTTATTTCATCACATGAGCAAAACTCAGGTTCTATCAGCCAAATGTGGGTCCTGGAATCATCCTTGTCACAGTTTTGTACAACTTCTTCAGTACAGCAATGTGCTTTATGACGATCAAGCGCTTTGAGACATCTCAAAGACGTGATAAGGCACTATATCAAATGCAAGGATTATTATTATTATGCACTTATCAGTAGATTTACAGATATTTGATGGAAATTCTATGACAACTGTGTACAGCAAGTTTGGGAAATGTACAGCAAGATTGGGATTGCAAAAAATAACCCTCCATGATTCTAAAATTAAACACT